GGACGGGGTTTTGAAAGTTTTAAAAGATAACGGACAAAATTTGGTGAATCGATAGAGCTGGGGAGGCGAAGACGCTGAAAAGACTTTCCCAGTTAGGCCCCCAAGTTGTGGCGGTGTCCGGAGACAGAGCACAAACTATGGCTTAATAAGTCTGGGGGAGAGTCCGGAGCGTCTTGTATCTCTTTGGGGTCGGCTGGGGCGAGTGCAGCGAGCGGTGTGCGAGCTGTACGAGGAGTAACCGATGAAGTAGAAGAGATAGGATAAGGATAGCCAGGAGGTTCCTCTAGAAGAGTAGAAGAAGAGGAAGCTCCTGGGTCTCCGGCATGCATCAGTTTCTATGGACGGAAGTGGAGGAGAAGGTATCGCCGTAGCTCCGAGAGTGTGGCGGTGGTGGATGCCATGTGGCGGTCACGCTACAAAGGCTGAGGAGTCTGAGAATGATAAGGCTGGCGAGGATGTTGCGGCTGATGAGGATGTTGACGTTGTGAGTGTTGCCGATGCTCGGTCTGTTGTTGAGGATGATGATGCCTCTTCAGATGACTTGCCCTATCATCCTGGCTATGTCTACGAGCCCGTGGTCCCTGCTCCTCCCCCATCGCCTCCCACCGTGCCACATTTGCTTCGCTCGGGTAAAAATTGCCCTCCTGCCCTTCTGGCGCCTGTTCTCGCTGCTGGTGTCGATCCTCTTCCGTTCTCCGGCTCCGATGATCCCATCCCCGACCTTGACCTCTTACTCGGTCCCCGTGGAGACCCTCTCCCTTTCCCTTATCCGGACGCTCTTGCTGACTATCTCGGACGCCCGGATGATCCCTCGTTCCATCCGTCTGACGAGCGCCTTCCCGTGGATGGCCACATTGGGATGCCGATCCGTGCCCTGCTTGCTATGGCAGAGCAGGAAGTGGTCGATGAGCCGCGGACATGGCGGGCTGCTATGAAGTCCCCCCCACGCTGAAGAATGGAAGGGCGCGTGCGATGAGGAGATGCAGTCGCTGGTGGATGCTGGCGTCTATGAGGAGGTTCCTCGGTCTTCGGTTCCAAGTGCTCGAGTGGTGTCTTGCAAGTGGGTCTTCAAGGTGAAGCGCGGGGCCGATGGTGCTGTGGAACGCTTCAAGGCTCGCCTTGTTGCTCGGGGTTTCCAGCAGAAAGAAGGGATTGATTATGACGAGACGTTTGCCCCTGTTGCTAAGTACCAATCCATTCGCGTAATTCTTGCCCTTGCTGCTGAACACAATCTTGAACTTCATCAGATGGACGTCAAGACTGCCTTCCTGTATGGCCCCTTGAAGGAGGAAGTCTACTTGTCTCTCCCTTCTGGTTACGACGGTGGTAAGGATAAGGTATGGCGCCTTCGCCGGGCTCTGTACGGTCTCAAGCAAGCTCCTCGCGCTTGGTACGAGGAACTTCACGGTACCCTTCTCTCCCTGGGATTCCATCGCACTGCCAGCGATCACTCCATCTATGTTCGCGGTGAGCTGGATGACTACATGGTGATTGGGGTGTATGTGGATGATCTTACCATTGCTGCTAAACGTCCCTCAACCTTAGCTACGTTCAAGGCGGAGATGTCGGCGAAGTATGCCATGAAGGATCTGGGTGAGCTCCACTATGTCCTTGGTCTTCAGGTTGCTCGTGATCGCCCTGCTCGCTCATTGCATCTCTGTCAGACCCAGTATATCAACACGATTCTCTCTCGCTTCCCCTTTGATCGCTCTCGTCCTACTGCTAGCCCCCTCCCTGTCCACACGATTCTTCAACCCAGTCTTCCCGACGAAGCTCCTGTCGACCGAGATCGCTACCTGCGCGCTCTCGGCTCGGTCATGCACGCTATGCTGGGCTGTTGCCCCGATATTGCCTTTGCTGTCGGCCTTCTCTCCCGGTTTGCCAATGACCCCCGCGAGACTCATTGGGATGCCATGGGTCATCTGTTCCGGTATCTGAGTGGTACTCGTGAAGTTGGGATCACATATGGCGGGGATGAAAAGGGGGTTGGTTCGTTCGTTGGCTATTCAGATGCTGATCATGCTACTAGCGATCTCGAGAAACGCAAATCTGTCTGTGGCTATGTCTTCAACCTCTGGGGCGGGGCGGTCAGCTGGCAGTCCAAACGTCAACCGAGTGTCGCTCGCAACAGTGGTCAGGCTGAGTATCACGGTCTGTCTATGGGTGGGCAAGAACTTGTCTGGCTCACTCAGTTACTGCAAGAGTTAGCGTTCCCTTGCGACGGCCCCACCACTCTCTACTGCGACAGCGAAACTGCTATTGCGGTTGCCAAGAATCCGGTCTCCCATTCTCGCCTCAAACAAATCGACATCGAGCACCACTGGATTCGTGGCTTGTGGGCAGTATCGCAGGTTGTCTCGGGAGGAATGTGGAGGAGCTGATTGCCCTTGTCAATCGCTTTCCCAGTAAGAAATTCATCCTGCCGGAATCTTCGATCATCCGGATCTTGGGCACCATGCGGCCACTCGTCACAATCATCCTTGCCCTCCCGAACTCTGATTCACTATCCTGGCCACATGTTCTCTAGCGTATTCCTGGGCTACTTCGAGAATGGAATTTGCCAAGAACATGCGTGTCGTGTTCAAGATACATGAAGATACGAGTACTCGTACTTACAGTATAGTTCCTCTGGTCGAAGAAGAGTCTGAGAACGCCATCATCAAGCACATCGAGTGGAGAACCGTTGACACAGCTGGACGCTCCCAGCAAAAGGTCCAATACCTTTTGAGCGGTGCTGACCAGATGTGGACCCGGATGAGGGTGAGGTTCAAGCATGGTGTCCACAACTTCCCCCAGGTGGCCAGGGACTTTCTGGACAAGAAGGAATGTGAACTGGTGGAATTAACAACACACTCGTTTCCGTTCAGGAAAGCTGGGACCGAGTGGGTATCATCTGTCGTATGAGGAGCTTCGCTAATGGTGATCAGCACGGTAGTGTAAACATTCATGTATTGGTGTAGCCTTGCTCGCGAGCAAATTTCGGATAAAGGTCAAACACGGGGACTCATACCTGGACAGCACTGTGTTTCACTGCACATTGTCACAATGCCATGAAAGGGACATGAGTAGTCTGCAATCTATGCTCTTTATGGTACTAGGAAGACTCTCAAGAGTCCGTAGATTTACACCACCTCGCGAGGAAGAGTGCTTGCTCTGGGGAATCTCAGCAGGGAATGGCCTGGGAATTTCATCATCACGAGGCAGGATGCAGTTTATGTTACCCAGGGAATGATAATGTATACACACATATTGTCAACGGTAATTCCAAGCAGCTTCTTCATCAGGCAGAATGCCAACCCCACCCGATACCCACCTGTTGCAGTTACAGCATACGCACTCTGTTTACTCATAGCGTCATCTTCCTTCTTTTCCCACGCCGCTCTACGGCCTGTGCGCCGAGCCGATTGACGGTCTTCTCCCCCTCTTAATGAATACTGCTGTACAGTCTTCAGCTCTTATCACCTGGTAAGATGAAGAACGAAGCCGCTGCGAGTCCCTGAACCTTCCCGTGCCACATTGGGCATTTGGTCCCGCTACGTTTACGTACTACTTGACTACGTCTATATTCGCAGCAGCGTCCTGCGTACATACTGAACTCCAGAATCCAACACCTCTTGATTCAAGACATCTCTCCCCTTTCACTCCACTCCGCAGTATCCGCCTTCCATGTACCGCCGGCCCAACCTGAAGGAGGCACGTCTCAAAGAAGCGCTAGAATCAGTATGGCCCGACTATGCCATCACTGGTCGGAAACCCGAGCCGTTCCCACTCCCCACATTTCCCATCATCTCCCTCGACGCTCTTTATCCTGTGCACCCCGAAATCCTAGACATCTTGTTCTTCTCCTCACCCAAAACGTATATGCTGCTGTCAAAAAAGCATTACGCGAGGGTCATACCTCTTTTTTGGCGACTTGTTGTCCTCACAGAGGCGCTGATCAACGCCATCAAAAGGAAAGACTCGAGAGTGCTGAATCATTTGCAGCACATGGTGTCTGTCCGCATCGGCTCGCTCGAGTCAATCAACGCTTTGGAGTCAATGTCTTCTCGTCTGTCGAATGGGGATGTGTTCAGAAAGGTTACTCAGGTGGAATTTACGGCCACGACGTTCAAGCGCTGTTGGACTTCGGGTCCATTGCTGCAGATCGATGTGGGCAGTATCGAAGACTGTCTCGGGGATAATCTCGAAGAACTCATTATCCGTATCAGCCGCGTACCCAGTAAGAAGTTTACCCTATATCAAGCTGCCTTCACACAGCTCCTCGGCAGCTTGCCCCCCCTTGTCACCATGATCCTCTCCCTCCCCAACCCTCATGCGCCATCTTGGGTAGACTTTCTAGAGCGATTCCCCGAGCTACTTCGTCACTGGACTTTGCCCCAGTGCTTGCGTATCGTGTTCAAGATACCCGAGCAGATGACTTCCTTGGTGAAAGTCGGGGTGGAGAACGCCATCGTAAAGCATATCCGGACCAGGGCGATTGACACAGCCCGGGAGCCTACTGGAGGAGCTGGTGGGAAAAGGGTGGAATATCATTTCAGTGGTGCCGAGGAGATGGAATCCAGAATCAGCGCAAAATTCGCTGGAAACTCCATCCTCAACCAGCAGATTCTCAAAGACTTTGAGCAGAAGAAGTATCGACTAGTGGAATTGCCTCTCCACGCGTTTTCTTACAAAAAGGATGGAACCGAGTGAGTATGGCTTGTGTAATGAGACCCTCTGCTGACTATTTTCAGCATGGCAGAACGCGAATGAGTCTGGAGGTCTTTTGATGTAATGTCGCACACTCTCTATCCAGCTTCCCTCACTATGCCATGAAAGATGCATAAAATGGTCCTCCAGAATCATGCTTCGTTGGAGTAGTAGTCCTAAACGTGATGGAATATGAAAATCAAAACTATGCTACAGAGTTGTCTTTTTCTTGCTGGGCTCCTGGCGTTCGTTCGGCTGGTGTGGTTATGTGATATAGATACAAACGCTGAATGACTACGCCTTTGCCCTCTTGCCCGGTTCCTCCTCCGTCCACGGTCCATCAACCCCTTCATCCCCATCCCCCTCCCCTGCTCCCACCCCCGTCCCCATCCCCACCCCGGCCGAACCTCCTAGACCAGCAGTAGGCGCCTCCCCACTCCCCAACCAAACCCTCTCCCTCGGACTATCCAAGCTCGTCTCACCCCTCGTCCTTATCCTCGGCGTCAACTTGATCTTCTTGTCCCCTCCTTCTGGCGATTCGGCGGCTGGGGCTGGGGGTCGACCGCGAGGGGATTGGGGGGGATTTGTGAATGGTGGGATGGGTGTGCGAGTGGATTGGGATTGGGAGGGGTTGGCGCGGGTGAGGGAGCGGAGGGGTTTGGATGATATGATGGCGTGCTGCCGCGATTCTGGCGCTGCCCCTCCCCCTCCCCCTGCTCCCCCTCCTGCTCCTATTCCTGATTGAGGCGCAGGAACACCAACACCCCCCGACCCTGCTCCTCCTCCCGCCACCACATCCCCTTCCGCCGGCCTATCTTCCGCCCCAGGCGAACTCTTCTTCCTAAACATGTTGCCCAGATTCTTCAGAAACTTTGGCGCATGGGGATGATGCGGGTGGCCGTGGCCTTGCGGGTGGCTATGCGTTGGATGGAGGTCTTTTTGTGAAGAGGTCGAGGTGTTTGTGGAGAGTGGTGGTTTGGGGAGAGCTTGGGGGGTGGGTTCTTGGGATAAAGAAGGTTGTGACGGATGGCCGACGTCGGGGGTTGGGCGGATGATGGTGCCTATACCTGCTCCTGCTGGTACACCTTCTCCATTCACTCCCGCTCCTACCTCAGTGACCCCTGGAGAGTTGACAAACATATCCCTGGGGCTCCCTCCCGTCCTGTTTCTTCGACTACTCTGGCTCCCTCCCCGACTTCTGCTCGAGCTCGGGACGCTCGACGAAGCCGCCGAATACGGCGAACCCCCTTCTTCCTCTCCTTCCCCTTCCCCTCCCCTCTCCGAACCTTTCCCTTTCTTGGACAGATGCCCGCGGGAAGGGTCCACGTCCATATGCGACGTACGCCGTCGACGCGGACGGCCCCGGGCAGAAAGCGTGGGCGAAGGGTCAACCACCATCTTTTCGTCCTGCGGTCCCGCTGGGTCTTCTGAGAGAGAACCATTCAGCGGCGGGCGGGCAGGCGAAGATTGCAAGGGCATCTCTTGATCTTCATCCTTCGTCCCTGCGCCTGCTAAGCCGACTTCTTTACCAGCGTGCCCCTGTCCGGGAGCACAATCGACACACCCATCACCTTCGCCTTCTTCTCCCGCTGTATCGCCTTCTTCTCTGTTCTTGTTCGTGGGGCCGGGGTAGGGGTCGGGGAACTGGACGAAGGGGGAGGTGGCGGGTTCGGGCGCTTGGGTGTAGCCACCGTGCGAGCGGATGAGGGAGGTGTAATAGCGTTGCAGTGTCTCTGCATGGCACTATCCCTTTCATCAGCCATGCCATCCCATGATAGACAAGCAGGACTTACACATAGATCCCATTCTGTTACTCTGACCAGTTCCCGCTCCAGCGCATTCAACTCGCCCGTCTTGATACCGCCGACTTTTGCGTAATGCGCGTTTGTGCAGAACACGTCGCATTGGGCTTTTGAGCCGGCGCAGATGGAGGCGATGAGGAAACGATGGACAGTGAGAGAGGAGAGGGTGAATGTGGGGAGGTTTAGACAGGTAATGTCGATATAGGACAAGAGCGAGAGGAGTGGTATTTTCTGAGGTTACAAGTCAGCTCGGCCAGAACAGCAAGAGGGAGGACGCACTTCACAGTTGGTATACTTGACTATACGCGCCAGATAGTCCTGTACTGATATACCGGGCGGCGCCCTGGAATGGAATCTCGTCAAGGCATCGGGGGTGAGCGTGACTTGGTCGTTATGGCGGATGAGGAGGTCAAGCATGTGGGCGAGGAGGGTGACGAGGGTGTCTGTGGGGCAGTCTATGAATGCCCAGGGGAGTTCGCTGGCGGCGGGGGCAGGGGAGGGGGGCATGGCTGACTACGGGGACATGGGAGCGATAAGGAGGTGACACGTTCGTGGGGGCGATCTTTCGTCGACGTTGCTTTTGGGCTGGCCGGTTACGTTACGGGGTATATATAGTGGTCAGAATAGAAAGAAGGGAGAATGCTGATGGAATGGAACGCTCAAAAGCAACATCTCGGGATTATGTCTCAGGGTCACCATCCAGATTCATGTCTGCATCTCGCCCCTGCTCAGCCATCTATCCTCATCCAGCACCATATGGCCATGTCTCGGCACCTCTCTCTGCCCTTCCCATCTCCATCCTTCCTCTATCCCTCAGCCTCTTCGACATCCACCACGTTTATCTGCGTGCCTCATGATGCCCACCCTGCACATTACGTAACCCTGATCGTGCCTCGTTGTTTGTTGTTGTCAAATCCTGAGCGCTCTCGAGGATCTTGTGGGCTGTATCACCGCAGCCCCACACTTAGCCCACACCTCGGATCAGGCTCCGCAATAGTCTGCTCCAGTTGCTCTGTCGTGTCCAGCAGCTGCCATGCCTCGTCAGCACCACAGATCATGCGAGGTGGGGAGGGTATTCACATCCTCCTATAGGCGTATCTGATTGACAGTGTACCTCTCGAGAGCCTCTGGTTGACGAGAGACCTGGTTGGTGTCGCGAGGGTAGAGAAGGTAGTCCGGGTGGTTGGTGTAGAGACCCCTTCAGCTCCCTGACTGTGGCCTTGGACGCTTGCACTGGCCGTGCGGCTCTCGGTTGAAGTTGAGGGATGTCCCAGAGATGCGTCGAAGAAGAAGGGAAAGATGTTTGCTGGGAAATGGATGGCAATACGCGTCTGTGAGGGTGTTATTAACAATAATACTTATGCCGGGTAATATGCAGAGCTTTGTGGTAACATCCTCCGTGGGCCAAGAAGGGCGCAAGAAGAGTACACGTGGCAGCGCGTAACGTTGGACACTGTTGCATGCACTCTTTCATCTTATCGGCCTGTCAACCGCCATCTCGCCACATTCCACATTCTCACCCGGCTCACAGACAGACACAGGTCGGGAGATCCCGGAAGACGGTCCATCGCCAATGTAGCACAACGCGAAGAAAGCACAACGACAACAGCGAGGAGACGTGATGATCGAGACCGTCCCAACTTTATCGGCACGCGTCTTCCCGCTGTCCTCCTATAGCGACCCTGCTCCCTGCGGCACCTCGTTATCTCCCAGGTCAGTCCCCCCCTGTACCGGGCTGTATTCGAGTCCCGCCCGCTTCAAGACATGACAAGACACATGGTCCACTTCCCCGAGTATCCCGCCTTGCGTCCCAGGGTATAAAAGGCGTCCTCAATTCACAGGAGAGCTCAACAAAGTCTTCACAACATCCATCTCTTTGAGATGCCTAGCAAGAAGGCCAAGATCCTCTTCCTCACAGCGCAAGTCCTCTCTCTCTAACCACAATCCTACAAGCTGACTCTTCCAGCCCGGAGCACGGCCAAGCCAACGTCCATCTCGCCGTCATCGCCGCCCTCCAATCCGGCCTTCCCCTTCCGCTGGCTCCGGACCTCTCCAACATCGAGCTCGACCTCCACCTCGCCTCCTTCCCACACTTGGCAAAGAGAGTCCCCACCGGCGTTACATGGTGGGAGATTGAAGGGAAAGGGTTTGCGCAGAGGTTTGAAGAAGAGTTTGGCAAGGCGGAGGGTGATCGTGCGTTTTGCTGCTGTGTGTGAATGAATGCTGATGAGTCACTATAGGAAGAGCATTTGACCTTCTGTCTTACTCTACCGGATTCCTCTCTTCCCTCTATGCCTACACTCAAATCCTCCCCGTCGTCCACCCCGAAACCCCTTCCCAATACCTCACCTCCTGCCTCTCCCTCGAAAACATCCTGACCACCCTCTCCCCAGACTTGGTCGTGGTCGACCAGCTCTTTGCTGTCGCTAGAGACGTACTCGGAAAAGGCGACTGGAAATGGATAAGACTCTCGCCGAATACGATCAAAGAAGTCGCCGTAGTAGAACAAGGACTCGGCATCTTTCGCTGGCCCGCGTACGTCCTTCTCCTTCCTTCTCGTCTCCTCGCACTAACACCCCACAGTCTTTGTACCGGCCTCCCATACCCCGTTCCTTACTCCCTCCTCCCCCTCAACATCATCTCTACTCTGTTTCCCCTCTTCCACAACCCCCTCAACCCCCTCTTGCGTGCGTTCAACACCGCCCGCCATTCTGCGGGGTACAAAGGCCAGTTCCCCCTGCTTCACCCTGGTGAACCCACAGGTCGGCACAGCCGTGTCATCTGTATGTCCACACCCGGTTCCGAGATTGATGCTGTCTACCCGGGGAAGGATAAAGTGGTCTGTGCTGGTCCTATATTGCTACCGGTCAGGCCTTTGGCAGAAGCTGATCCCGAACTGCTCGAATGGCTTGGTCCCTCCCAATTAGTACTCATCAACCTCGGCACCCACTTTCTCCAAACCTCCTCTTTCGCCAACGCCATCCTCCACTCCATCCTCACCCTCCTCACCCTCCGACCCGACTTGAAAGTCCTCTGGAAACTATGCAAGTATGGCGAATACGATATCGACCTCTCCCTTCTCGGGGATGTGTTGGGTAAGAGGGTGAGGGTGGTGGAATGGTTGGATGCAGAGCCGGGGAGTATACTTCATACTGGGAAGGTGGCGTGTTTTGTGAATCATGGGGGCTCGAATTCGTATCATGATGGACTTGCGTAAGTACTCTCTGCTCTTTCGTCCTCCGGTTTCTTTCGACTTTGAAGCTGATGCACGCGCGTAGGGCGGGGGTACCACAGATCATCCTATCAGCATGGTTTGATTGCCACGATTTTTCGACGAGGGTGGAACATTTGGGTAATGGAGTCTGGGGTAACAAGCATGCTGCGTGAGTCTCCTCTCTCTTCATTCCTTTTCTTTTTTTTCCTCCTTCCTCTCTCTCTGGAACATCATCCCCTCAACCCCTTCTCCCCTCTTTTCCCGCTCTCCTCCCCCTAACTAAACCACCCTCCAAAAGCCCATCCTGCACCCAAAAAGAATTCACCTCCGCCCTCCATACCATCCTCTCGCCATCATCCCCTCTTTCCACGTCGATACAAGCAAAAGCGCGAGAATATGGGCGGGTTGTTCGAGATAGCTGGGGAGGGAGGGGAGGGAGGGAGGTAGCGGCTGGGGTTGTTTTGGAAGAGTTGGGGAGGGCGTTGGGAAGCCGGGGAAGGGAGACAATGGAGTAGTTGAGCGTGTTGATGTCGAGCGTGCTTGGGTTGCTGCCTTGTCTTGGGGTTCTGGGATATCATGTCTTGGGATTGTCTGGTGGGTATCTGCCTTCTTTAATGTCGTCTTTGCTTGCTGTCTGCTTCTTGTATTGTAAAGAGCCTTTAAGCTGCCACAGTTCTCAATCTGCAACTTTTCATGACTGCATGTTCGTCTTGTTCTTCTAATACTACAATCTCTTCTTTCTCAACCTTTCATCAACACGTAACGTATACCGTTCAAGACACCACACATTTCTGCGAACCAGATGACTTTGCATCATGGTGCGGCTACACTCACTGTCAATCATCAGTCATCACCAAAACATCCCTCACTCAACAAAGAACGCTTCACCCATCTGAACGGACAATCGATCTTATGCCCCTTGTCCACCAGCACCGCCTATACGTCGAGTCAGCTCATGGCCTTGGCATAAATGTATGACCAGAAGGATATGATACGTACATTGCAGCGAATGCACCACGTTTCGTGATCATGCGGTGCCTCCGGACTTTTCGCCCAAGGAGCATCACAGTTCTTGCAATAGTATTGCTTGACCAAGTGATCTTTGCGGACAGGCTTGACATGTTGGGCAGCTGCTTCCAACTCGGCTATCAGTTCCGGCACAATCATCAATGAGGGGATCTTTTTCCATAGTAAGGAAGGGGAGAAGAACGTACCAGTTCGGTCTTGCAAACTGTCGAACGCATGTCCCCTCCCATTGATCATTTGCATGTTGTCGCGCATTTGGCCTATGGTGCCGTCTATTTCGGCTTGGAGCGCTGCGGCAGTCTGTGGGAGGGCGTCAACTGGAAGTTCCATTCGTAGCAAAAGGCGATGCTGAGGAATGGCATCGCACGCAGCCTGGGCGAGGAGATGGAGGAGAAGGATGGAGGGACGTACTTTCTTTTGTTGACCAGACCTGTCCGGTGATCACGATCAGGGCCGCACGTCTTGATGCAGACAGTCGTCGGGCCGAAGAGATGCAGGACTTACATGTCGTTATAGGTGCTTAGGCTTGTGAGTTGGAGATCAAACGAGAGATGAGATAAGGAGCAGTGATCCAGCTCATATATAATATATATATTATATATATATATATTATATATATACATATAGCCGCAAAGGAGCATAACTCCTTCACAACGAGATGACGCTGGAACCAAGGTGGAGGAGGTGATCAACGCAAGTGAAATCCCGGCCTGTCCGGGGGCCCTCCATCAGTGATGGGGCTCAACCGAGGTACCGGAGAAAGGTCCTTCAGCTCTTTTGTCTCGCTTTTGGGAGCCCCAGTCCGATCGATAACGACGACCCTCTATCTGGATGTGAGGGCTGGACAAAGAAGAGTTGGACAAAAGGCGGTGGAAGGAGTGTCGTTGGTCGAGACATGCTGCGCTCGCCGGGGTAAGTACGCGACGGGTGGGGGAACTCAACGCCCCGCGGCGCGGTGTCAGAGCGACTTGGCAGGCTGCCCACCTCTCACCTTTTGTACAACCACAAGCCATGTCGAATAGAAGTATGGACAACACTTGCTGGATCCTCATTGAGCGGACATTGTTGGCGAGATCGTTCTGCCAGGAAGGCTGCAGTTGAGTGAATTTTAGCAGGTAGCAGCAGAAGTCGGTATTCCGAAGTCAGGCACTTCCCTCTGTTGCAGGTCATCTTTCATCTCGGTGCTGCTTACGATGCCCCATGTATGGGCCAATGAGGAAGAATAGAGAATGTGCTTTCTCTCGGCTGTCGCAGCCACCTGCAGATATCTGATTGTCTTCGGCCAGAATGCAAGAGCAAGTGAATCGGCAACAAAAAGTAAATCAAAAAAACATGCGCCAACGACGATTCGAACGCCGGTCGAATCCTTGGAAGGGATCCATCCTAACCACTAGACGATTAGCGCTGTCACAACTGAGTGATAAGAACAGCAGTGAGATCAACCGCAATTGAACCAATATCATAGACACTGAACACTGTGGAGTTGCCGATGATTTACCGATCACTGATCTGCAGAAACGAGGCACGGAACTAATTCTTCGTTATCAGATCTCTCTGCAATATGGCGTCAACATGCGCTCAAAATCTCTGACAATGGGAAGCGAGCGCACGCATAGGTCAAATGTATCTCCAGGGATCGTTTTATTTTCTTTTTCTATACGCGCAATGACAACAGACTTGAAAGACTACAAAGACGCACTCGGCCAGTCGCCCACCGCCCCTTCTCTCCGCCGGCTCGAGTCGGGCGGAAGCGATCTCAGAGGCGTTGCCGGCGATATTGTCACAGAAAGAGAGCACCGGGATCTGCTGAGAGGTCTTGCGCAGAGGCATATTTCCATGATTGCCTTGGCTGGTGAGACTTGTGAAGAGTGTATGGGATCACACTGACACACCAAGCAGGCTCCATCGGTACTGGTCTCTTCTTGTCTTTGGGCAGTGCTATCCAGAATGCCGGTCCTCTAGGATCTCTCTTGGGATATGGCTTCATTGGCCTTATTGTCTGCGCGGTACAATTCGCGCTGGGAGAAGTCACCGCTCTTTTGCCCGTCAGCGGGTCGTTTGTCAGACATGCTGAGTTCTTGACTGACCCAGCCTTGGGCTTCGCTTTGGGATGGAACATCGTCTATGGAAACTGGCTCTCGGTAAGTTCCGTCTTCTCCCCCCATCAGTGCACACTGACGTCGCCAAGGTTCCGTCCGAGATCTCCGCTATCTGTGTTCTGTTCCAGTACTGGACAGACCTCAGCTCCTCCGTCTTTATCGTCATCTTTATCGTCCTCACCGCCTTTGTCGGTCTCATCAACATACGATGGTACGGAGAGATTGAGTTCTTCTTCGCCATCATCAAAATCCTCCTCATCATCGGCCTCGTCCTTTTGGGCCTCATCATCGACTTGGGAGGTGTATCGGGGGTGGAAAGGATCGGTTTCCGATACTGGAGAGACCCTGGGCCTTTGGTGGAGTACATGGGTACTGGCAGCTGGGCCCGTTTCCTCGGCTTCTGGTCCGTCATGATCGGCGCCGTCTTCTCCTTTGCCGGTGTCGAGAGTGTCGCCATGGCCGCTGCCGAGACCAAGAATCCTCGTCAAGCCATCCCCAAAGCCTGTAAACGCGTCTTTGCCCGAGTCTCCTTCTTCTACGTCCTCGCCGTTCTCATCGTTGGTATGCTTGTCCCCAGCAACGATCCCGACCTCGGAGACGACTCTGGCACAGCCGCCACCTCGCCTTTCGTTCTCGCCGCTTCCGCTGCAGGCATCAAAGCAATCCCTTCTATCGTCAACGCCGTCCTCATCACTTCCGCTTTCAGCTCTTCCAACCAAGCTCTTCTGGCAGGAACCCGAGTCTTGTACGGTCTCGCCCTCAAGGAACAAGCCCCGCGCTTTTTCTTGCGTACCAACCGATGGGGTACGCCATACGTTTGCGTGGGGATCTACATTATCTTTTCCTTCTTGGCCTTTATGAGTCTTTCAGAGAACGCCTTGACAGTGTTTTACTGGCTTTTGGACCTTGTCGGATGTGGCGTGCTCATCTCGTGGAGCGCTGTTCTGGTAAACCACTTGAGGCTTTTAGCGGCGTTGAAGAAGCAAGATATTCCCAGAAGTGTCTTGCCTTGGAGCAACTGGTGGACTCGTGAGTACCCTGATGCATATCAAGAGACGAGAGCTAATATGGTATAGCCTACTCTTCTGCCTTCGCCCTCTTCTTCTGCCTCGTCGTCCTCCTCACCAACGGCTGGGAAGTCTTCACACACGGCGGCTGGTCTCCTTCCGGCTTCATCACGGCTTACCTGTGCGTCTCGTTATCTTCTTCTCCCCTTCCGACCAGCAGCTGACACTCTCAATAGTGATATCCCTCTCGTCCTCGCCGCCTACCTCATCTGGAAGTTTTACAAAAAGACCAAATATGTACCCCTCTCCGAAATCCCCATTAGGCGGGTGTTGGAGAGTATTGACACAGAGCCCGAGGAGAAGGAAGAGAGGCAGACAGGATGGGTGAGGTGGGTTAGTTGGTTGTGGGATTAGAAAGGGAGTGTGTAGGGGTCGTAACCGAGGGAGGTTGCAAGGGATTCCTGAAGGCTTCAACTACTATCTGTTTGTCATGTAATACTAGGCGTTTTGTGTCATCAAAAGAGGAGGCGAAGAGAGGTCAATGAGAAGAGGTCTCAACTCCAGCACCTAATAGCCTTTCTTATATACCTGAATGGGCGATGAGACGATAGAAGACGAGACAGCTATGTTGTGTGATTACTACGGCAAGGGGGGTGACCATGGGTACAAGTCGGCCAACGAAGTGTACGAAAGAACGACTAGAAATAACAAGGAGGGCGAGACGAAAAGGTAAGGTAATGGAGGAGGTGAGGGTGTGCTGTTCAGCTACGTCGTATAGCTTTACTAGCAGAGGAGACGGAAACTTTAACGAACGAGTATAACTCAGCGAGACAAAGACGAGAGTAAGTAGAAGACCCAATTTGATGAAAGTGTAGAATTGGGCCCCCATACTCGGACCGATCACTTTTCGCCCGGCCGCCTGCAGTCTGGTTCAGCGCCAAGAAACCAGAAATCTCCCTGGAGTTGGACGACCAATTCCTGGATGATGCGGCCTGTCTGTTTCCCGTTAATATGTCTCACGGCTTGCTCACGGCCGATTTTTAAATGCTCGTTTCAATACCTCCTGGCAACCTCCTGGTGCTCCAGCTTCCACGTCATCACACATCTCATTACGTATTCCTTTTGAGCTGCTGGACGCGTCGCGACACTCATCACTCAACACTCGTCATCACTTCCTCGTTTGTGGCACCCCTCTTGCTTATCCTGTTACCTCACAACAATCATATAGATCCAGGAGCTACGCACCTCAAGGGACATTGCTATCACAACACCTACACAGCAATTCATCTCCGAGACACAACCAACTCCGACTTAACCCGATACCTATCTCCAACCAAGACCTAGACACCCAAGCACTCTCATTCTTCTCTACCCCAATTACGATTCAAAGACACACCCAATCACTCTGTAACTCAGATACACTTTCTATACATAGAAACACTTTTCTTTACATAGCGTCTGCTTCCAAGATATCGTGAGCCGTAGCAATTCTAGAACTTATTTCCATAGCAAGTTAGGTGGCAAATATGGGAAAGCTGAGTAAGCCACTAGGGCTCTGGATGTCTATATAAGTCGATAGTTTTACATAGATTTGAGGATCCCAGCGACCTCGAATACGTCTGACTTGCCTATGAATTAGGAAACCAAGTGAACAGGCCTACTCGAACTATACTAACTAAGCCGACAGAAGTCATCAGCCTTAGGTTAGTGCAAGCCCTATCGAGTCAAAGATAGCCTTGCTGATCAGGTCCCAACACGTACGCGTATATTGTTGATTGGAATCGACATATACATATATATAGATAGCCATTTCCCTTTGATTAAGACAAGAGATACTTTATACTGCTGAGCAGCTATATAGGGACACTGTGGGTAGGACCTGACATAATTCGAGGTCGCTACATATCAGAGTATTCCTTCTTCTCTTGGACACCGACACACCTTAACGACAACCATAACAACATCCTAAACCACCTTCACTACCATCCATAACCATGTCGAATCCTTCTGGTACTAGACGCATCGCCACTAGGTCTGCTGCTGGTGTACCGCTTGGGGAACTTGCTGGTCAAGGTGAGACCTTTTCTCAGCCAGGTTCACCACAAGCTGGACCGTCAGGAACGGAACGCACGCTGACGAAGAATTTCCTCATGACGATATCATTTCTTCTCATGGTGACAACGACCCTGACAACATTGACGACCACAACAACCCACTTGTTTCCCCACATCCATCACAACACAACACCACCTCGAAACCAACACCCCGTCGACATGAAAGGATTCGACATTGTTATGAATGGTAGTGAAGGTGGTTTAGGATGTTGTTGTGGTTGTCGTTAAGGTGTGTCGGTATCCAAGAGAAGACTGTTATACTCTGATAAGTTGCCACCTCGAATTATGTGCCTGTGGGGCCGACGAGGGTGAAAATGCTAGGGGCGCGAATGGGTCTAGGCGTGAGAGGGGCTACTGCTGCTTCTGGTAGTGTGAGTGTTACCTCTGGCCCCGGCGTTGTAGACGATGATGCTCTCTAGTGGACTGGTTCATGCGACTCCTCTTCCCGTCCCCTCTTCTCTTCCTCTTCCTCCTCCATCTCTGCGGGCCAGTCTGCTGTCTACAGCCTCTGCCACTGGCGTACTCTATTGTACAATCCCCGCTTCTTGCGGCGGTTGGGTGGGAAGGAGGGATTCTGGGGGCGGATATATGGGAGTGTATGGCTTGTGCTTAGAGAGACGTGTGGGAAGCTGTGGTCGGGTGGTGGTGTTGTGATATGTTGGAAGAAAGGATTGCGGAGATGGCCGCCGGATGTTCGCGCTGGAGTGTTTCATCATTTCAGGGTAGTTTCCATATGTCTTCTCCTTCTTCTCTATCTATGAAAACTGTTCAATTTTTCAACAAGCAAAAGCGGCCTGACAGCGGTGAGACCTCGAGGATGAGCAGTAGCAGCGCAATTGGAGACATAATGATCCGCAGAAGGGTGTTGTAGGTTTGTTGAATCTGAGGAGAGTGGAACCCAACAACCAACAAGATGTCGCAAACACGACGGAACTATTTTCTGCAGCCGACGCAACGCCGACCGTCATCGTTTGGTCATCGTCGACCTGTCGTCGACGAAGTACTCTATATAAGCCATCTCGACATTATTTCTGTTATTCCCTTCTACAGTCGCCATATCCCATTCCTCGGCCCCGTAGACGTCGCTCACATCCAGGGGGAGCCATGTCCACCGCAAGCCCCTCATCCCTCATCGCAGAGGTCCTCCGCCAGCCAGACGATCTCCTCAAACTCGCAGCATATCGCAAGAAGCTCCTCAAAGAGAAGGCCGCACTCGATACAAAGCTCTCAGAAGGAGTCAAGTCTCAGCTGGATGCCACGAGAGACGCGCTGGTGAAGCTGCAGAACAGCAAGGCCGCTGTGTCGGTCATTAGGGAGGAGATGCTGGCGGTGGAGAAGCTTATGGGAGGCGGGGAGGGCGGAGAGAATTTTGAGAAGATCATCAGGGTGAGTGTTGCTCTCAATGGGCTGATCAGTGTACTAATGCGTCTCAGGTCTCGGCTGTGCACAGAAACTTTGCACAGACAGCCAAAATGGTCCAAAACCTACGGTCAATGTCCGACAAGGTCGACCACCTTGCCTCCCTTCTAGACTCGGACAAGAACCACCCAGACGGCTCCGCTGGCCCCTCATACAACCTCCTCCCTATTCACTTCCAACTCCAACAACTTGAGGCATTCAGAAACGAGACGCTGCACCAGGCAAAGAAGTCTGCCCCGCAGGAGCGCGAGATTTTGATCAAGTGGTTCGAGAAACTGGATAGAGTGGGTCAGGACTTTGAGTCGTGGATGTGGGAGATTGGGGGACGAATTGTCGAGCTGGCGAGGAAGGGCAATGGAAGCACGGTCGTCAGGTTGTTGAAGATCATTGAGTTTGAGGGTAAGGAGGACGAAAAGGTATGTACACTTGAAATGGGCTGAACTCTACTGACAAGCTGTAGGCTGTAGCCATGCGTCTTGTGCGGAGGGTCGCTACCTCAGACGCCGCCTCCAAGTTCAAGTCCATGCAGGCCAACGGCCGAGTCATCAAGAACTTCCGCCACAAGTTCCTCGACGTCTTGAAAGCTTCCATTGCCCAGTCGTTTGAGCGCCACTATCTTGACAATCAGTACGACTTTTTGGCCTTCATTGAAGACTTGTCATGGGTCTACAAAGACATCATCCGTATCAAAGACGATATCGGTCCCCTTTTCCCCGACGACTACGAAATCACCTCCTTCCTCGTCAAAAACTATCACAAGTCTCTGAACGATACACTTCGAAAAGTAGTCGACTCGGCACCAGAAGCTCAAGTATTGCTCGAGCTCCACGCCTGGATCAAAGAGTACCGCGTGAGCATGAAAGAACTCGAAGTCCCCGCCGCTTGGCTCCAGCCTCCTCTTTTGGATGGCAAGTCGCAAGACCTCATCGAGGACTACGTCAAGCTCATCGTGGCCAAGCTCGAGGAGTGGACAGTCAACCTTATGAAGGAAGAGACTGGCACTTTTACGTGGCGTACGCGCGAGCCGGAGCAAGGAGACGACGGGCAGTTTGGCATGGAGGGTGTGGTCGATTTCTTCCAGCTTGTCAACCAGCAATGCGACTTGGCACTCGACTCCAATCAAGGAGCGGTACTGGCAAGAGTTATCACAGAGTCGGCCAAGGTTATGAGGAGAGTGCAGGATGAGTGGCTGAAACTGCTGGCGGAAGAGATGAAGGGTCACATGGAGAAGAAGCCAGAGGAGGTCCTGCCTGGTCTGGTCGAGTACGTCATTGCGCTCGCAAACGACCAGCTCAAATCTGCCGACTATGTCGAGGCCCTCTTGACTCGACTCGAGCCTCTTGTGTCTGAAAAGTACAAGGCAGTCATCTCTGCCCGCCTGAACGAGGCTATCGATGGCTACCTCGACGTTGCCAAACGGTGTACCACCGCCCTCGTGCAATTCGTCTTCCACGACCTGCGCGTGGCTACTAAGTCTCTCATCACACCGGCTTGGTACCAAGAGTCGCTCATGGACCAAATCATCGAGACCATGAAGGACTACATGGGAGACTACCAAGAACATCTCAACCCGTCCATCTTTGAGATCCTTGTCGAAGACTTCCTCGACACCTTCCTCATCTGCTACCTCTCCGCTCTCCGCCGAGCCTCTTCCAATTCACTTCGTATTCCCACCGCCACCCAAAAGATCAAATCCGATATATCCACCGCCTTTTCCTTCTTCGGGGCTTACAAGCCCGCACAGCAAGAGCTGGAACAAAACTTTGAGGTGTTGGATATGGTGGTCAGCATGCTGGATGCGTCGCCGCAGATGGTATTTATAGACTACTGGAATTTCGCAAAGGTGCACGGGCCACAGCTGGCGTTTGTGGAGGCGTTGATGAAGGCGAGAGATGATCTTGATAGGGATGGGGTCAAGGAGATTATGGAGACGCTGAGGAGAAAGGTCAAGGAGGAGGAGATTGGAGATCCGGAAGAGCCGACTATCATGGTGAGTGAATCTTGTCTTTCTTTACTTCAATGGCTGACAAGGTTTTGCAGGTCAAAATCCAAGCTACATCAGGAGGCTTGTTTTCCAACCTCACCAACCTGGCGGGCACATACACCAGCAACTTCAGCGCGCCCAAATTCTCAGCATCCGGTCTCAGAGGGCTATAACCTCGGCTGTATCTTGTTGTACTATAGATTGATGATTCCCAGAAGAGTTTGTAAAACACAAAATCGCGTGCCAGTCTTGATTGAGCATTTTCGTCGATTTCACAGAGTGGGCCCAAGACACCATCATATGCTCTGTAGTTCCCATGTATCACGCGTTCATATGCCACTGTTCGGGAAGCCGACCTGACATAACAGGCATCATTACTCGAGGACTCACCATGCTCGAAACGGCTGACAAGCGTCCAAATATTCAATTTGCAAAGGCATAAGTACCGTATCCTCAGGCTGTTGAATGATAGTACTCTCTGGAGCATATCTATCGATTTTGCATCAATGATCCATGCCAACTACCAACATGTCTAGGTGCTCAGGCCCCTGAGGATCGATTCGCGCGGGCGCCATCTATAATGCCTAGTCTACATCTTTCTCACTGTGCTCCACCATGTTGGGAAGACTCTCCGCCAAGGCGTCAATCTTCTTGAACTGATGGGCAAACCTAGAGGGGTAGAGGAAAGGTCGGAGGTCGAAGCGGTTATCGTCTGGAGAATATGACTCCATATGGACAGAAGGAGTGAGTGTCGTCCTGTCGTCATTGTCAGCTGACCCTTTGGCAAAAACTAAAGAGATCCAAACTCACATCTTATGCCTGTTGATAGCATACATGAAGAAGAAGTGCTTGACCTTCTCCGCAATCTGTACCGGGGACAAGAACGAGCCCCATTCCTGAACGAGCTTGCCGTACATGCTGTAAGGACCGCATTTCTCAACTTTACGGAGACGGCCATAGACGGACAGTTCGTCGTAGGTCATGCCCATCTCGACTTCGTCAGATTGGACGGCATTGTCGGGACCCATGGGAATAAGCTCGGCGGAGGGGATGGCGTGGATGAAACTGCGGGTGAAGTTGGGTCAGTGCAGGATACCGACTGAAGAACGTTGAGACCCACTCGTAAAGAATAGGCATACTGAACTTGACCTGAGCCCAGGCAATGAAACTCTTGAGGTCGGTCTTACTAATACCTCCGATAGGATTCACATCCGCACTAGAGCAGCTGCGTACCCACATCAGCATCTTCAAATGGAGTCAAACAAACAGGAGACTCACTCGTATTTGGTATAGTACCCTCGCAGACTCTCATCCACATTCGCACTTCCCAGCACCAACAAGCTCCCCACCTTGCCCCTCGTCCAAGGCAACAGTTGCGCAAACATGTAACCCACCACCATCCTCAACCTTGCCTGGATGTTCTGCATTGCGAGGTTTTCGGCAGCAGAGCCGCCGTGGACCTTGAATTGGGGGGTTTGACCGGTGACGAAGCTAAAAATACCTTTAACGGCGGTGACGGCAGTGTCCATGTTTAGGTCGACATGATAGCTACACTGGAGTCAGTACTGAGAATGACGGAGGGGAGACGGGGCCGACTCACGCTCCAATAGCATTCGCAAGGTCCTTGGCTCTCTGCCTCGTCTCGTTACTAGAGTTTTCGGTACCCATGTAACAAGTGTGGAAGATCCTTCCGGCGAATTCCCTGGGGTCGATAGGAAGGTACTCGCTGCCCTCGGGCTCCCCAGTGATTCGTCGGGCATCCTCAATGACTTGCTGGTCTAAACACGATATCAGCTAATAAACACACTTTGCAACGCGTCGACCTACCACCCTTCTTGGCATGTTCAGCCACGAGACGACACATTGAGTGGATGATGACTGCGGTGGCGCAACTGTCGATACCACCACTGAGAGGGAGGAAATAACCCTGAGTTCGGGAGCGACGGAGATAGTCCCAAAGCCAGCATGCAGGGCCAAGCCTATGACACCGTCAGCCCATGCCTTTTGCGATGGTTGAGGACTCACGCAATCTCTTCCTCGGGTGTGTGGTATTGCACTTCCATGGTCCCCTTCGTCTCCCTGTCTCCAACTCGAATACCCTTCCCACCATCCAACCTGCACTCAAGCTCGACCCTATCATACGACTCGGCCTGTGCACTCTGCATCCTCCTACTGCTCGTCGTCCTATGCGCCCTGACAGCTTCAAGGTCGACAGTAGCTGAGATAACCTCCACATCCGACAGAGAGAACTGTGATCCTTGGGCGAGGATGCGGCCGTTGAGCGCGATGAGGGATGCACCGTCGTAGTAAGATCGGTCACCATCGCAGCCTTGTTGGTTCGCGTAAAGGTAGATGCCACCCAGCTTCATCGTGGCTTCTTTGATGAGCTCAACACGGCGGTTGAGTTTGCGAAGTTCGTGGTGAGAGCCAGAGGAGTTTGTGAAGATCTCGACGCCATCAAGACCCATGAGGATGTGAGGGCTGGAGGCGTCAGGGTCCGTCAACGAGATGAAGATCGCCGACTCACGATGCAGGAGTGAACAGCTCCTCACACAGTTCCACACCAATCACAGTGTCCTCGGTCGCCACAACGCCATCGCCAAAGGGAACAGAAGTTTGACCGGTGATCTTCTTGATGATGGATGGAAGAGGGTGCTTGTCAAGCTGCCTGTTCTTGTGCCAGGGTGTGAAGTGACGGAGCTCTCGCTGAAACCGATGATTATGAGCGTTTGTCTATAAGGCAAGATGAAAACTTACATAGTTACCGTCGTTGGCCATCCACATCTTGGGGCGGATCATGACAATCTTGCCATTGTGGATGATGACTCGACAGTTGTAGTTGTTGTTCTTGTGCTCAATAGGCCTGTACTCTTATCAACTCGACCCGCCATGCGAAATCGCTCGAAAGACCTACATTCCGATATCACAAACGATTCCCTGGGCCTCCTCGCTCTGGAGAATGGTCGCGAGGACTTCCCATGAGTGCAGGTTGGTATCGCCTGTAAATTATGGTATCAACATGCATATCATGACAGCCAAGTCGCGAACGTACCTTCCAAGAAATGGTCGAGACAGCCATAGCCGGGAATTTCAAGCTCTGGACCGACTCGAAGGGTAGCCCCTCTTTCCTTTGCGATAGCTATAGACTTCAGTATCCGTTCACAGTTTCCCTAGAAACGCTTGAGTATATAGCTATTGCAGCACATGACGAACATACCTCAAAGTCGAGAGCCCACTGGCGGAGCTGACTGGGATCTACGGTTAGCGGGTCTCAGCACGGAGCTGATCCAGAAACATACCAGCTGAGACAAAATGGTCAGCATGCCTCTCAGACCTAACATGTGACCTACGTTGCGACGGTAACGAGGTGCATCGTGTTCGGGAAGACGTACAGACACACTGCAGAGACTGATAGAGGCCATAAGCGCGGGCGGCGACTTCCGCTCCGGCGAACCGAACGACGGAAGCCCTGCATGATCAACTGTCCTTCACGCTCTTAGACGAAGGCGATGCCGTCTTGCTTGCTGCCCCCTAGTCCGTCATCATCTCACTCGCATTCCCCTGAACTTGGAGGTCAAGCTGACAAGATCAACAGCTACACCAGGTTCGACAGAGACCTGGTCAGCCGTGGCAACTACCTCCCTCTCAAGTTCAAGACGGGACTGGACAGGATGGAGCGGATTCTCGGGTTGACCCCTATCAAGTCGTAATCCTGTCTCAGTCAGTACGACTTACGAGTACGCCCAAGGGTTTCAAGTTGTACAATACTCTACCATAAGATAGGAAAAGGCGACAAATGACATGATGGGTATGCAACGATGTAAGTTACAGGCCTTTGGTCGACGGCACTCTCGAAGGATTACTTGTGCAACATGAACGAGTCATGGTATTTGGATCAAAACAATTCATAGGGCTGCCTACAAAAATCCCAATTTAGATGATAACAACACTCTTCTCTTCTCATTCCTTCTAGCCTCGCTCATTCATTTCCCTTCTCCTCTCTATTGGCCACCACGAAGACGCAAGACAAGGTGGAGGGTAGACTCTTTTTGGATATTGTAATCGGAAAGAGTACGGCCATCTTCGAGCTGCTTGCCGGCACTACATAAACAATGTCAGCAGCGTACAAGATGGAAGAGAGAGGTAGACTTACAAGATCAATCGCTGCTGGTCAGGGGGGATACCTTCCTTATCCTGGATCTTGCTCTTGACATTGTCGATGGTGTCGGAAGACTCGACCTCGAGGGTGATGGTCTTGCCGGTAAGAGTCTTGACAAAGATCTGCATACCACCACGAAGACGGAGCACCAAGTGGAGGGTGGATTCCTTCTGGATGTTGTAGTCCGAGAGGGTTCGGCCATCTTCAAGCTGCTTACCAGCGCTGAGAAGAGCGTCAGTCAAAAGTCACAGAGATGGTGAAGGACACTCACAAGATCAATCGCTGCTGATCGGGGGGAATGCCCTCTTTGTCCTGAATCTTTGACTTGACGTTGTCGATGGTGTCGGAGGACTCGACTTCAAGAGTGATGGTCTTTCCAGTCAATGTCTTGACGAAGATCTGCATACCACCACGGAGACGGAGCACCAAGTGGAGGGTGGATTCCTTCTGGATGTTGTAATCAGAAAGGGTTCGGCCATCCTCGAGCTGCTTTCCGGCACTATACATGGTGTCAGTCATGGCCAATGTTGAGAGGGAGAATATGCTTACAAGATCAACCGCTGCTGGTCAGGGGGGATACCCTCCTTGTCCTGAATCTTGCTTTTCACGTTGTCGATGGTGTCGGAAGACTCCACTTCCAAAGTGATGGTCTTTCCGGTCAAAGTCTTGACAAAGATCTGCATACCACCACGAAGACGGAGCACCAAGTGGAGGGTAGACTCCTTCTGGATGTTGTAGTCGGACAAGGTTCGGCCATCTTCAAGTTGTTTACCAGCGCTAAACAAACGTCAATTGCAATTCAACAGACACGACAAGGACAACTTACAAGATCAGTCGTTGCTGATCAGGAGGAATACCTTCCTTGTCCTGGATCTTGGACTTGACATTGTCAATGGTATCCGAAGACTCAACCTCGAGGGTAATGGTCTTTCCCGTCAAGGTCTTGACAAAAATCTGCATACCACCTCGGAGTCGGAGAACGAGATGGAGAGTAGACTCCTTTTGGATGTTGTAGTCGGAGAGAGTGCGACCATCTTCGAGCTGCTTTCCGGCGCTAAAGTACGGTCAGCGTGAACAACAAAGTAGGAATCGGATACTCACAAAATCAAACGCTGCTGGTCGGGAGGGATGCCTTCCTTGTCCTGGATCTTGCTCTTCACATTGTCGATGGTGTCGGAAGACTCGACTTCCAGAGTGATAGTCTTGCCGGTCAAAGTCTTGACAAAGATCTGCATACCACCACGGAGACGGAGCACCAAGTGGAGAGTAGATTCTTTCTGGATGTTGTAGTCCGAGAGAGTTCGGCCATCTTCGAGCTGCTTACCAGCGCTATCCAAGCATCAGCCTAGTCCGGATGTATGCCGATAGCCACTCACAAGATCAATCGCTGCTGGTCAGGGGGGATACCCTCCTTGTCCTGGATCTTGGACTTGACATTGTCGATCGTGTCCGACGACTCGACTTCGAGGGTGATGGTCTTGCCGGTAAGGGTCTTGACGAAAATCTGCATTGCGGGTTGGATGTGCGGTCTGTGTGGTTGAAAGGGTGGATGCGGATGTGACGATCGCGGGGTGACAGGACGATGATAAGGGGCGGTAGAAGGCAGTTGGTCAGCGATGGTTCACTACAGTTGGCAGCCAGTGGCAAGTGGGGCAGAGCGGCGAATGGATGGCAGGAGGAGGTGCGCGGGGGCTGGATGCAGACGTTGGATGGGGGTGGAAGGCGGTAGAAAGCGGGTGGCAACGCCTGGGTGCACACGTGACGACCCGCCCGGCGATGGTCGCCATCCGCATCGTTGCTCCCCTGGGATGCTCCATAGAGTGGTGGGATAGAGAGTACTCACGTTGGATGGTAATAGAGGGGGATGAGAGGAGGAAGAGAAAGAGATAGAAAGCTGACTGTGTTATATCGCATCATCGCCCCGTCCGCCGGAGCACCCCGCATCCGGACATCCGGAGCATGGCCCAGGCCCTGAGCGCGATGTCCGGATGCAGGCAGCCGGGATGTCCGCTGGTGGGACGCGCCGTGTCCTGTAGTGACGATGCTGTCTCCAAGAGTTGTATACGCCTCTCTCTACAAGTACGGACTCTCTTGGGTCCCTCCACGTGTCCGCCATGTCCATCTCCCTCCCCAACGGCACGCTCCTCGCCGCCCCCTCCTCACACCAGGTACAGCTCTCCGCAGCCGTCACCCGCATCCTCCATCTCGCACGCTTCTCCCCAGAGTACGCCCGCCCTCCCCCGCATCCCACGTGCAAGTATACTCACCCAGATCCAGGCTCAAGACCCGCGACCTCCAGCTCATGTTCAAAGACTGGGAGAGCGACAGAGGGGGCTACAGAATCAAGTGGCTCGACGACACCAACGCCTTGATCGTCTTTGCCGATGCCAACGTCGGTCAGTCAGCTTTCCGTCTACAGAGAGCCCGTCTGCCCCAGGCTGCGTATCTCGAGAGCCCACTATGGCACTCCCACCTCAAGGGAACCATGCTGACTCCTCGCCCCTAGCCAAACGCGCATACCTCTCCTTCCTCCTCCGCCCGCCTTCTGCCTTCTCGGGCCTCATCCGCCCCTACGACCGCCCCGACGCAGCCGCCATCATCCAATCCCTCGCCGCCCGCTCCCTCGGCCACCGCTCCGGCATGTCCTCCGTTGCCCACACGTCGGGCCAACCCCCCATCTCTGGTCCTCCCGCCCCCTTCCCGTTCCCCGCCAACAACGACCCTGCTGCGCCCCAGGTGCATAGCCGCGCTATGAGCGTCACCAACGCGCACCACCATTCTAAATCAGGCTCCATCTCGGGTTTGCCTGGGGGTGCTGGTGCGCCGGCTGGTGCGCCGGGAGGCGTGGCGGGTGCGCCGAGGAGAGCAGGACATGGTCGTTCAGGATCGGCGTCTTCGTCGTGGGGACGCAATGCCCTCCCTGGTGCGCTCAGCGGCTTGACCAGCGGACTCGGGTCTCTCGGAGGCCTCGGAGGTAGCGCAGGGCTTGCAGGCGGCGCGCTCTCCTTCCCCAACGCTTCTTCCAAACCCACCCTCCCCACACACGATGAATCATCCGGCGGGCCACCTTCCCGCTCTGCGAGCACCTCGAGCGGCGAAGCCGTCTTACTCGTCGACCCGAGTGCGCGAACCGGGATGAGGACAGCTTCGGCTACTGGGAGTGTGGAGGGTGCAAATAGGCCGAGGAGGGATAGTGTCAGCGCGGACAAGGCGTTGAGGGAGGTGCAGAAGGCGTTGGCGTCTACGAGCTGAGCTCTTGTCTCCCATCTACAATCACATCGTGAAAGCGTGGAAATATATTACACCGTGTACGATATTTGATGATCAACAAACCGACCAACCGCATTTTTCGATACTAACTCTTTATGCTACACACAAAGACCCTATTTGTAGCACAAAAGTCAATCTTTCGACTCTCTTTCTGTACATATCATTCAACACCTTTGACTCTACATCACATCAAACCCTATGCAAGTGTTATGAGATATATAAAGACTTCACGATTATATACAATTATAGCTTTTCTTCCTTCTTCTACACAGGGACTTCGCTGTCTACAGGCAGTTCACTCTGTCCGCTCTCGTTCTTGATCGGTGTACCACCCGCACTCCCCAGATCGTCGCTCTTTGCAGGAGTGTTGGGTAACGACACGCTCGCAGGATCCACAAGCGGCACCGACGTCCCAGTCCCTTGCGGGCTCAACGGCCCTCTCCCACTCTGCACACTCTGCCCAGTCGTTTGCGGCACCATCTTTCCCCCCGTACTCGGCGTCGCCGTCCCCGACCCCCCAGTCAGATGCGCCCTCAACATCACCTCATCCTTCCTCAACCTCAGCCTATCCGCCTCTTCCGCCCCTCCCGTCTTTTTCAACTTGCGCCCCCCCACAAACCCGCGCAGCTCGGCTTCAAAGTCGTCCACCTTGTTTAGACGCTCCTTTTCGCGCATACGTTGTTGGGCTTCGATGGCGCGGAGACGAGAGTCGGGGTCTGCTTCTTTGTTTCGGATTTCGAGCAAGAGTGTAGATATATCCCCTCCGCCAGACGTCTCATCCCCCGCATCCGCGCCGACCCTCACTTTCACAGGCCTATTGCCCGTCGCCCTCTGCTCCACAAAGTTTTCCACAAACCCCCACATACTCTTCGCATCCTCCACATCCTTCTTCAAATCGCCCACCAGCTTGATCTGATGGTTCAGCAGCTTTTGCTCCTCCATCACGCGATGCAACTCGCTCTGCCAAGTACCTCGCCAAGTCGGGTCGGCAAGCTTGACGGCTTTCGCAAAGTCGTCCACCATCTGCGTCGACTTGGCCAGTTCCGCTCGGATATCATCCAGCTGGCGTTTGGAAGGCGTCACGTAGCGCTTGTAAGCGTCGATACGGGCAGCATCGATGATATCCGTGATATCTTCAACAGCCTTGATCGTATCCGTAAACTGCGTGTCCAACTCTGCTTTACTCTTGTCCACCAGCGCCCTGTTGCTGTTGGGATTGACCGCAGTAATCTTCTTCATCGCAGCAAGCTCGTCCCGGAGCGCGGTGATGGTGGTGGTAGACTCTTCCAGGTTCTCGCTGTGCGCTTGCCTGGAGATGGCCAGCTCCCGCCGGAGGATCTCGAGCTCGTCATGCTGTTCTTGCAGCTGCCTGATATGGTCTTCCGTAGGACCGACGACGAGGGGTGTGGGGGCGGGGAGGGACGCGGTACTGGCAGCCACTTGGTTCGGAGACGCAGAGGGGCTCAGGGCGAAGTCTTCTTTGAGAGCTGGAGGGGCGAGTACAGAGAGGCGTTTGGTAGTCTCTTTTTCTTTTGCCAGGGCTGATCGGAGATCTTTCATCTCTGTCATGAGCGTGGCGAAAGTAGAGTCGATGTGGAGCTTGACTTGGTCAAGAGCTATTACAAATATCAGTAATCAGAAAAGACAACGCATGCAGCGACTCACGTTCAATGTTTAAACACAATGTGCACCCTTCTCTCAGATCCTCAATCCCCTCAAGTTCATACTCCATCCCATCTTTATCCCTTATATACACATCCGGAAAGTCTTCCTTTCCCGGATCATACTCGAATCGCTCCATAAACACCAATTTCAGCTGCTCCAGCGTGATTGGCAGGTCCAACGTCTGTTTCTTGGTCTTGCGCCCGATTTGAAGAAAGACGGAGAGCTTGTTCGGATCTCTAGGTGGGACAGCGGGGTAGGACGGGGGACGGGGAGTAGCCGATGGCGAGGAAGGAGGGGGTGTCTTGACGATACGGACAGATCCAGTAGGACTGGAAGGCTCAATTGTGCTATGTGTCACATCCTCATCCCCGACCTCTTGCACCTGCTCCAAATTCGGTGATCCACCTCTCGAACCTCCAGCTCTATCCGGCACCCCAACACCGAGGCCAACGCCCTCGGGAAGGGGTGTGACAGCACTCGTCTGCTGCATCTGCTGCTGCTCTCGCTCTCTCATAGTCTGCTGAGCAGCTCGACGGGTGGGTCTTTGTGGGCTTGCACGAGGAGAGGAGGGGTCAAAGTTGGCCATCGTAAAGGACGAGAATCGTTTGGAAGCTCGTCGTTCCAGGACGTCTGAACGGCCCAAGGCGGCAAGAGTCGCACGAGTGCCAGGGGGTACTTCGGGTATCGGAAGAGACTCGGGGGAAGGTAGATTGGGGTGGAGAGACGAGAAATTATGTTGGTCGGCAGGAGGGGTCGAAGACTGCAGGTTGATCTGCCCCGGCAGCTCCAAAGAGGGTAGAGCTGGAGTCTCACTGCTAGGCTGCTGGGAATGCCTCTCACTGCTCCCACTAGCTCTAGATTGCCTGTCGAAGCTCGTTCTCGCCGGTCTCCGTCTCAGGTCAACCGACCCCCTCTTCTCCTCTTCCTCGGGCACCGCGTCCATCTTTCCAGCTGTCACACTTGCTCTAGCCTCATTCACAGGCGATGTCACAGACGCCTCCGAGTCCATTGAAAACCTCGATACCGGCCGTCCAAAGCTATCACGAGGGAATCGATCAGGCCGAGGAGGTGTAGGCTTGTTGGTATTGATGGAAAGATTAGGTTTGGGCTGTGGTGCAACTGATTGAGGAAGGGGAGGGGCAGAGGGAGCACCCGCCAAAGCCGTACCAGAACTGGACCGAGAACCAGGCGAGATGGAGATGACGGGGATGTCATAGCTCGACTGACTCTGGCTATCGGAGCTTCCGCCACGGGCCATGACATGATGGATACCATCCTGATGCGGTGGATTTGGCGAGCTAGGACGCCGAGGACCGGGAGGTCTGGCGGGGCGGAAGGCATCTGGTGGTGGTGGGCGGGACGGCATGGGACGGCGTTCGCGTTCTGCCAAAGCAGGATTGGAGGGTGTACGCTGTGTCGGGATAGGAGAGACGGAGGGATAACCTTGTGGCAGCTGTTGTTGGATCATAGATGGCGATGCGGACGCTGTGGAAGTACCAGAGCGCCCAGACAGACGAGGATCATCGGGGTACTCTCTAGAAGCGTTCCGGTGGGGAGGATTGGGGGCAGGCTGAGCTATGGGCTGAGATATGGCAGGCGCCGCCGGAGCTTGGGAAGTCTGAGATAGGTTGGTCAAAGACGAGCTCGGCTCATACGACCTGCCCTTGTCCTGCATCATCCGTTTGTATTGAGACTGCTTTTGCTTCAGACCTTGAAGGAGGTTGTAGATGATCTGGCGGATCTCGGGTAGATAGAGCTCCAGGGTTTCTCTGGATTGCTCTCCGGATAGACATTGCTCGAGGCAGTTACGAAGATCTTGCGGTATAGAGCTTAGCTCGCTAGAGAGGTGGTCAGCGAGCGGTCTTGGTATCGACGGCAGTTACGCACCTGGTCTCGATGCTGACTCGGTTGAAAGCTTGCACGCATGTTTCAAATCCATTCCCCAGTCTCACGTAGATATCGCTCACCTGTGAACGATTAGGAGTGGCTTGACTTACAGGTGCGAGATTACTCACATCTGTCTCCGAGATGATGCCTTGTGACCATTGCTCCAAGCCTTGCAGTAATTGCTTGGTAGTGACCAACAGACGCGTTATAGACGAATCAAGAGCATTTGGGTACTAGCGCATGGTCAGCGCATGATATCGCACAGTCCCAACAACACTCACTGCAGACCTTGAGGCGCTAGTCTGCCTCGCATGTCTGTCTTTGCTGGAGCTCGATGTGTAGTACCCATCTCCGGCGCTGCTGCTCGCTCTGGGCTGCCCGATATATGGGGCGGGATGAGGAGCAGGATATGATATGTTCCTTGACATTGAGATGAGACGGTGGCCGGAGGGATATGGTCGGGACGGCGAAGAGTGCGAGGTGATGTTTTGGCGATGTGAAGCGGGGAGTCTGTGCGCTCGAAGCTGTCGGCCCTCCCTCGGTAGCTCACAGGGCGATACAGGGGGCGGGTGGTATGAGAAGGGAAGGGACAAGACCAGTCAGTGTCGGTCACAATCTGATGCAAAGTCGTGACCGCAGCCTTCTTGATCATCATGGATCATGATGATGCTTTGGCTCCTAGCACCATTACGTAAGTCTCAAACGCGGCGACAATTCAACATGTAAAACAACAAACAGTGAGCAGACAAACAGTCAGGTCTTTGTCAGGTCTTTGTCAGTTCTTCGCGCCTCATTGAGGACCGGGACAGTGATTCTCTCTTCAAGGTGTCGGACTTCTCCAACTGAAAGCATTGAATTTCATAGGCACTCCATTCTCGAAATAAAAAATTAACCCTACGGTGAATCCATTTTCTCAAGCCAGTCCGCTTACGTCGATCAGTCACTTGTTCGTTCGGGCGACAAGCAAAAAAGACATTGAAGCATCTGGAGGAGAAGTGAAGGATTGCGACTTAGTGTTGACGAGGATGAGACGAGCGAAGTCCATTTTGTAAATCAAGATTGACTACTACGGCAAATCCATCTTCTTGAGCCAGCCGGCTCGACTTCTTCATGGCAATCTTGGGACGTGATATCTTCTCGGAACGGTCGCAGAAACGCACAAGCAATTGATGGACGTAAGCGGGCTGGCTCAGTGAGATGGGCTCGCCGTAGTAATCGATCTTGATTTCAGAATGAACTTCGCTCGTCCCATCCTCGTGACCTTCCGCTTCTCCTCCATATGTTTCAGTGCCATTTCTGCCACTTGTGGCGAGGTGAAAAGGGCAAGGATTTCGTTTCAATATAATTTATAGACCCGTATGATGGACTGGAAAGCACTTGGACTCAACCAGCTCTTGCAAGCTGAATTTATGTTGCTTCCGGTTGCTCTTTGCTCAGAAATAGGGTTTTAGGACATCCAGATCTGTGCTACTATTGGGCGAGGGTACACTTGTATTGCTGCTCCTGATTGTTGACAAGTCTACCTTTCGGATCAAGGTGGTAGACCCAGCCGCCGCTCTTATGGTCAATGATCCGCTCTGTTTGCTGCACACAAAGATACTCTGCCCGACTATCCCGACCCATGGTCATCGTTTACAGCTTCAGCGCATTTGGCACCCTACCTTTCCCCTCGCATAGAGCGTAGGAGTGGAGGGAAAGAAATCATACGCGTCACTGATGTTTTTGCGGCGTGCCTTGCCGCTTATCTGAAATTTGTGACGAAGATGCTCACAACGCTCTGCATCTACACAGCATCTACCTCATAATTATCAAGTCAAGTCTTTGTCGTTACTTAAAGTGATCGTATCTGTGAGCACTTTACCACTCTATCAGGCGCCTTGCTAACTTTGCCTTTTACAGCTGGAGCTTCAATCCAAAGCCAAGGCAATCCCATCTGAGGTCCTAGCTTCCAAGAACTGTAAGCTCGCTCCTCGTCTCGTCAGTGCGATCCTGCAAACTAACCACTCGCGTATAGATTCCCCATCACACCTCTGACTCGCCGGTGTCCCATTCTCCACAACAGGCCATGCGCTTCCAACCCCAAACCCCCTCTGTCAGGGTCACCAACATCCCAGCCCTCCTGGACCACATCGTCTGCACCCTCCCTCCCAAAGACCTATTCCAATGCCTCCTCACCTCTCCCGCATTCTTCCACGCTGCCGCCAAAACGCTCTACCGCTGCGTCTCTGTCGACGACCGGCTCATGCCTGGAGTCCTCTTGGGTTTGCCCAAAGCCACATGCCGGTGTGGGGCAGGGAACCACGAGAACGATGACTGTACACACTCTCCTTCAGTCTTCAGCAAACACCTGCTGGTGCGCTATATACGGCAGACCATTGTCGTGCGCTCGCATGATACCTGTATCTGCCCCTCTCTGCTCTATCACATCGCCCTCCCTCGACTCGAGCGCATATATCTCGTCGACTCCAGAGACGGTCTTGCCATGTACGACATGGCTCTGGAAGAAATGTGCTCGAAGCCCTACTGCCCCTTCCTGAAGAACGCGTGCTCAAAAGCTACCCAGCTCGTTCTCACCGAATGCCACAACGCCTCCTTCGCCGAAGCCACCCCTGCGTCCATCCTCCCCAACTTGCACAACCTGATATGGGTCATGGGCTGCCACGACTTCATGATCTTGGGCGAGAATATCGGGGCACATGCGGTCAAAGTCGGTACGACGAAGGAGGTGGATATGCTTTGCTGGTGGGATCTGTTGGACAATATGGCGAGGAGCGTCATGCTGGAGGGTAGCTTGGCCAGCGTCTCGACCTCTCTCATGGAGGCTTGGAAATCGCACACGGATCTTGCTTTCGGGCCTTTCAACGGCGCAGAGCTGGCTGTGAGAATCATGACTTCCCTCGGGCGATATACATCGGTCGACAAGATCCGTCTTTACGACTTTGAGGCTTTTGCCCAAGTCCAGCTCGGAGCGGTGAACCCGCTCGTGGTTCCAGATATCAAAGATTCCGCTGTTGCGGCCTTTTACAAAGGTCGAGGATGGAAGCTTCACCGGGAGGCGCTGGTGAAAGAGCCACTGACGGCGGACGAAGTCTATGCCGAACTCGGAGACGACGAATATCCCCCAGCCGACCCCATTGCCGAAGGTCTCTCCGTCACTTTCCTTACCAACAAAGACTTTTTCCGGCGCTACGACGATATACCTCCCGAGGTCATTGAAGTTCCCGAAGAGTATCAGCTCTGGAACCGGAATGTCGTTAGCCCTCTTCCGTCGCTTGTCAGTCTTCGACAACGATGTGCGGAGCTTTTGGATTTGCCCGAGTGGCAGCTATGGCCGTTTACGGCTGGGCAGTTGAGGTATATGGTTTCCAACTTTCGGAAGGAGTTTGGTGTAGGACTGGCGGGAGCTTGATTGATGGGAGGCAAGGGGAATATGGATAGAGACGCGGTAGGAGGTGGGACAAAGAGGTCGTTCGCGCTTAGCGAAGAGCTACGAATACGGCTCGTGAGGTGTGTTGGAGCCGTCCGCGTCCTCCGGAGTTGGTCAGTATATTGACAGCCACGAATAGACTTGCTATGTGTTTCATATGCATATTATGTACATAGTAGTATGAATTGACTCTGACGAGACACATCGTATGGTCTGCGGAAGGGAGAGACAGATACAGATGAACATTCAGCCCCCCGCGCCTGACGTGAGTCAAAAGCAGCGAAAGAGGCAAATCAACAATACCCTAGGTGAAAGGCAACGTGACGAGGGAGACAGTGTCGCTGCTGGAGGTCGTCTGGATGTCAATGTTGAATGATTCCCTTCGAAAGAGTAGTAAAGGAGATCGGCGCCCGCCGCTTGTTGCCTCCACCTCGCTGGTGGTGGTTTCGGAAGTTGTCTCATCGGACTCTCTCGCTGCCAAAACACTCTCAAATCGATATGTCTGTCCCACGTCTCCTCGTAGTGGGTGGAAATGGCTTCCTCGGTACGTCAATATACGCTTTGAGACGAAGAACTCTCGCTTACAGGGCGAGCAGGCTCGGCGATCTGTAAAGCAGCTGTTGGCAAAGGTTGGGAAGTCAGCAGCATGAGGTATGGTCACCCTCCCATGCTTATCTTTCGGACACTAACATCCATGATAGCTCTTCCGGCAAACCATTCACCACCCCCGCTGGCCATACTCCCGCCTGGGTTCCCCGCGTCACATGGCACGCTGCAGACGCCTTCTCGCCTTCCTCCTACTCATCGCTCGTCTCATCCTCCACTGCTGTCGTCCACACTTTGGGTATCTTGCTGGAAGACCAGGGTTACAAGAAGGCTGTGAGGGAGGGAGATATACTTGGGCTGGCGGGGAGCATGGTGAAAGCTCTGGAGGGCGGGGCGAACCCTTTGAAGAGTGCCGAGGAAAAGAAGAGAGGGTATGAAGGGGCCAATCGGGACTCTGGTGAGTCACGAAGTACGTTGATGGGATCATGGCTGACTAAGTACTACAGCTTTGACGGTTCTGAATACCATGATCAGCACACCACCGCATCCTTCACCGGCAAACGAAATCCCAAGCGAACGACCGTTCGTCTATATCTCCGCTGCCGACGCTTTCCGACCTGCAGTACCAAAGCGGTATATTGAAACCAAGAGGCAAGCTGAGCTCGAGATCTCTCGTCGCTGTTCCGAGACGGAAGGTATCAAACCAGTCTTCATCCGACCTGGTGCGTACTCTCCTCTCTGCCCCACGTCAAAGCTGACTCGGGATTCAGGATTGATGTACCACCCCCACACTCGCCCTCTCACCACCCTCCCCGCATTCCTCATCGACCTCTCCGCAAAGTTCCACGCTTTCTCTCGGCTGCCCAACCTCTTCTCCTCCGGCTCATTCTTGCACGGTGCTTCCGAGAGTCTGCGGACGTACCCGCTGCATGTGGATCATGTGGCGAGCGCGGTACTACGGGGAATCGAGGATGAGAAGCTGAGAGGTGTTGTGGAGGTTCCAGAGATGAGGGGATGGGCAGGTTTCGGAGAGGGGAAGAAGGGAGAAGTAGAATGGCAGGGATAGTCACATCATCATCTGATTGTTGGCGCCATTCTCAGAGCCAGTAGCGAAGCCAAAGGACTAGTATGTGATACAACTGTCTAGGACGGTCCAAATGCAAGTCACATCATTGCAATAAACATGGCGAGGCGCAATACAAGGCATATGGATCTTTCTGGTTGTTGCTTGTCGTCCAAAAATGCTAGCGTCGATTGCTCTGCCGATGTTCCTTCTATCATTCATTCGATGGTCTACGCTGTAAACTCTGGGGACTCTGCACTGTATGAGCTTGCTACCTGCACCGAACTTGAGCAACTCGTCTCTCGTTCTCTTGCTGGCCATCTTCAGCTTCGGCGGCCAGTGCCGCGGTCCAAATATCAGGTACGGCGGATGACATCAAGCTCGTCCAGCTCGCGTCCAGCTATTTCAGGTTGATTTTGGGTTGATTTCAGGCGTCCATTGCATTTCAACAATCCTCAACTTGTGTCCGCCATGCCCTCCCCCATCCTCTCCGTCAGGGACCTCACCGTCACCCGCGACTCGGGCGGCCCCATCCTCCACAACCTCTCCCTCGACATCGCTCCCGGCGAAGTCGTCGTCGTACGGGGCCCATCGGGATCTGGCAAATCCACATTGCTCAAGTGTATAGCCGAGCTCAATCTCTACCAGCAGGGGACCATCACCCTCGACGACAAGACGTCCAAAGAGTGGGGAGTTCCCAAATGGAGAATAAAAGTCGCCTACGTCCCCCAAAGGCCCAGTATCCTCCCCGGCACACCTCTCCAGCTGCTAGAGACTATCCGCGGGTTTGCAGCGCGCAAGGAAAGCGCGAGAGAGATGAAGAAGTTCGAGATTGAAAAGATGGACCCACTGGATTTGGCGGAGAAGTGGGGGATTGCGAAGACGATGTGGACGCGGGATTGGGAGACGCTGAGTGGAGGTGAGGCGCAGAGGATTGCTTTGGCGGTTTCGGTGGGCATTGGAGGTGCAGATGTCCTGCTTCTGGATGGTGCGTAAACTGCTCGAAGCATAGGTTTGGTGCTAATCTGGAACAGAGCCGACTTCTGCACTTGACGAAGAGTCCTCGAGAAAAGTGGAAGATAGCCTGATCGGCATGCTACCACCCCCGCACAGCGGCCAGCCTTCTGTGAGTAGTCTCCTGTCGACAAGGGGCAGTGCTGATGACTGTGTAGGAGGGTGTACACCGCTATGATACGGGACTGAAGGCGCTTGTATGGATCACGCATTCGGCAGAGCAATCAGAAAGGGTTGCGACAAGAACGTTTGATGTCAGCCCTTTTAGACAATAGAGTATGAAGTCGCATCCTGAACAACGTATGGACTCGTCTACGCCTAGAGGCCATGCTCCCTCCGCACGTCATCGGTCAACTCATGAATATCAAGAAATCGATTATAAACATCGAGCATCGCCTCTCTCCACTCGTGCTTGTCAATCCAGTCGTCCAACGCAGAAGTGAGACGATGATGACGATAGTGTATCCAGCCTCTATCAGGAAGTGTACACCTATATACTTCACCTCGACCGGACTGTCAGTCAATCGCAAGAAGGAATCACACAAAGGGAAAATGTCTCTACGGACCAGTATGGCTTGAGGTGCGAAGGGAGGCAGCTGGAAGCGGGAAAAACTCTGAGGGAGAGTGGCATCAAGGCGGGGTCCATCGTGGAGATGATCCCGCCTGTTCGGGAGGCGGAAACGGCGGTCAAGAAAGAGCCTGGTGTCGATGAGAATCGGGCGAGTGTAGATGACCAGCCGCAAACGAAAGTGAAGCAGGAGCGAGAAGACGAGGATACACCTCGCAACAGGCCCAAGCTAGACTGAATCCTCTCTATCACGATTGAGTCGTAGCAGCATATATGCACAATATGCTTCATCTTCTACCAGTATCGGCTCTTGATCAACCCCTGCCAGCTCCTGGCGACATAGTCCACGAAGCCCATGACATCCCCAACATTCTCTTCGGTGTTTTCCATGGCCTTTGCAAGCTTTTGGTAGCGCACGAGATTGGTGCGGAGAGAGGCGAGAGCGGCGGGGAGATGAGGGTTGACTTGATTACCAGAAGTTGTAAGGGACGGTAGTGGTTGTAGAAGATGTGATTCTATGAGAGTGGGTCAGTAGACGCTCGTACACGAATACCTTCAAAGACTTACCCGCAACGAGATACACGATACCCAATCCCAACCTTTCTCCGTACCACTCTGGACCAGGGCCCACAGGCTCATTCCAGTACCCTCTCTTGACCACGCCTTTCTTAGCCAGTGTCGTAGCATGGGCGTCGGTGGTGTGGTAGATCGCCTCCGAAGCGATGCGCAAAGAGTGCATCAACGGCGGGATGGGGTTCAACAGCGGGATGGGCAGAGGCGTTATGCTGGACAGACGAGAGAGAGGAGAATCATCTTCTAGGGTAGGGAATGAGGGGTTGATTGGCTGAGGCTTTGGGGAAGTCTGCTTTGGTCCGGGAGAATAGAGAGGCGGCATGGAAGTTTGGAGGGACGAGAGGATTGTGCGGACAGCATTGAGGGGAAGGGGAAAGGTGTGAGTCTTGTCTGGAGTTGCCATGTTGGCATAGGCCTGTACATCATCAGCGTCTGGTCAATTCGTTCGTAGAAAGAGTTCTCACCTCCACAAGATGCTCTCCTACGCCAGCGCTATATTCCAGCCTCCGAGCCAGAAGAGCTTCCAGGCCATTTCTTCCTTGGCCTTCTCCTGTTCCCCTCATGCTCTTCAGGCCCTCCTCCTCCCATGCTTCCACAAGCGCCTTGGCGGGGACCACATTGCCAGAACCAAATACGGTGTCGATGACGGCTTCTGGGTCGGGAATCTCGGGTTTGAGGGCGACCAGAGAACCGACGAGGGCTGGTCGAGTGAAGGATTGCGAGGGGATGGCGGACAGTGCTTTTGCGAGGATCTGAGCGCGAAGAGACATGGCGAGGGGAAGTTTATAGAGGCATAGAGAGCAGAAACAACATTTGACCCGGAAATCGGAAGAGATCATTGTGAATACGAAAAGTGGAGGTCACTTTTATTTGTTGTGACTTTGGATCTCTATCTTCTCCATCTTCGAAATCGGCCATGGCTTCAAGAGTATCCAGAGCACTGCCGGCACTCCGCTCTATATCTAGGAGTGCCATCCAAAAGAGTGCGCCTCGTACACTCGTTTCCGGAGCTGGCGTAGCGCGGCTACGAGGTCAGGTCCTCGGTCGAAGAGGCAACGCTACAGAGGCTTTGGCACCTCGGGAGATCAAACCCTTCGTGGAAGATGGAACAGTGAACGCTTTCCATGGTATGTCACTCTGACTATATTTACAGCGAACAGTGCTTACTCTCATCACAGGGCCCAGGCCAAAGATCACTCATGACATCTCGAAACTTTCGACCAGCCTTGAGAACCAGAAGGTTGTCATCGCCGGGTGGCTTTCTTCCCAGAGGTATGTCTCTCTCTGACCATGTGAGTATTGTGTCTGACAACATCTTGTCGCCATAGGCGTGCTTCTGAGAAGCTCCACTTCTACACTCTCCGATCCCCTTCCTCATCTTCTGCCGTCCAGCTCATCTCGAAATCAAAATCAGGCGAAGGATTGATGGACTGGCCTCTTGAAAGTGTTGTTCTCATCGAGGGTACCGTCAAGGCTCGAAAGTCGAAGCCCAAGGACGCCACTTCTGTCAGTATTCCGAACCGTGACGTGACAAAATGCTGACTTTACCAGCCCGTAGACGACATTGAGCTCGAAATTGGAAAGGCGATCCTGCTCAACCCGGCCGACAAGGTCCTTCCCTTCTACCCCAACAAGGGTCCTCTGGTATGTGTACCTCATAACATGCTGATGTTTGCTGACGCATCCCCAGGTCAACGAAGACCTTCGAGCCCAACATCGCTACCTCGACCTCCGCCGCCACGAGCTCGCCTCCAACCTCCGCCTCCGATCCCAAGTCTCCCACATCGTCCGCACATATCTCCACTCTCAAAACTTTACCGAAATTGAGACTCCCATCCTCCTCAACTCTTCCCCAGAAGGTGCTCGGGAATTCCTCGTCCCCACCCGCTCTCCCAATGCCGATGGTCAACCGACCTTTTACGCTTTGCCCCAAAGCCCTCAACAGCCCAAGCAGCTCTTGATTTCGTCGGGTGCTGTGGACAGGTACTACCAGATCGCTAGGTGTTTCAGGGACGAAGATGGAAGAAAGGACAGACAACCCGAATTCACCCAGATCGATCTCGAAATGGGCTTTGTGAGCGGTGCTGCTCCTGAACCTACACCAGGGCAGGATGGTCAGGAGATGAGGAGTACCTGGGCTATCGGAGGATCAGAAGTGAGAGAAGTCGTGGAAGGGATGGTGAAGAAGATTTGGAAAGAAGTGAAGGGTATTGAATTGGAAGGGTGGTTCAGGGTCATGCCTTACCAAGTGGCTATGGACGTCTATGGATCGGACAAGCCGGACACGAGGTTCAAGTCGTATTGTCTTCCTATCGGGTACTACCCTCATCTTTCGGATCCTTCCATTGACAAGGTGTTGATGGACGAGAGCCCGTATCAGGTGGAGTGGATGGTGACCCCCGCCGAGCAAGCCAAGGGTATTGATATCAAGACTATCGCTGGTGATAACGCCTTTGTGAATCATGCGCTCTCCCGGATCGCTCTTTGTACTAACGAAGGCTATGCAGATTGACTACGTCAAGATCACTCCTGAAAACACCCACTCGTGGCTCGGTGAATCCGTGCTCACCGCTCCTCTCGGCCTCCAGCTCGACAAAAACTCGCCATACCCCGGCGGTGTTGAACCTGGAGATATCATCTGGCTGTCTAGGCGAAAGAAGATTGCTGAGGGCGGATGGACCAACTTGGGCAGGCTGAGGGTGCAGATCATGGATGAGCTCGTTTCCAAGGGTAAGTCCCAGGTCGTCTTGGTGAACACCTGCTAATGATTTGACAGGTCTTGCCCAACTTCCCGACGAGCCTCACTTCTTGTGGATCACCCAGTTCCCTCTGTTCACCCTCGCCGACGAGGACAAAGCTCAACTCTCCCGCGGACGTTACGCTGCCACCCACCACCCCTTCACCGCCCCCGCTTTCGAAGACCTCCCCGCCCTCAAAGCTGGAGACGTCTCCAACGTCAAGGGACAGCACTATGACCTCGTCCTGAACGGCCAAGAGATCGGAGGAGGCAGTGTGAGAATACACGATGTCAAGTTGCAGGAATACGTCATGAGGGAGATCTTACAGTTGGATGATGAGGAAGTGGGCAGGTTTGATCATTTGCTGAGGGCGTTGAAGTGTGGCGCGCCGCCGCATGGTGGTATAGCGCTTGGGTTTGACAGGTTGGTGGCGATCCTGGCAGGCGCGAAGAGTATCAGGGACGTGATTGCGTTCCCGAAATCGACGACGGGGCAGGACCCAGTGTTCAGGTCTCCTAGTGTGTCGGGGGACGAGGTGCTGAAGGAGTATGGGCTTTGCAGCCTGAAGAAGGAAGCCAAGCACGAAGAGAAGGAAGCGCAGGTATGAGATAGTACACTCTAGACAGATAGACCTTTGTGATATGCATAGCCACCACCATCTCTTGAGACTCGAAGTGGGCCGATTTTCGGTGCAAAGTTGTTGATAATCTTCTACTCTATCTAAAATAGTTACAGCACAGAATCCAGTGGAAACACCAACCGTGCAGTCCTTGTTAACATCGGAGATGCCCAAAACCCGCAGATCTGGCCCTGTCTTGTACAGCGGATCTTCAGGGGAGCTGGAGTCGGAGCGATCTAGATGACTGTACTGTAACACTTGTGACAGTGCAGAGAATATCCGCGAGGCCCGCAGATCGTCAAGTCATGTGGAGTGCCAAGTGGGTCTTTACTAGGCCTGACTGCATGACGTGTGAGAGAATCTGCTGACCCCATCTCATAGAACTCAGATGGTGACATGCCCGAGAACGATCCGGCAAAGTGTCACTTGGTTAAACCTGAAGCACTTCTTGCCCCTCTCGCAGAGAGTACTGTACCTACAGTGCTTAAAGGTGACGCACCCGGGCGTAGGTGGGTGGGCATCAACATGTCATGAGGTCTGTTGCTGTGGTGATGGTTCGATTGTTTTGGTTCGATTGTTTTACCTATACCTAGATGCGTGTTGTGTTGATGAACATTCTCTGGGAACTGCGAAACTCCGTGTTGGTGCAAGGGAAGTGAAAGCGAATGTCGAGTCTGCGCTGCCCCGGGTTATAACGACATGATTCATATCTATATTCAACTTCTTACGCTAAGATCACCTTTCCTTTTGCTTCTTATCTCAACGTTCCAACCTTACGACGTCCAACTGCTTAGAGCTTGAGACCAAGCTTGGCGAACTGAGCCTTGTCGGAGAACTCAGAGTCCTTCTCCTGGAAGATGTCGTAGGTGGGGTCAAACGAGTCGGACTGGTCACAGACTCGGCTGGAAGGAGTGGTCTGAGCGAGCTGCTCGAGCTCCTCAAAGTCCTCCTTGGAGAGGTCAACAACTACTCACGAGTCAGCTTGCATCCCTTGTGACATTGAGGTAGACTTACGCTTGATGTTGTTGGCGATCCTCTCGGGAGTGACCGACTTGGGGACAGGGTTTACACCCCTCTCAACCAACCAAGACAAAAGAATGTTGGCGGTCTGGACACCATACTTGTTGGCGAGCTTTTCGACGGCCTTGTTCTCTCGGAGGTTGGACTTGCCAGTACCACCGAGGGGAGAGTAACCCTGGGGAAGGATGTTCTTGGATGTGAGGTAGGCGACGAGCTCGGGCTGGGGGCACTGAATGGAGAGCTCGACCTGGTCTGTAAAAGGTGTTAGCGGCGAGAGAGGGGAGGAGAGGAAGGAGACATACCGGCAACGGGCTGGATCTTGGCAGTCTTGAGGAGCTTTTCGAGTCGGTTGATGTTGAAGTTGGAGACACCAATAGACTTGACGAGACCCTTCTCGACGAGCTTGGTTGTATATCAGCATTGTTCTTCATTGGACGTGATAAGCTGCTTACGTTCTCAAGAGCCTTCCAGGTGGAAGAGGGGTCGTCAGAGATGGCAACGTCGAGCTTGGGCTTGTCGTCCTTGCCCTTGGGGACGTGCTCCTGCTGGGGAAGGGTACCCTCAGGGGCGTCGACCTGGAGACCGATCTGCATACGCGTCAGACATGCACCATCCCAGTAAGGAACCAAAACTCACGTTCCAGTGCATGAGGTACAAGTCAAGGTACTCGAGACCCAAGTTCTTCAAGGTGTCCCTGACGGCGAGCTCGACGTGCTCGGGGTGGTGGTGAAGCTCAAAGAGCTTGGAGGTGACCCAGATGTCCTCTCGGGGGACGCCAGAGGCCTTGATACCCTGGCCGACCTCCTTCTCGTTGCCATAGGCCCAAGCGGCACTGTCGCATGATAAGCGGGAGATTGACAGAGACGCAGAGACGACCTACTCGATGTGCCTGTAGCCGCTCTTGAGGGCAGACTCGACAGCCTGGGCGACCTGTCCGGGCCTACAGGATGGTCAGTATGGATGCCTTGATGGCGTCGGATAACGCAAAAGGAGGCAGATCCAAGATCGAGCACGTGATGACGTGTCTGACGGATGACACAACGCTCGGAAGGCCTCCTTCGCTGCACCGGCTCATTGAAGACTTACTCGGATTGCCACTGAATGCATCGTCAGCACGGGGCCTCGTGCAGGAAGAGGCGAGAAAAGGGGACTTACGGTACCAAGACCGATAGAGGGGATCTTGCGGCCATCGTTGAGGGTGAAGGTGGTAGCGGGAGCCATGTTGTCTGTGTTGTGTGTGGTGTTGGTGTGTTTTTAGTAGGTAGTTGAGTAATTCGCTGTGTTTGTGTGGGATGGAAGATGAGAGAAGAAAGAGAAAGAGATGTGATTCGGGGGAATTATATCATCTCCCGGTGAGGTCACCATGCGGTCAGCCCCGCCTCCACTTTTCCTCGGCATCCTCGGGCCGGAGTACCTGTTCAATCGCTCGCTTGATCCGGATCCTCCTGCTATACTCCGGACATCCCCACTCACTACGCATCAAAGTACTTCTAACAACAGGTTGCATACTATCCTTCCGCACATGTATCCTAACCCTTGACAACTATACTTTGTATATCCCCCTCTTCCGTCTAAGTTCCTACTCTTCCTCCGAGCTCTCCTCTTCACTGCTACTGTCCTCTTCAAACCCATTCGCGCCCCCTTGCGCTCCGGCCTGCTGCCCAAGCTGCATCCCAGCTCCCTGACCACTGAAAGCCTGGAGCTGAGCCTCCATCTTTCGAATACGCTCGGCTTCTTCGCGCTCATTGACGCTGCGTCGAGAAACACCACCCATCGCCTTGCGCCCAGTCCCTGTAGCCTTCTTGCCACCGCCACGACCGCGCTTCGCATGTCCACCACGTTGACCCCGACAGACCAGATTGTACAGCCTAGAGATGGTAGCGGCAGGCAGCGAGTCGATATCCAGCTCGATTTCTTGGTTCTCCTTTCCAATGTCAGCTTTGGCAAAACAAGAGAGGCAGTACTTACAGATCCAAGGTTGGTGGTCTGCTGAATAATCTCCACAACATCCTGCAAAGTCTGCGCCCCCGCTTGCCCAATCTTTTCCGCCAACTCTTGCTTTTGCTCATGCGACAACATCCCTTCACCGACCTCTTCCTCCTCGTCCTCTTCATCCTCATCTTCGCTCTCCAGGTCATCCATATAAGTCCCGTGCGCGGCGCCGCTCTTCTTGGAAGGCTTTCTGTTTTGAGATGAACCTCCGTTGAGAGAGGGAGAGTGCTTGGATACGGAGGGTTTGTGCGAGTGGCCCTTGGGCTTGTTGGCTCGTTTGTTGCCCCGAGAAGTGCGACGTTTGTTGATTCTAGAGCGGAGAGAAGATATTTGCGTATTGATGCTGGCAGCTTGGGCTTCAAGCGCTCGCAATTGCACAGCTACTCTTATCAGCTTGAGTTCTTTCTTTGGTCGATGCAACTCACTGTCTTCATCACTCGAGTAATCATCATAGTCGACGTCTTCGCTGCTCTCCCTGGTTTCCGCCTTGGGCGGCAGGCTCCTCCACTTTTCATCCCAAACCTGCAGCAACTGCGTCGCGCTGGTATGCACCTCATGGCCCACCGGATTAAACCTCATCGCATTACTCGCCATCAACCTCACATCCTCATCCACCTGCTGCACATCATCATACAACCCCTCTGCCAGCTTTTGCTTGATATGGTTCAAGTCGATAGGCCTTTTAATCACAGTGGCATAGTCGGGAAGTTGAGCGACGAGCTGCTCAACGGGGTAGAGGAAATGGGAGACGATGGCATAGTATTTGGTGGTGGCTTCCAAAGACTTGATGACACGGTTGGCCCACTGGAGTTGGGGGTCGCTTCTGCGCTTTGGTTTGCGCGCGCCGCCGGGAGACTCTTCCCAGGCCAGGTCTTTGGAAGGAGGAGGGTGGATTTCGCGCTTGGGGCGGGTGTCGTCAGAAGAGCGGCGGATGGTGGGAGGTTGGGAGATGGAGGGCCGGCGGGCATGAGCGCTGGATCCGGGGGTAGCGACAGGAGGAGGAGGGGGCACGAAAGTGGGCTACATTTCATCAGCCCTTGATCCAACAACTCAGACGCAAGACTCACCTCGGGCGGCAGATTGTACAGACTCCTCTCAAACGCCTCCTCCAACTTTGTCGCACTCAAGCTCACAGGGTGGTTTGCCCCGTTAAACTTTCTCGAGTTTTCCCAGATTCGCCGTACATCCGCAGCCACCTCGGCCACGCTCCCATACCGTCCCTTGCTCGTATCCCACTTGCTCATCTTGCTCTTGTCCTTTGGCGGCCCGCGAGGATCCGACACTACCAGCTTGGTCTCGACAGTGCTGAGGTCCATGGGCGTTTCAATCACTTGGTGATAGTGCGGAATGTTGAACCGGACAGTGTCGACGGGCACCAAAAAGTTGTACGCGTCTGGTAATCGCTTTTTGAGAGATCGCACAGCGTTCAAAATGTACTTGTGCTGCGTGAGCGTGAGGGGCGTGGTGGGACCGGTTGGCCGGGGAGGAGGGGGTACGTATGAAAGCCAAGCAGGTGGAGGCAGCGGCTGGCCATCGGGCCCGACAAGAGGAACGTTAATGTCGATCGGGGGCTGCCCCGCAGGTGCCTGCTGCTGCTCCAAAGTCGCTTCTTCCTCTCTCGCCCTCTTCTCTTCCCTCTCCTGTTCCAAATCCTCTCCAGGCCGTTTGATGCTCTGCGTAGAAACGGGCGTATCAAGATCCATCGCCTCGCTCCCCTGCGTCTGCGCTGACGTCGACACTGGCGCCGCGCTTCCCTGGGCTTGCCCCTCGGCCGTGGCTGGTGAAGTCGCCGACAGCTGGGCCTCCCCCGGAAGGGTAATCACATCCGGCGTGGGGACAGCGCTGGGGATGGCACTGGGAGGCAGGGAGGGTGGTGGTTCGTCACCGGCTGAAGGGGATGGTGGGACAGGCCCATCGGGCGGGAGAGGTGGCTGCTCGGACGAGGGCTGAGGGGCGTCCGGTGTGGCAGTGGAATGACCATTGGTCTGGATGTCTCGGTCTGTAGCCGGCTTGAGGGGATCAGGGGTGTTCGCTGGTTGTGCGATGACGGATGGCTCGGCGGGCGTGTCCGCAGCAGTGGGCGGGTAGTGGGACATCTGATGGACGGGACAGGGATCGGGACAGATCAGCATGGAGGAGAGATGCATGTGGATGGATGCACTCACTATTTGCGGAAACAAGCGGCCGCGCGCGAGATCAAAACAAATAAAAGTGGAGGCGGGGGGAAGAGGAAGGAGAAATCCGCGAGTATTTATAACGGCGCCTCCGTCAAGCGACCCTGAAAAGCGCGACTCACCGCCACTATCACTATCCCCGCTATCCCCGTCCATTGCCACGTCATGCCTCGGATGCCCGCACTCAATGCATGTGTCGTCTCTACTCGTACTCGCCCTCTTCCTCCGCTTCCTCCTCGTCCTCGAATTCCACCTCCATGCTGCCCTCCTCCTCATCCTCGCTCTCCTCATCACTTCCCTGCTCGCTGCCGTAAAAGTCGGCGGCCTCGTCTTCACTCTCGTCCTCGTCCTCGCTGACAATCTCCTCCTTGACCTTCTTGATCTTGGCAGCTTCCTGTCCGTCCGCAAGGAAGACACAGGTCAGCCTGGTGCCCTTGGTATCGTACTTGGCAGAGGGCTCGATCTTGTTCTCCTCGCCGTCTTCCTCCTTGTCGAGCGTTTGGGCGAGGTCGTAGAGGTTGATGAAGCCGTCAGAAGAGACGGAAGAGAGGAGGACGGTGGGGCGGGGGCCAGAGGGCGTAGGGACGGTGAAGGGGAGAGAAGAAATGTCCTTTACTCTGCTTGATGATAAGTATGTGATCTTGATGCAAGTGGAAGGACTTGCCTGTTGGTGTGCCCCACAAGAGTCGCAACCCGGTCCAACTCGGCGCCCTTGCCTCCCTCATCCTTCTTCTCATCCTCCTCTTCATCCTCCTCGTCACTCTCTTCATCACCCCCAATCTCAACCCTGTGCACCTCGATAATTCCCTTTTCCGTACCAATACAAAGCAGCTCAGTGTCATCTTCTTCCGGCGAAGGAGCAGGGAGGGTGGCAAAGAGGAGGGTGTTGAATCGGGATTTGGTGGAGATTGTTTTCAAAAGCTTGAGAGTCTGGAATATCATTAGTAAATGAAGGCACCGATCAAAAATGCACATACGAGAGAGTAAATCTGAATTCTGTGAGGGAAGAGGACGGCGAAATGTGTTCCGGCGTCGGAAAACTTGACAAGCTCCGCTTCTATTGAACGATCAGCTATCTCCAGATGCATACACTGGAGACTTACCTTCTCCCAACGGCAGACTGGCAGCTCCTCGTCCTCTCATCAAATCCCACATCTTCAACGTCTTGTCCTTTCCCACACTCAATGCAACCCTTCCGGTCGGGTGCACATCCACCTGGTTGACCCTCCCACTGTGTCCCTTGAGGGTCTTGAGGAGAGTCCAGTCGGAAGTACGGAACAGGGAAAGGGTGGAATCGGCAGAAGTGGTGAGGAGGTGAGAGGGGGTGGGGAAGTGGAGGGACGTTATCGATTCTGCCTCTGGTCAGCTTCATTACAACATACAACTGATATACTCACCAGTGTGCTGTGACAAAGATCCAACCTCCTTCCTCCTCCTCAAATCCCAAACCTTCACATACTCGTCCACACTCCCCGTCGCCAACCACTTGCCTCCCGGACTGGCCGCGACCGCCTTGACACACGCCAAATGCGCGGGGAAGATGAATGCAGGTTCGAGCTCCGGTACAGCCACTTCTTCAGATTCAGGATAAGACCCCTCAATACCGTACAAAATCTTCTCGTAGGACCCCGCACAGATGATGAATGTCGAAGGTCCGGCCGCGGGCTGTTTACCCTTGTTTGTCTTGGGCTTTTCTTCCACAATCTCCACCTCCTTCTCCTCTTTCTTCTTCTTGGGCGCTTGCACCGTTACCTGCTTGGGCTTGGGCTTGGGCGCAGGTTTGGCCGCAGGGCCCTTCTTGTCTCCAGCCTTGGAAGATTTCTTCTGGTCGTCATAGGTAACGTCCACCTTGGCCTTCTTGGGGTAAGGCGTAGGGCGCTGTTCCTTCTTGCTAGTAGCTTTGGACTTTCCTTGCTTGCCCATGTTTGCTTTTGTGTTTTGGTTTTGTGGTGGGAGAGTTGGAGAAAGATGGGGCATGTTTTTGATTGCGAGGTGGAGGCAAGAGCTGAACTTTTTGCTTCCATGCGCGGCTATCGCCGCTTGGCTGGAACGCGCTTCTTTTGACGGCACCGTGTTGATGATGGTTCGGTGCACTTCCAAAATCGTCTTCATTCAATATCAGCTTTGAAATACTCAAGCGCCACTTCCGGTTATCCTATCAAGACCTTCCAAACGGATACGAATCCCCCATATCAACAAACGATGGCTGAACAGCAGGTCCAGCTCACAGACCTCAACCCCCTCCAACTGCAAGAAGTCAAGAAGCAGCTCGACCAGGTTCGTCTTCTCTCTCTATGCTTGACCTTCTGAAACTGTATACTGAGGAATCATCGGTGATAGGAACTTGAACACCTGACGCAGTCTTACTCTTCTCTGAAATCGGCGCAAGTCAAGTTCAACTCTTGTATCGAGAGCGTCAAGGAGCTCAAACCCGACTCCAAAGGTGCGTCCCTTCTTCCAATGAAAAGGTTCACGGGCTGTACTTATAAGCCTTTAGGGAAGGAGGTCTTGATCCCCCTGACGAGCAGTCTCTATGTGCCCGGAAAGTTGACAGATGTGGAGACTGTCGTAGTGGATGTCGGTACCGGATACTACGTCAAGAAGGTGCGTCTCAGATCACTCTACCTTCCCAATCACACGTACGACTGCTGATCTGCGCCCGTAGAACAAGTCCGAAGCCTCCACTCACTACGCCGACAAGGCCAAATTCGTCCAATCCAACCTCGAGACATTACAACAAACGATCGAGCGAAAGCAGGACAATGCGCAGAGCGTGCAACATGTGTTGCAAGCAAAGATGCAGCAGGTGCAGCAGCAGCAGGCGGCGGAGGCTGCTAAGAAGTAAGGGGGTGAAGATGGGTAGAGAGAGAGAGAGATTTATGGAGAGATCTTGAGCAGACATATGCATTGTAATACTTGATTGCACTGGTATAGTCTCTAGTCAATGTGTCCTATGACGGTTGACTAGGCTATGCTGTATGGAAAGATTTGAACCGTTGAGCACTGGATATGGCCACCCCTTTCGGCTTTCTGCCTCCACTTCAGTCGGCCTGATTCGGTACGCACAGTCAAACGCATGATTCCTCTTTCTCTTACATCTCTACATCTCGATCTCCTCTTATCGGCAAGGCTATCACTGCCTGTGACTGTCACTGTTCTTCCAAAAATCGACTCCCAACATGTCTTCCCAATCCCTACTCCCCGTCGTCCTCACAGCCGACAACTTTCCAAACTACGCCCTCCCCCCGGCCCCTCCTCCAGCCCCCTACGTCCCCTTCCACCTCACCCTCGCCGACTTTGAGCACTCTGTCTATCCTCTTGGTCTTCTCCGACTCGATGTTCTGCTCGAGATGAGAAAGTACAACGCAAGCTTGGTAGAAGCTGGGAAAGACGCGATTTGGGGCTTTGTGGATGATGGCAAGGGGGACGAGTCGGGAGAATGGACTAGAGATACGAAGGGGGTTTACTTCGAGGAAGGGGTAGCCAAGAGTGGTAAAGAGGCAGTGAGTAGAGTGATGAAGGAGTGCGTGGAAAAGTGGAAAGCCGACGGGCTCTTCCCTGGTCCCCTGGCAGGCAAGTCTACATCTACGTTTCTGGTCCTGAAGCTGATGGACAAGCAGGCTGGAGAAACGAGCTTTACGCTATCTATGCCTCTCCCCAGTCGTCCGCTTTCGCCTCTACCTCTGACAAGCCCTTGGACAATGTTGCGTTCCACCTTGAACGAGCTGCTTGTGCGCTGTTTGGGCTCGCGACGTTCGGCGTGCATTTGACCGGTAGGTGGTGGTTAGTCAATCTGCGGCAGCAGCTGATTCTGGATATAGCGTATGAGATTGTGAACGGAGAGATGAAAGTATGGGTACCCCGGAGGAGCAAGACCAAGGCTACGTGAGTCGCTTGAACCCACAGGGCATGATACCGATGCTGACTTATGGACTAGCTGGCCTGGGCGGTTGGACAATGTATGTATAGCTGTGGATAGAGATCTGGTTGATGCTGACATATCACAGTCTGTCGCCGGCGGTATCACGGCCGGTATGACCCCATTCGACTCTATCATCAAAGAATGCGATGAAGAAGCCAGTCTTCCCGAAGACCTCGTCAGGAAATACATCAAGTGCGCCCCCTCTCTCGGACATTGCTCAGTCTTATGCGAAGCTGATGTAATGTAGGAATGTCGGTATTGCAACCTACTTCTACTTTACTGAGACCGGTTTCCTTCAACCCGGTACGTGACCCTCGAACCATGCGTGCGAGAGCAGACTGACGACAAAGCAGAGGTGGAATACCTGTATGACCTCCATCTTCCTCCTTCAGACTCTGCAGAGTACATCCGCCCAGCACCACACGACGACGAAGTCGAATCATTCGCCGTATGTTCCTCTCCCACTCCCACTGCCTACCTCGTACTCACACTACACAGCTACTCACCATCCCTGAATTGATCTCCGCCCTGTACGGTAACGACATGAAACCCAACTGTGGTCTCGTCTATGTCGATTTCTTGATTCGACACGGGTATGTGACGCCGGAGAATGAGCCCAATTTCGTGGAAATCGGCAGTAGGCTGAGGAGGAAGCTCGGGGTGGGTATGCCCGGGCTGGCCTAAGTGTACGGGCCGATGGAATGAAGAGCAAGCAAAGAAGAAACCTGTGTGGGTTCCAGTCACTATTTTCGGGACTCGATGCTGACAAACAAAAGATAGAATATACAATAGAACAGGATGCATCAAATCTACAAATCAACACTTATCATATTCCCGGCCCAGTCACATCAATACGCCTATGCATCCTCCTTACAATCTCTTGATAGTTTGTTTCATTGTCTGGCGTTACAAACCCATGCCTTACCAAAAAATCGATCGTCACCATGGCCGAGGATGGTTTGAATTTGTCCTTGTGGAGGGACAGGATGACTTGCTGGACGGGCAGAAGCTCGAAGGAGTCGACTTCGTCATCATTAGGGGAGGGATGGATGTAGGTTGGGGAAGATCGAGGGGGAAGGGGGAGGTCGTACGTGTATCTGTGAATGGGTGTCAATGGATGGGCGTGGGGCGAGCTGATCACTTACTCGGCATCTGCTGGGGCAATGAGATAGGTAAGCAAGTCCACGTTGAGTGACAGAGAGACAGCTGACGTACTCGGAAGGATTGCTCCATCTTCCATGATTTCATAGTAACTCACCATCCCCGCGCTCCTGAGAAACCACCGCGAGCATCAGCGCCATCTCGATATCCCAACACAGGCAGTACCGACTTGACGTATTTCCTAATCAGTTCCTCCGGCCACCCAGCTTCTTCTTCGCACTCTTTCAAGAGCCCTTCAAGTGGCGTATGTTTAGCCGGGAGACCACCCGCAACGCTCTTCATGATCATACGTTAGCTGATATCGCACAGGTAAGAGCTTGCTTACGCTGTCGTATTTGAGTGGTGATCTGTGACGGTCAGCGCTTCGCCTAGGGATCCAAATCTTCATATCCTCCCCCTCTCCCTCATATGCTATAACACGTCAGCACGTCAGGATAAATCTACAGATTGCCAACTCACCAGTCATGTGAACTCCAAATGCTTGACATCCAAACAACGGCACACCCGCTCGTTCCATCTCGAACGCAACGTTTCCAAAAGGCTGACGAGCAGTCGAATTTGTGGCTTTGAAGGCTCTCGATTGTGGATAGGCGTATATCGGGAAGAGCTCGTCCATCCATACTTCCGCTTTCAGTCTTTACCTACGAGTGAGTGAATTTGTACTCACACTTTGTAGCTTCGGGGAATCGCCCTTCAGCTTTCCACCGGTTCAAGATGTCAGCCATCGCCTCCGTCCTGGCTTCCTTTCCTTTCTCATTGATCTCTTCCGCAAAGAAGACACACAACACGCTCAGCTTGTAAGCAGCCCGAGACTTATCCTGCTTCTGCTTCTGGAGACACTCGCTACAAGCACCACATTCAACACGCCTACCATCTTTCTTGATATCGCACGACTTGATCTCTTTGGCAAGAGAGAAAAACTTGAGGGCTTGTTCTTTCTCGAGAGCTTTGAGGACTGGCTTGGTGATGAGCCCGACGGGGGGAAGGCCGTTCTGAAAGTCTTGGAAAGAGATGTGCAAGGGGACGATACGTTGTTTGGTGATGGGATGACGGGAGGGGTAGGGGGCGTGGTAAGCCGGGAGGTGGTCGGCTTGGATCACGAGAGGGAGGAGAGATTGAGAAGGGACTGGGGTGGTGGACATGGTTAGTAGGTTCTGCTTGGTAGTGTGAGCAAGGTGGGGTAAGTGGCGGCGGTCAAGATGAAGAGGAGATTGGTAGGAATGAGAGGAGGAGTTGCTCTCATGAACTATTATCAAGAGCACAGATGTACAAAGGTCAATACCGATTCAAAGGATAATGGGCTATGCTTGACAGAGTGAACAGGGTGAATGGACCGTCTTTCAACTCCGACTCTCGCTCTGGTGGCGACAGCGACAAGTACCGTGCATCACAAGCCGCGCTGCATGCCTTGAACTTTGTACTCTGATGATCACCAGGCAATGCATACACTCAGGAACATGCATAGCACGGATAAGCATTGGAGTGGCCATGTACACCTCCCCCCATGTGGCTAGACTTGCATGTTCCGCCCCATCAGCACGCCCCTCTACACACAGGCAACTCACCTCGCAACGCCCGAAACGACCAGCGCCACCTGTCCGGTCTGTCACCTCTCGGCGTTTCCCGCTCGGACTATGAACGAGGGATGATCCTGACTGCGATCTGTGCTTTCTGCCTGCGCCCGGCAGGTTCTGCTGTCCATTGCTATGACGAACGCCCCTCGGTCACGGCCCCAGCAGCGACTTTGTAGCATCGCGCGATGACGATACATCGCAGATCCCGGCTGCCGGCAAGGGCGACGACAGATTCCCACAACCAAGCGCCCTTAGCTCGTGCCTGCCCTGAATCGAGAACAACGAGAAAAAAAGCGGCGGAGAGGCTAAAAGACAACAAGGAAAACGTAATGAATGTTGGTTAATCCTAAATTGAAGAATGGTCCGAAGGGAATAGGGCAGTGCCTCCACTTCTGGCGGAACCTTCTCTGGGGATGCTCTCCCTCGCTCTTGTTTTGGTTGCTCTGGAGAGGGAAGATGTACTCGGGCGCTCAAAGGCTGGCGGGTTCGGGCTCATACGCTCCATGGTACTCTCATGGTGTAGTTTGGCAACGGACCATGAAGGGATGTGAGGTGGGGGCGCTATGGAAACTAATGTTCGGGCTATGCCTTCTTACCAGCAGGCAGCCACGTCCAGGACGGGCTGGTCCTTGTAAAATGGAGACCGTTATCAGGTGGAGCACCCCCCCCTGTTGGTGCACCTGCTGGGCATGGAGAAACAGAGCAGGCCGGGCAACCACTATGAATCTCAGGAGTGGGGGCGTTTCCCGCGAAAGAGTTGTCACCATGTCACCTTTTGCTTTCGGGTGCGCTAGAGCTGCATTTCATTAGGTGGTGCCTTCAGTCTTGGGAAGACGTTCACAACTGTTATCACTTTTGGGGTACACGGACGCTCAAGGCATCTCATGAACGTACAGTTGTCAGTTGGTGCCACACACGCTTCCTACGTTGGTTCAGGTTTCTGCTGCTGGGCCTTACGGCCGTAGGGTTGAATCTGGTATCACGTAGCCCCGGTGAGAAAGTCACTTGCTGCCCTTTTCACTCTCTGTGATAACGTTTGCCGAGCGTTCTGATCGGATCTCTGCGCTTGAAGACCCGCATCTCATGGCCACATGCCCGTCTAGCAAACGTCACTTTTTCTACTTCTGGCCTTTCTCTTTCCTTGGCCTGAGCCTGCGTGCAATGCCGTGAAGTATCCAGTAGCGTCGGCCATCTTACGATAGCAGGCGGAGCGGGTACATGGTGCATGGGCACAAGCCAGATATAAGATACGTCGTATCAGGCAGATCGCAAGGGGCGAGATCGCAGAAGGATTTGGGAAGGCGTCGAATGAGTCAGAAGCTCGTGTCAATTAGAGACGGTTCAAGGGCGAGAATCTCGAGGGCCAAGCGCGTAAGCGTAAGGGACGGGCGAGTCACCTCCCGTGCCGGCGGGGAGAGACCCGATGCCGGTGCTGTCGACGGTCGATGTAATGGCAGAGCCGATGCATAGTATGCATGGGGCTGGAGGGGCATGGCGGATAACAATACTCTCGAGCAAGGGCTGCTCTGTGTGCTGCATGCATTGGTGGCGGCTGGGGTGGTGGGCGCTGTGGCCGTTCCGGAGGTCCCTCTGTGTAATTCTCCGATGTTTCGCTGCGATCGCTGAGCCACTGCACCCGAAAAACGGTTCCCTCCACGCTTACCACGCACCACGCCACAAAACTGAATTGGCCGCTAGCTGCGTTTAGAGCATTCGAGCAAAAGTGGTAATCACTCACATCGCTCTTCTTCTTCTTTCCCGTCCGCCGTCCAGTCCTGCATCCCCCCTCGCCCCCACCCCGACTCTCGTTTACAGCCCTGTCGCAAAGGTAAGTGCGGCATGCAAACACGGCGCGACGGAAGGGAGGAGGGAGAGTCACCGGTGTTTCAGGCCAGAGCAGAGCTGACGGGCATCAGCACCGAACAGTCGACATCAGCGGAAGAAGCCCCGTCAGCGATCAGGCATCAAGCTGCACACGGTCCCTTTCACGTCCCATAGAAAGGGGAGCCGCCAACGCCATCCCCACCCAGAGTACAGCACAACCCAGAGTACAGCACAACTCCCAGTATGTCCTCTCCATCTCCGCCATGGACACTGCTTACCACAGCGCCTTCACCCGCCGCCCCCTCGCCCACCCCTCCCCGGCCACAGCCATGCCCTCCGACTCCCGCGCCGCCCACCACCCCCACCACCCCCATCCCTACGCCCACCCCGCCCATCCCTCCTACCAGTCCCCCGTCCCGTCCTACCACGCCCACCACCCCCCCGCCCGCCACGTCTCGAACGGCCATCCGTCCCAGGTGGTCGTCCCAGGCCCCCCTCCGCCCAGCTCGGTACCCACCAACGGACCCCCGCCGGCAGAGCCACCAGTGACGGCCGTGGTCACCCCCAGCACTGCGAGCGCCCGCGTGGCCAGGAGTCTCCCGCCCATGAGCGCCGAAGCGAGAGCAGCGAGGGAAAGGATGGACAGTATTCTGGCCCAGCTCGCAAACGGTAACGAGAATACATGGATGCTGATTGGCAAGTGATCTTGTGTTTAAATGGTGTACGCTGACCCATACGGCAGGCGCCGTTGCCGAGGGCATGAATGATCAGGACAGAGCAGAGTCGGCCTTTCATAATGCCCTGCGCCACAACCCCTCCTCCATCCTCGGCTTGAATGCGGTAGCCTCCGTCGCCAGGTCCCGAGACGAATTCGACAAGGCCATCGAGTACTTTCAGCGCATCCTCAACGCAAACCCCGAGAATGGCGAGATCTGGGGCTCTATGGGTATGTATTCCTCTCTGTCAACGCCGTTGGGTAGAGTTTGGTGATCGGCACGAAGGAAGCGGCGGAGCTAACCTTGAACGCAGGCCACTGTCTTTTGATGAAGGACGATCTCCCCAAGGCATATACTGCCTACCAGCAGGCCCTCTACCACCTCAGCAACCCCAAGGCAAGTATTCCATCTGTGGCGCAGAAGCCTCAACAGGACCCCCCGCTGACCTCGTTTTCGCAAAGCAGGAGCCTAAATTATGGTACGGCATCGGAATATTGTACGACCGGTATGGGTCCTTTGAGCACGCAGAGGAGGCCTTCTCGAGTGTGTTGAAGGCGGATCCCCGTACGTCACGCAGCGAATCACAAGGGAATGCGCTGATCGTGATCATTTAGGGTTCGACAAGGCCAACGAGATTTACTTTCGATTGGGCATCATCTACAAGCATCAGCGCAAATTCAAGGATTCGCTTGACGTAAGTCCCTCGTGTGCCATCAACGGCCAATCTAATTACATGTAGTGCTTCCGATACATTCTCAACAATCCCCCACGCCCCCTTACCTCTTGGGACATTTGGTTCCAACTTGGTCACGTCTATGAGCAGGACCGTGATTTCGAGTCGGCCAAAGACGCCTACATGCGTGTTCTTCGCCATCAGCCAGACCATGCCAAGGTTCTCCAGCAGCTTGGATGGATTTACCACCAGCCGGGTGCGTCGTTTACGGATCAGGATCAGGCAGTGTCGTTCTTGACCAAGAGTCTGGAAACGGGTGAGTTTGGATCGCTTATACGGATTCACGCATTAACACATTGCAGATCCCAACGACGCTCAAAGCTGGTACTTGCTTGGACGAGCGTATATGGCGGCTGCACGATACAACAAGGCCTATGAAGCTTACCAACAAGCCGTCTATCGCGATGGGCGCAACCCTACCTACTGGTGCTCTATCGGTGTGCTCTACTATCAAATTCAGCAATACCGTGACGCCCTCGATGCCTACTCTCGCGCCATCCGTCTCAACGCCTACATGGCTGAAGTCTGGTACAATCTCGGCTCTCTCTACGAGTCTTGCAACAACCAGATGAACGACGCACTTGACGCCTACTCGAGAGCCTACGAGCTGGACCCCGCGAATACGCCAGTCAAGGAAAGGATCAGGTTGTTGCAAAACCCCAATGCTGGACCCCTGCCGCCCCCACCCACCCCAGTCGACGTTCATCCCTCGCAGTATCCCAGTATGGGCAGCGAAGGCCCAGGTTCGCCGAACGGCTCTCCTCCCCGCTTCATGCACCTTGAGGGCATGTCTTCCAGAGACGGCGGGCGAGACCTCCCTCCTCCCCCTCCAGGCGCTGAAGCCCGGGCTCACTCACCAGGTCCATTCCGAAACGGCGCCGCGCCTCCTCCTCTTCAGCATGTCGATGAAAGCCGTGGAAGTATGGCTGGGATCGCACCGTTGGCTAGGATGGAGGTGGATCCTCGTGCGGAGGCTAGAGAAGAGAGGCCGAATGGTTCTGCTGGCGGGCGATATGATCCTTTGGGTAGACAACCGGAATCACCCATCTCCCCTCGCGCTGCGTCGTCTCGTCGAGATGTACCTCCCCCCTTCCCCCCCGCGAGAGGATTCAACTATCCTCCGGGATACGACCGCTCGCGAGAAGAATGGGAACAACGGGCCGACTCGAGGGGTCCTCCAGGACCCTCGCCGAGGATGGCTGACAGGGCGCCAGACGGGAGAGAGAGGATGCACCAAGAGTATGCTGGGTATCAGCAGGGATACTATGACGCTAGAGGGTATCCCCAGGCGCCGCCGTCGGCTGGCGGGAGGTATGACCCTAGGCGAGAAGCGGATGAGTTGCAAGCGAGGGAAGACGAGTTGCAGCAGCCTCCAGCCCGGGCAAACGGCAGGCGCACTTCTATCGCCAAAGAAGACCTCACCCGAGGAACTAGTCCGGTGCCGTCGGCCACGGGAGGTGCGAAAGGCAGGAAGCGTGGAGAAGGGAAAAAGACGAAAGAGAAGGAGGACAAGCCGGCGAGCACCAAGGGCAGGAAGGGCAAGGCTGCGAACCTCAAGGCTGGTGAAGAGGCCAATGGGCAGTCGCCGAGGACGACGGTGCACACGAGCAGTCCTACTATCAGTGTGGGTACTACGCCGGGGTCGAATGCCCCCAAGGCGATGCCCCCAGTACAGGCGCCGCCTCAGCCTTTGCTCAGCTCGATGGCCAGGACAGTGGATGAGGGTGAGTCATTATTACATTCAAGTAGGACAGTGCTGATGAGGTTCAGATTACGATGAAGGTGCTGCTGATGCGCTCATATCTCTTGCTGGCGGAAGTACTACCAACCTCCCCTTCCCCACGCGGCACATTAGCCCCAGCCCATCTTTCGCTGCCCGGCATCAGCCTTTTCCCCAGCACCCTCCTTCGTTGAGCGCCAGTAACAAACGTGCATTCGACTCTCAGCCCTTCTCGCCAGACCAGAGCAACAAGCGTGCCAAGGGCGACAAGGTCCAGTCTCATTCTCCCCCTGCTTCAGCGACAGGGTCTATCGGCAGTCGGTCCGGTGCAACATCAGTACCTCCCGCGAAAAAGATGGTGATCGAAGTGCTCAACGCACCGAGTGTTGCCAGCCCTCTTCCTCGAGCAGCGTCGGCTGTGGACGAGAAGGAGTCTGCTAGAACGGCCCCGCCCTCGCGTCCTTCTTCTGGGGGTGCACAACAGGAGAGAGGGAAGGAAGAGGTACAGGGAACCGAGGACAAGATGGATGTAGATGCCCCAGCGCCTGTGGCGGAGGTCACTCCAGCGCCGTCAGCGCCCCAGTCTGCCTCGCCCCCTGCCCCGACCTCTGCACCCAGCGCGCAAGGACCTTCGCCTGCTGCCCGTGCTTCCCCCACCCCTCCCGCAGCGCAGCCTAGTCCCAAACCTCCCACTCCTGCGGCGTCCGAGCCAGAGAAGGAAAAGTCCTGGCCATCTACACCGCCTGTGCCTCAGCCGAATGGTGCTCCCGTGGAAGAGGTCAAGGAGAAGACTGCTACGCCCCCTTCGGCAGCTCCTGAAAAGGGAGTCCAGAAGGAAGACGTGGTGATGGGCGAGTCGGAGGCTTACAAGGGGGGAGATGGCGAAGTCAAGGAGTGAGAGAAAACGCACAAGTGGGGTTTACAGTAAGAAGAAGCTTAACATAACAATTTATATGATACACAGATACCCCTTCGTTTGCCTTTGGTCTTTTGTGCTCTTTTTGCCTTTTACTATCATCTTGTGTTTCCCAGGACTACGGGTTGATACAATGTCATTTTGATGTTATTATCGTATGTCGCTTGACGGGTGCTGATATATGGCAAGTTGAATGATAATACATCTTGTGGGACCATATCTACGAGAACTGAAACTTACTGACACGAAACCTGATAGACGATAGTCAGCCACCATTCTTTCCAAGATCCGATCTTCAAAAAGGGGGATAGAATGAAATGGATCAGAAAGGTTCTAACCAGTTCTCTACAGCAAAGTTCTGAAAGCCATGCATATATAAAGGTTGTCATCAGGGAAGAGGATGGTGGATGGTGGAAAGATCAATGGCGGAGATGACTCACTGATTCGCTATTTTCAACTGTCTGCGTCCAAGGGGGTAAAGTCGAGGGTTCTGTGCGAAGCGAATTGCTGATCGTGTTCCAAGATGAAGCCTAGAAGGAAAAAAAAGGTCAGCACAATGATCCTTCCTCGACACGATTTAACGAAGCAAGAGGTAAAAGTATCAGTGCGATTCTGACTATGGTTGATTCAACATTCGACTTGGTTATCACGCCAAGGTCTGACAATACATGCTTAACATCCTTGAAGTGGGCTGGAAGCCGGGAGCTCGGGGCGCTGGAAATGATACTCACGATGATACGCTGCTGTTGATTCTTGGTCGAGACTTGAAGAGCTTGCACGTTGAGGTCTTGAGGTCTTACTGAGACAGCCGTGAATTGAGAAGGATCGAGTGATGCCAAAGTATCGCGAAATCATAACGCCGAAACTGCGACTGCGAAGTGGCACTTCGGTACTCTTTCAACGTTGATACTTTCGTTCTGCCTGCTTCCTGCCTTGGTAAGACAAGACGGCAATCAATCGCAGTAATCGCGTGTATGTATTTATACAAAGATACATAGGACCACATTCTGTATATGCAACGGTCTTGATGCCTCTGCGACACGTTCATCAAGTCAGCTCAAGAGTCTCCCAGCGTCAATAAGGTCCAAGTCTTTTCGCCAGGAGATGCAAGCAAGCTCCCGTCCTAGTGTCAGAATCTAGACAGTTTGTTGTACTCTCAAAGCCGGAGAGCTAGAGATGTTTACTCATGTAGGTATCATTTTTCAGGACGGGTGCAGGCTGCTCGACAAGACGCAGAATTGAAGAGGTGGACATGGGGGACTTACTTGTAGTCCGAAGACAAGTCAGCTTGGATATGCCATCTATTGGTGGTATGGGTCGAAAGAAAGATGGGGGGGCTAAGAACGAGTCAAGAGGATTTATATATGCCGACTACCGCATCATCCCTTGGCGACGACCCTGCCTCGCGGCAATGACATTGCATATGGTCTGTGTGGTAGATCGTTCCTTCACGGGGACAGACTCTGTGAACTATAATATGACTGGATGGTATGCATGCACTACATATATACACTGAAGGCACCCGTTTGCATGGTCCTTAACATCCCAAGCCAGGCGCATGTATCGATCACTCAACATGGCGACGGGCTGGTGAGGCCCCAGAAAGCGCTCGCCACATCATAAGGTCAAGAAGAAACATCGCTCACTTGAAGACAAAAGGTTGAACGTGACCCATCAGATTCTAAGGCTCTGTATGCACATCTATTTGCACTCAAATGTGATGTATTGAGCTTGGAATAAAGTCGTTCCACGAGAAGTACATGCTTACAACAACTGCTATGCTATGCGAGATACACTTGAGCCTCTTGCTCTTTCTCCTATTCCATCGTCTCCTCTCTTCCTCTCTCCCTACAACGCCACTGTATGAAAGTTGGGAAACACCAACTCATCCACCATCGTCTTTCTCACCACATCCAAAATGAACCTCTCCACCTTGCCCACATTCCTCAGCACATGGGCATCCGCATGTCCTATCTCTGACTCTATCTGCAGATTGGGCAGTAGTCTCTGGCCTATAGACAGATTCTTGTCTTCCCCACCCATACCGTCCATCGGCCCCTGCCCGCTCTCCCCATCGACAACAGTCAGATGCACCCTATTCTTCTCCCCATTAAACGCCAACACCACACCAGCATCGATATGGAACCCGGTGATAGATATCTTCAGGGGCAATGCCATAAACAGCTGGGACGGGTAGTTGACTTGTAGAGAAGTGAGGAGGGTGAGGTGGAGGTCGGATGTGTGGGAGAGGTGGAGGTGGAGTTGCAGAGAGGGGACGGAGGAGGCTGGTTTGGATGGTGGGAGACCTGCGGGGTGGGCAGGCGGGGAGGGAGGGGTGGATGAAGGGGCGATGGGCAGCCGCCGGCGAGAAGGTATGGGGGCGACGCTCTGCGAGGCAGACAGGGGGTTACGCCGCACAGACAGTGGGTGTGAGAAGAGTGAGGGGTTGAGCCCTGGGGTGGAGGGGAGGTATGGGGTGGGGACGGGGTGGTCGAATGGGTAGGGTATGAAGGAACGGGCAGACATGGAGCGGTGGACGGCGGGGCGGTCGGGGTAGCTTGTGGGAGCGTACGAGTTGGGCCGGCGGCCTCGCTGTCGAGCTCGTTCTTCAGCTTCGAGCTGCTGTTCGAGGTCGTACTCGAATTGCTCGTCGTAAGACTCTCCTCCCTCCGAGGTTGGACTGTAGTAGTCGACCATCTCGTACTTTTCCCCGTCCAGCGAACTTTTGAGAGCTTCACTCTTCAGCCTCTCTCTCTCCTTCCTCTCCTTTTCTTTCTGCTTCTCCTCCTCTATAAGGTCTCCCTCTTCATCCCCCTGGTCAAACACCCGCCAGACATCGCGGATATCTCTAATCTCGAGATCTGGAGCGGCGGTGCCAAAGTCGAATGCAGTGACGGTGACGGGGCCGATGAAGGAGGGGCGTGCAGCGTTTGCGAGGTGGGCGTTGAGGAGGGTGATGAGGGAGTCTTGGAGGTGGTCTGTGGGACTGAGGAGGTCCCAGTTGATGTCCAGAGACATGGCGAGGTGGTTGCAGCATCACTAAAAGGTCGTTCGCTTGGGCGCTGCTCGGAGGCTGCGGCGGCCGCCGTCGACCTCGTCTTCTGTCATTCTGTGCATAGAATTCTCAACTGTTTAATGGTTGATGGACGGCTACTGTCCGCTGGCCACTGGCCATGGGTCGAGCGACGGACCCATGCGATACCCCCAGTCTGGGCCTTCATCGGAACGTTGCGACCACACGGTATGGCCCAGAAGCCATGTGATCATCGTCTCTATACTTGCCAAGCATGTGCTACGCTCTGTGTAGTACATGAGACGGGGCCGTCTGTTTTAGGTTCTGACTGAAAACGCCCATGCGAGTGCACTCCTGAGAACTGGCTCTCGTGTTGAGTCAAGTGATATGCCACTGTCAAGTGATGCCTCGAGTCCGAAGGGGAGCAACCGCAGTCGGAACGCTACATCACATCAGCTCGAGACAATCTGGCTGCCCGTTGTGTGACTGGACAGAGAACAATAGAAACATGCATGCACGATGGTCGATGACTGTGTAGAGACGAATCGTAAGGGAGGATGAGACCCCTGGATTTGGTTCCGTAGACTCGAGTCACTATGTATAGAGGCCGGGCAGATATTTCACGGGGGGCAGTTCTATGCTGGACAAGGGAGGCTGGGGATGCATCGCAGCGTCGAGGGAGCCAGCGTAGTGCCACCTGTAATCTGCATGCATGGGCTGCCGGGACGTCGGGTGGCAGCATGTGGGCGGCGGCGATTTGTGGACCGGGCTGGGGAATTGCATCTCGTTTAGGATGAGCATATTTCCACCGGCTGACATCTCAAGAACATCAGGGGGCGCTCAGACTCAGAGGGACCCCCTATACACCCACCCGCCTTCCAGCTACAAAGGGCGCTCAAAGGACACGCCGACTCATCCCGTAAGCCACAACGTCCCTCACCCACTCCAGCCTAGAGGGCTCCGGCGAGTCCCTATCACCATGGACAACCCACCGCTCGCCTCCCCCCTCCCCGCCTCTCCCTCCCGCGCATCGCCCCCGCCCCCCACCAGCTCGCGCACTAGCCTCGTCATGGGCGGTTTCAGCCCCGTCCCATCCCACCAGGCCCTCCCTGCCGTCCCCGAGTCCATCTCCACCTCCCCCCGAGCACCCCAGCTGCCCCTCAACACACAGGCGGCAAACCTGATCCGCATGAACTCGTTTGCGCCTCAGGTGTCGACCCCTGTCGACCAGGTCTACAGCTTTACAGACGAGAGCCCTAGATTACTGCAGCACTCGCCCAGGGCGAACGCTGCTAATCTGGGAAGCGACTACCTGCCCAGGTCGAGGCGGAACTCGGCTGCGATCGTGTCCATTTCCTTGAGCTCGCGCTCGCGGTCACGCACGCCACAGGGGAGTGTGAATGTGCCACCCGGCACCCACACCGCCCATGGCACGCCCAGCAAAAAGTACTCGGAGGAGCCTGTCGAGATGTCTGATTCTTGGGCGCCGGGCGTGGAAGAAATGGATGACTGGCAGCCCACCGGTGGGATGCTGCTTGATCATGGCGAGGATGAGGTGGCAAGGGTCGAGAGTCAGGTGGATGACGACAAGGTGGGGCGGACATGGAGTGGAGACTCGGATGCGTCGAGGATTGTGGAGGATGTCTTGACGCATGGCATGGTCATTGGCGAAGGCCTCAAGTTTCAGGGAGAAGTCATTGTCCCCGCAGTGTCGAGGATGGCTTTGGCCGATGGGAGCGATGTAGGGTTGCCACTCAGAAGAGGCGGGAGTGAGGCGACAAAGGTCTTGAGGACGGATGGCAGGACGGAGAAGAAACGATACGAGGTCGTGAGGAGGTTGGGGACTGGAAGTTATGCTGTGGTGTATCTTGTCAAGGAGCGTGGTGGCAAGAGGGAGTTTGGTAAGTCGATGTTCTATGCTGTGGACGCTGCTGACCAGGGGTAGCTCTGAAATGCCTCAGTAAACACGATCTGGCTGACGAGCAGCTCGAAACGCAACTGTTTGAAGCGCACATCCACCTCTCTTTGCCTATCCATCAGAACATTGTCACTTTGCATCAGACGCTCCAAACACGGAAATGGTTGTTTCTGATGCTAGAACTTTGTCCCGGAGAAGACCTGTAAGTGCGTCACAACCACATTGACCCTGGCTCATTATTGTCAGCTTCTACTGGCTGGAAAAATCCCGTGACGCCTCTCCCAAACCCAACCATGCTCCTCTGCCCGAGGACCAATTCTCATCATCCAAACTCTCCTCTTCATCGATCCCCTTTTCATCGTCTCAAATGTTCTCCAATCTCAACAGCATGTCATTCTCTCAATCCCCCGGCGCTGCGTTTTCGCAAAATCACTCGCATTTCAGCGCTTCGCCTGCCTCGCTCATCTTTGCGCACCACAATGGCGGGTCCTACGGATCGCATTTCATGCCGTCTCAAACGCCCCCCACCCCATCACTCCTCTCTGCATTCTCCGCCAACACCCTCTTGTCCCAACGTCGTCTTCGCCTGATCGCTTCCATGTTTTCGCAAATGTGCGAAGCTGTCGCCGTCTGCCACGATGCTGGCGTTAGCCACCGGGATATCAAGCCCGAGAACTTTATCTGCTGCGACTCGGTCGAGCTCGATGCTGCCAAGGATGGCGAGTTCACAGAAGATGATCAGTTTGGACCGGGGGCCAAGCCGTTGGTAGACTTTGGTCCGCAGGCAAAGAGAAAGGTGGTCGTCAAGTTGACCGATTTCGGGTTGGCGACGACAGAGAGGGAGAGTGGGGATGTCGAGTGTGGCAGTAAGCCTTACATGTCTTATGGTGAGTCTTTTGTACGTTTCCTGAAACACGCTGAACCCAGATAGAATGCCGAAACAATCTCGGCCCCACCTACTTTCCCGCTCCCGCCGACGTCTGGTCACTCGGTATCGTCCTCATCAACATGCTCTTCCACCGAAACCCCTGGAAAGACCCCGCACCCGGCGATCCCAACTTTGACTCCTTTCTCAACGACCCCATCGCATTCATCCTCACAAAGTTTACCGGTATCGGCCGTGAAGTCGCGTCATACTTGGCCGACCATGTGCTGTGTATCGACGTCGACGAGAGGGTGGATGCGAGAGAGTTTGCGAGGTGGGTCAAGGGCTTGCCAGAGATGATTGGAGGGAGAAAGGCGATGCAGGCGATGAAGATGTTGAGGTTGGAGACGCAAAAGACTGCTGGTGGGCAAGGTCCTTTGGACAAGGGTGTCTTTATGAAGAGCCCCATCGACCAGGTCGACCGACCGCGAAAGTACTCGACCTCGGCTTTGACGTCTACCGCGCCAGGGATCAGCTCGTCTCCTCGACTGTCCGACCTTCCTCCACCAAGTAGTCTTCTCGAACAACCAGAGGAAGAGCGCGAGCCAAGCACGCCCTCGCCCGAAGCTTCCCCTCCCACCCCGCCTCTCGAGCCGGATATGGCTTCGGCAACGACGTCAGCCACGCGCGATGAGCAGACCACCCCGGCGGATGCGAGCAACTTTCCTTCGCCCTCTGATTACGCTCCCAGCTCTGCTGCGCTAGGGGCGGATGAGGATGACAGAGACTGCTCGCGGGATAGAGCTGACGCCGATTCGCGCTCGCTTTCTACTCACAAGAGGAGGAAGCGTGGGGTGAGGAAGGGCAAGGCGGCGCAAGCTGCTGCTGCTGCCGCGGCCGACCCTCTGACTCAGGCCGCTCGAGATGAGCTTTTGAAGGAGCTCGCATCCGCGTCCCAGTCCCTCGCACGCGAAATGTCCAAAGTTCATACGCCTAGTGTGGATGTCAATCGCATTGAAGACTTCCCACCCCTTGGTGTCACGGCCGCTCAAGTAGCTGCCGAGAAGAAGAGCAAGTGGAAGGACATGATCAAGCTGAGCAGCCAAGGCAATCCCGAGCTGGCGGCTTTGGCAAAGAGAATGAAGGACAGGGACGCGGATGGCAGTATGAACTTGAGTGCGCCGGCAAAGCTGCAGGGTGGCAAGAATGGCGCGCAGGGAGGCGCGAGCAGGCGACATGCCTATACCCAAGCAACAATGAGCTCGGGCGCAAGCAGCGGAATCTCGAGCTTTGGACAAGCGTCCAGTGCCACTAGCGTGGGTGAAGAGGATAAGGAGTTTGCACAGAGAGGCAGGGACAAGAAGAGCCATCATTATGTGCATGGCCAGGATGAGGAGGCACGGGCCAAGAAGGCAGAGGCGGCTGCAGCTGCCATCGCCGGTGCTATGGGTCCTATGGGATCTTTCGGACGTCCTAGTCATATGGCACCGAGACACGCCCATACGACTGGGTCGACGGGGCCAACCTCGGGCCTTGTGCACAGCTCGAAACCCATCACCTTTACGTCTCCCCCTCCCGCTCACTCTCAGCCTCTGTCAGCCGAGAAGCCGCAACCCATTCCTGCTCAGACCTACAAAGGTTACTCTTCAGCCTCGCCGACTTCCATCAAGCCCAGTCTCTCGTCTGTTGATAGCTCAACAACTATCCGGACTATGACGGGTACTGCAGGCAGGTCAACTGCTGCCACAGAGTCGGTCAACTCGATGTCGTCGGGAGCGACGACCGTCATGGGAGAGAGTCCTGGCCATGCCACGTCACCGAACAAACCCAAGTTGAAGGGTCAGATCAGTTCGTTGGCCAAGATGCTGTCGGGGCTCAAGACCAAGGGGAAAGAGTGAGAAGTCTACGTGAGCGAAGAGTATGGTTTCAACAACCCCAACGTAGGAGGAAGCGTGTATGGCGAGAAGGTCGGCGACCTGTTATTTTTACACTACCCACTCCATTCTTTCTTTGATTCCGGGTAAGCATATTGTACGATAGTCATCTGGGGATCTTCTCCCTTTTCTGCAGCATGCCGGCGATAGCAAGGAGGTATATACTTTGTCTTCATCGGAGGAACGAGGCAGCACATGCATGTGACAGATAGAATTAGTACACGGTGTATTATGGGAGTTTTGCTTGTGAGAGGGCATGAAGGTCGGCCATGGTTACGATAGAGGAGTCATCTTGAGCTCTGGGCAGCCAGTCGCCCGTTCCGCTTCGTAACAGGCAGGAATGTGCATATAAGCGTCCAGGTCGCCATACAATATTAATCAATGCTATAGACAGTGTCAGAGGTGAAAAAAGAACAGTGAGGTATCAATTGTGTATGAGTGTATGATATATGAGTGTCTATGAAGTATAGTTGTAGAGTTGTCAACCACAACATTTGTGTCATATTCGGGTGCCAGTCAAGCAGCTCAAATGTGCGCTATGACTAGCGGATAGGTTTCCCAATCTCACGTTCGCCTACGGGACGCGCAGTGTAGGCACGTTGGTCATGGGCGGCTGTCGACTTTGCAGGTGCAGGCTGGACGCTAGCTGTCTTGGTGCTTGTGGACACATGACTCTTGATCTTTGCCAGAACATCCCTGAATAGCCAGTCAGCCTCCGGTGAGTATGGTTTGAACGTAACTCACCTAGCGTATTGAACCTTGTGGACAACGCCCTCGATTCTCTTCTTGTCCTTTGGCGACAGTCTCTCATCCACCGGCCGCAACAGCTCCTCGAGACTCCAGGTGCGGATGACCGAGTGTCTATCGATGACCGTGACAACAAGTCCGTCCCGGGAGAGAATGAGCTTGGTGTGGTCGTAAAAGTTGAACTGTGACGCTCGTCAGCTTGACTCTATAGGACACAATTCCAAACTCACCTGAAGGACATCATTGCTCAACCTAAACAAGATCACATGCTTCATCCTCAGATACTTGACCACAAACACCATCCCCGTCGACAGCTCCTTGTCCTCAAAAGTATACGGCTGATCACCAAACAGCTTGTCCAGCATGTAGTTTTCAAAGTGTTTCAACAAGTAGACCTTGTTCTTGAGATCGGACGGGTACCTCTCAATGAGATGATTCCGCCGTATGTTCTGGGAGAGGTCATCGGAGCCGGTGGGACGGATATCATCAAAGTGCTTCTTGCCGGGTGCGAGCACCAGGGAGGTGGAGTCGTTGAAGTGGACGCTGACGGTGCCGTCCGTCATGGCAAAGCCCATACCATACTTGGTACAGTAGTCGAGCCATGACACCACGAATACGGATGGCGCTTCCGGTTTCGATTCAATTTCTAGTGGCTGTCAGCTGTGCTTCCGCGATGCGCGAGCTGGACTCACGAGGTGTTTGGAAACCTTCATCTGTCTGGGACATCGTCAAGCCGGCCGTCAAATTTTGCCCAAACGTCTCGAACAAGGTCGTTTTGTAGTCTCTAGATTTCTCGGGCTTGGAGGACTCGGCAACCGTCGATTGACCATAAGAAGGCTTGGTCGACCCTTCCGGCCGACTTGACGCCGCCGTAGGTTGAGCTAGCGTGGCTGATAACGGCACTGCCGCTCTGGGAGCAGCCGCTACTCTAGCCTTCGCTCCTTCATACATCTGCCTCTGTGCCGCTCCGCCCTCTGAAGCCTTCTCCAGTGCTTCCACGTACTGCTGCCTCTCAGCCGCCATCTGCGACACGATCCTCGCCTTCTGCGCTGCCAGCTCATTCTCTCTGCCTGGTCTGGGTTTCTGCTCCTCCTCAGCCCGCTCTTCTTCAGACTCTTCACCCAGACGCTCCATGGCAGCGGGCCTACGCCCAAGGTCGTGGTTCTCCTTGCCAGCTGTACCGCGCCGAGCAGGACTTAGCGTACTGGCTGCACTCGCAGCAGAGAGCTTTCGTAATAAAGACGGCTCTTTGATGCCAGCGGGAGCTTGGACAAGAGGCTGTCGAGCAGAGTTGAGCAAAGCAGAAATCGGGCTGTCGGGTTGAACGGCATTCTTGAAGTCCCTCTCTTGCTGCATAATGGATGGTCCAAGAGCAGTGCGCGGCCGGGGAGGCTCGACGTTGATAGACTGAGCGATACCAATCTTGGATTTGTGGCACAATGCGGCAAAGTTTCGACGGCTCTGGGAGGAAGAGACATGTCGAAAGTCAGGTGCAAAGTCGTTGGCGGATGTGGGGATGTAGGCTGGGAAGGCGCCGTCGAGGAACCACCGGTGGCTGAGGATGGCGTCGAGCGTAGGCCGTTTGTCTGAAGAGGGATGAGCACTATACAGTTAAAGACGACCCGACATACCTGGGTTGGTGTTCAATATAGACATGATGAGATCCTGGGCGGAGGAAGAGATTTCACGGTCGGTGGGGAACTCGTATCGATTTTCACGGATACGCTTGTAGATGGCTTTGACATCTTTGGTTTGGAAGGGGGGTTTGCCAATGAGGAGTGTGTATCTGGAGCAGCGTTAGCTTGGCGCACGGAACAAAGAGATCCGACTTACAAGATCACCCCAACCGACCAAACATCCACCTCGAAGCTATGCCCGTTGGCAGTGTCGAACAACACTTCGGGGGCAATATAGTTTGGCGTCCCACATATCGTTCTACAGCGAGTCAGTTGAGATCACCATGCTACCCTTGCCACTCACTTCTTTCTATCTCCCGGCTTTTCAATGAGAGCTGCCAATCCAAAGTCTCCAACCTTGATATCCATATTCTCATCCAAAAACAAGTTGCCCAGCTTGAGATCACGGTGGATGACATTCATCTGGTGCATGTATTGACACGCGGCGATGAGTTGGACGAGATAGTAGCGGGCTTCGGGTTCGGAGTAGCGCTTGCGGCGACGCAGAAGATCCATGAGACTCTGTCGGGGCCGTGCGTGAGCTTGGCTTGGTCATTAACAGCTATCGACTCACTCCGTAATGACAAAGTTCCAACACCATGTAAACGTTCTCTTCATCCTCGAAACAATCGTCAAACCTGACCACGTTGGGGTGCGCAAGCATTTGGTGGAGCTTGATCTCTGCCCATAACTTGGTCTTGTTCTTTTTCGTCTTGATGCTAGCCTTGCTGACAACCTTGACTGCCCTTCTAGACCCTCTGTGGTCTTGGACTTCGTAGACCCTGGCAAAACCTCCCTAAAGTTCATCATCAGTATACCATGTCCGATTGCCGGCCCCTGCCGCTTGTGCAAACAATACAAACAAAACAATACTCACTTCTCCCAAGAACCCGACTCTCAAATACTCGCAGCCCCTGTCTCTATCTCTAATCTTCAGAGGAGGGCTGGGCGGGACAATCTTCTCCTTCTTCACCGGGGCGGCCGCAGGGGCTGGGGGGAGATGGTCGGCCATCTGCGCTGTGGCTGTTGTTTGGCTGGATCTGTATGTTTCGGATATCGATGGTGTGCTGGACCGGTAACCTGTGGCGACGGGGGGGGAGAATTGCAGGAGGTAGTCGGGAGGCGGGAAGTGGAAGTTGGAGGGAGAGAGGCAAGATAGATGCGCGTTAGTAAACCAGATTTGAGACTGCTGCTCTTGTTTACACCCTTTGCAAAGTCACACGCGCGCGCCGGATTATGGCGGCATTTATTGGTGTGGCACCATCCATTGTTTTGGCTCGAGTATGCATAGTCACAGTATCAAGTCGTCTTCTGAAGCTTCTGACTCCATACGTCTCAACATGCTACTGATGCAACCATAGTGTCCGAAGGAAACGCTTTTGTGGCTAGTGCTTGTGCTTCCACTGACCCGAGTGTGTGAAGGACGTCAAAAGACTGCTCTCTTTCTACCTTTGACAAGGCTACCTTTACTTTCCCATACAGGACTATCTCTGGCAACCTTTGAAGAGTGAGCCACATATCCCAGACTTCTGACGAAAGGATCTCTACAACACAAACAACTCCGAATGTATGATGTGAAGAGAAAGAACGGCTTTGCGAGTTCCGTGCTTCTTCAAGACAAAAGAAACTGGGAAGGCGCTCTCCTTTGCCCCATAAACTCTCCACGCAACATAAATAATCCCCTTTTCTTTCCAGTTTCCTCATCCCAGAAAAATTGTACCACACCCTAACCCCTTCACAAACCGCCAAACTGGTACTCACCTACAAGTACACCTCACCACCCGCCACCATGAACAGCTATAGCAATTGGCACTCACAGGCAAGCCTCACAAACTCTCAGCCCCCACAAAGTGAGCAGCCATCGGGCCACCATGCTCGACCTGTCCGTAGTACCACCCTCGATTCCCACACAGTTTTCGACAGGGAGGACACTCCCACACCCAGGCCTCTACTACAGCACGAACTGCCCGAGTTCTATACTCTCGCCGGTCCGCCACCGCCACCTACCCTGCCTAGCATCCCTATGCACGAGACATCTCACCCTTGCCTGAACGAAGGTGCTTTGAAGGATACTGTCAGCAGTATCGTCGAGAGGTTCCGATACGACGAGCCTAACGTAGCCAAGGACGAAAGTACTCAAGCTTTGATCAGTGATATCGCCACTGCTGTGTCGAACCAGTGTGAAAGCTTGTTTGACGCAATGCTTGCACCTCCCCGGCCTCCCGTGATCTTTGTAAGACTTTCCTCGTGCATACAAGCAAAAACTGTGTACTGATTCCTGGCAGCCTGCTGGGGATGCTGCTTTCCGACCCCTTCCGCCCCTCCCAGGATTCCCCCCCAACACTCAACCTCAGAGCTCCACCACGGGCCGTGACTCAAGGCGAGGGGGTGTGGCTCCAAGTGAGGTTGGAGTTTTCTTCAGCATGGACGACGATGGGGCCTCCTTGTATTCTTCCATGTCTGACCTCGACCATCGCGAAGATCAAATCACCGTCATCTACAACGACGATTCAGGCCGCCCAATGACGAAGATCTTTGAAACTCGTGTGCAGCCTGACGGCCACTCTCGCCAAAACCAGTCGCCAGCTCATTCTAGTCATCACATACAGCAGCAGTCGAGGGACGGAGCTACTTTCGGGCGCGAAGGCCGCGAACAATCAATTGTTCAGCCTGAGAGGCGCAAGGATGTGCGCCCCAACAGGAGCGGGCAAGACTGGTCAGCAAAATCTTTCAACAGCTCTGACACCTCTCCCGCCAACACGCGAGTCCGATTCAGCGACCCCTTCATTCTCACGCCCACAACCTCTACCATTTGGCACCAATCTCGCTCGTCCCCTGTCTCTCGTGAGACTGAGAATCGCAAAGCCGTCAGTGACATAGTTCTTCTACGAGAGAGTCTTTCGCAAACGGACGACCAAGTCGCGTCTATCCGCTCTCAGATATCAGCTCTGATTGAATCTGTCAAGGCATTGGACAGCAAGTTGACAGACCGCTCGACAAGAGAGAGAGCAGTTGACAATTGGACTGCGCAACGTACTACAGACGGCCTTGGTCCTCTTCAGCACTCAAGAGGAGACCGGGCTTCTGACGCTTACACTTTAATGCCGGAGGACTACTTCTAATCCAGGGATGAGTTTCTTGTGTATGACCCAAACCTCATATAATCATCAATAGACCATGCAGTATGCAAGCATAAACTTTGGATCATGGTGTTCACTTATAGGGAACTGAATCATCAACATGCATTATGAAACAGCTATGACCATGCACTCATCTATATATCTTACAAAATACTACGCCACCAAATCGATACATCCTGGCACATAGGTCCACAGCGTGCAAAACGCACCCATCAATCGTTCATGATCCCCTTCTATCCCCTGACCAGATTGAGGACATTGAATGTCAAGCAGAACACCATCACTCCAATTCCATAGATCCCCAAGAACAATGCCCACCACTTGGTCGACCCCGGCTCATCCCGGAAGAGACGGAAGTAGAAGAAGCCGGGCAGGATGAAGGAGATGATTGTCGAGCCGGTCGAGCCGACAAACGCGAGCACTGTATCAATGTCAGTCATGATGGAGCCTTGAGATTACGAGACAGAACATACCGACTTCGAGCTCGTGGACGTTGTAAGCGATGAGGAATCCAAAGAAGAGGATGCCCAAGGTAAGGGCAATGAATTGCGCTGGAGGCATTTCATGCTTGACTTGGCCATGTCCCTTGGGCACAAGCGCATCCTCTTCTCCTTCTTCTCCCTCCTCACTCTCCTCTTCGTCCCTGACCCTCCGACTGAAAGAGCTCTCATCGACGCCGCCAGCAGCTTCGTGATGCTTGAAAAAGCTATGGGTAAGGTGCCGCAGGGAAGATCGGCAGGGGAGGACTTGAAGTGGATATGAAAGGCCGACAAGGAGAACGATACCAAGGCGGCCGACAGCGACGAGAAGGGTTGTGGCGGGATACATGGAGATGACGTTGCCGCTCACGATGCTGCCAAAGGTGAGGTAACCAAACAATCCAATCTACCGACAGATGTCAGCTTGGGCCAGCCTCGAGCCATGACTGGACTCACAATCTGATAGACAACGATAGCAGAGCCAATAGATGTTCCGATCACAGTGTTCATCCTTTTCTGAGTCTTGTCCTTGAGTTCATTGTAGATGGGGAAGAGGTTCTGGGAACATGTGTAGGCGAAGATTTGGACTGGGAAACTCGACAGACTGTTGGAGCTGAGCTTGAAGAAGACGACCTCACCTCGCTGAGGGCTGGGACCTTTGAAAATAAACCATCCTACGACGACGAGCACCAGGCTGCACTTTGTCAGTCTGATGGGAATGAAATAGATTGGGGAGGGCTCACTAAACTACAGTCAGAAGGGCGATCTGACTGGTGAAACGCAAAGAGTCCAGTGTACGCATAAAAGACAAAGGAGTGATGATGACCAGCCAGACAAAGAGCCAGAAATGGGAAGCAAGAAGAATGGAATCCTCAGCTAATGGGTGATGAACGATCTGAGCCACAGTCTGGCAGACTTGTGGTAAGAGCGTCTATTGGACAAGTCAGAACTTTTGCGTTTGTCAATCCCTCGAACAGCAGACTAGCGCACCTTGCAGATAATGAGGTAGGACACGGACACGCCAAAGCATTTGGAAGCAATAGCTAGCTGGGCGGGATGTCATTATTCTCTCGTAACAGGCGTCGACGTTGGGATGACTCACATCGAATACTTTAGTGGCCCATCCTTTGCCAAAGGTGAGCCTTGCTATTTCATTGAAGCTCGCCTTCCTCCCCTCGTCTCCTGGTCTAGTGCCGACGACAGTCGCGCACCGACTCAAGAGATAGAGCCCGAACATGGCGCTCATGCCGGAGGACAGACATGACAGCATGCCGGGTACGATACCCATAGCAGCCAAAGCTGAAGGAAACGCCAGAGCGCCTGCTCCAAGAATGGTGTTGCTGAGGTTGGTGACTGATGAGGTTACTGAAGCGTGTCCATCTTTGGGGGGATCGACCGGGGCAATGGTGGACGATGCCGATGAGGCGCGTGGGGGAGAAGCAGCTCCATAGTCGGCGGGCATTTCGCTTGAGGATGATTCGGAAGAGTCTGTTGAGTGTACCCCCCTGAGCGGAATGTCTGATTGGGATTGCAGGATGAAGAAAGAGAGGGATACGGCGAATAAAATAGCGCCGATAAGAGATGCGATGGCATCAGCAGATGGGGGGGAGGCCGTCGGTGATCTCCGTGCTGACGTAACTGCAGAAGCGGTCGTCGCCGCGGTGGACTTGATGTCAACAAAGAAAACAAACACGGTCTGATTTCGCGTCAACACCAGCAACAACAGGCAGGATCACAATGCAGGAGCACGACGGGAGAGAAGACTCCCCCATGCCCCTCGGCCCGCAGCTCCCCATCCTCGGCACCCTCAGCCTCCTCGCACGCAACACTGGCGACGTCCTCCAGACATTTCCCATCGACGTAGAGAGAATCACCATCGGACGGTGCGTGTACTATCGAGGTATATGACAGTTGCTGACCTGGGATACAGGGACGCAGACTGCGACGTACGTCTAGCTAACCAATCTTTCAAACACCCACTCACCGTGTCGTAGTTGAGACTGTATTACCAGGACGTGTCCAAGATCCACGCAGAGCTTGTATTCGATTTGACGACTGGACAAGTGAGCATCTCGCCCCACTTCAAAGGCCGATGATTGATTCTCTCCCAGGCAAGTATTCATGCTAAAGGCGGCAATGGATTCAAGTTCCATCCTCACAACGGCGACACGAGCACCTACAAACCACCTTCCGTCGTTCAGCTCAACGATAACGACACCATCATCCTTCGCAATAAGCGGTTCTTGTTCAGCTACGGCAACGCATTTGCTCAAGAGGAGGTACCCATGTCGCCAGCGGTTCGAGCAGCAACTCCCGCGAGGCCTGGCACGCCTGCTTCTCCCGCCAAAATCACTTCCATCACATTTTCCCCAGCTAGGAAAAGATCGTCCTACAGGATGTCTCTTGTCCCGGCCGGTACGAATTTTGTTCCCTTTGCGTTATCCCCTGCCAAAAACAGACGACACAGTACTTTGGGTCTCGGTGGTCTGGGCGAAGGCGCGGGTGGGAGCAAGTCCAAGCTTGCCCAGGAGATGCATGCTGAGGCGGAGGAAGAGACCGAAGACGCGCTTCTCGCGGTGACTGAAGGTGATGGAGGGGACAAGATTTATATCGAGGCGGCGGAGGACGAGGAGGATAAAGAGGAGATTGTAGTGAGTGACCAATCGTGTCCATTGTGCCTCGCTAATGCAAGGGCTCAGTTCTCTGCCATCCAGACCAACCCTTTCATGACTCCTCAACCCAAGGGAAAAGCACCTATGCGAAACACAAGTGCCGTCCCCCGCACTCGCACGTTCACTGATCAAGCCGCCGGCAACAAACCTCTCGACATCTCCACTCCCCCTCCTTCCAGCCCCCACAAGTCTCCTCGCAAGCTTCCTGTAACTCCCGTCCCCGTCCCCGCCCACGTCGCTCTTTCCACCCCCAAGGGACCGGCGACCCTGCGTAAAGCACTTCTACTACGCTCAGCGCGCAAGGTGTGGCATGAGACGCATGCTACGGGTATTGATGGAGCGATGCAGGATGGGCATATCGAAATCAGGCGGAAGAGTACTAGTCCTAGGGATGGGTCGAGGAGGAAAAGCTCAAGTCCACAGGATGCGCCTCCACCGCCCGATTCGAGCAGCGACGAGGATCTGGATATGGCCGAGAGTGAAGAGGCGGCTGAGGACTTTGAGCCCGAGGGCGATGGTCAGCTCCGAATCGTCTTCGAAGATGGACAGGCAGACATCTCTTTTGACTCTGACTCGAGCGGTCTGGAATCTGCCGATATATCTCTGGACATCGTAAGCCGCCCGCCTATATTTGGGAGCCCCCAGTTGACCTTGAAATAGCCCGGTCAAGGCGTCATTCGATTGGACGATCTGGAGAATGAACTCGAAGAGGAATTCATCAACGAATCGGACACTGACGCCGAAGAATCTGTCGCTCAGACGGAAGGCGATGAACTTCACGGCCAAGAATCGTTCGGGGAGTACGATGGTCCAATTCGAAAGGAGATGGAGGCGGCCGAAGACCAGGATGACGAACACAATGAGCTTCCGGAAGAGGATTTCGATGAAGAGGACGACCTGGCCACATCTTTACCTGGGACACCTCAAGCTGTAAGTCGGATACCGTCATATGATTCCGATTTAGGCTGACTTGTCGTGTCAGCGTTCCATTGCGACAAATAAATTCTTCACTCCTCAAATCAAACATAGCTCCGGCTTCAGCCAGATGCGTCGCTCCCTCGGACCTCCCATGAGAGTGCCTGTGACTCCCGATTCGCATAGACCTTTCAACGGTGGCCGTACTCCTGGGTCTCTTGGCAAGCCCAGCAGGCGCCTTGACCTCGGTGTACCCAAGCAAGAGGTCGAAGAAGTTGAGCAGGAGCAGGAAGTCAAACCGCAGCCGGCAATAACTCCAGTCAAGTCTACTCCCAGAAAGTCTGCCGCTGCCATCGTCGAGGTAAGTCAGGACCAATCAGCGAACGGTACTGGACTAACTCTAGAACCAGGCCAAGCGACTTCATGAAGCCCTTGCTACACCCCGCACCCTTCCCGCCATGCCTGCAAGCGGGTTCAAAAACCCTGTCCGCGAGATCAAACTCACCCACCTCACCCCCAGCCACCCTGCCCTTTCCCATCATACGCCTGAGCCAGAATCTGATCTTGAGGAGGAGCAGGAAGCCCCAGTTCATTCGCAGCCGCAGCAAAAGCGTGATGTACCTGGTACACCGCTCATTGATATCAAGAAGAGGCTTGACAGTATGAGGAGGCAAAGCGTGCAGCGGAGTGGGGCGAAACCTGCAAACAGACGAGCTACCGTCGGCTTTGCCCTTCCTAGCACTCCCTCGCAGAAGGCTTCTGGCTCTGGTCAACTAGGCTATTTGAGCGTTGCGCGTAATCGCACAATGGATCAAGCACCCCGCACACCCATCTTCCCGTTGCTGAAACGGGAGCTGGTAGTAGAGCAAGTCACGTCACCGGACGATATGCAAGTGGACGAGAAGGACGAAAGCCCTACGCCTGCCACACAATCCCAGATAGTGACGTCTCCTACTCCCAACCAGAGCGTCAGTCAACAGGCTGGACCCTCCACCCCCTCGTTCGCCGGGTTGCGGCAGATGATGAAGACTCCTCAAGCCGCCAAGACTCCCCATCTTTCGGGCATTCGCCACCTCTACCCTCCCCTTCCTCAGCGCACAGCTTCGCCCTCTCTCACCGGCGTAAAATCTCTACTAGCCGAGCCAAAGGAAGTCCAGACACCAGACTTTACCGGTGTCAAGGTGATGCTGGGTGAAAGCAAACTGCCCCAGACGCCAAGTCTGGTCGGTGTGAAGAGGATGTTTGGGGAGATGAAGGTTTCAGAGACGCCGAATATGGAAGGGTTGAATGAGATGTATGAGGAGGAGGTCGAAGAGGCTCTTGGAGAAGCAAATTCGTCGATGGAGGAGACTGGGATTGATGTCGAGATGGCTGATAAAGTCAAGCAGGAAGAAAATGGCGTCAAGGTCGCGGGAAAAGCTGCCACCAAGCTTCCAAGGCTAGCAGACTCTACCAGTGCTAGGACCAGACATGCGGCTCTCGCCGTGGAAGAGAGTTCGTCCAGGCCTTCACGAGCTACTACCCGGAAGGCTACCACCTCTACCGCCGCTCCTCAGCCAAAGTTCAAGCCTTCTAGGGCTACTCGCAAGGCTGATCCGGAAGCTGCTGCTGTCACCGAAACTGAACCTGAGCCTACCTCTCGATCGACTCGTAGTCGTCGAGGAGCGAGCCATAAGCCTACTGAAAGTGGCATGTCGCGTGCTACTCGTGCTCAGTCAACTGCCGAGCCTGAGGATCACCCTGTGGCTGAGGACATGCCTCCTGTCCCAGCGCTGCCTGCCGCCAAAGGCAGATCGGTGTCCGCCAGGTCCACGCGTAAGGCTTCGGCTGAAGTTGAAGAGATCATCGAGGAGAAACCCTCAAAGGCGACCCCTGCAAAGATGGTCCTGAGCCAGATCGAAGAGCAGCCAGTCGTCGAAGAGAGAAAGTCTGCTCCTACCCGAGCCAAGCGAGCTGCCGTTACCGCTCCTTCTGCTACGACTACCGGTCGACGAACGGTCTCTGCCCCTACTCGTTCCAAGGCTTCCGATAGCGCCGAAGCCCCAGCTGAGAAGCTTTCTGCACCTGTCAGGAGAACCAAGGCGAAGATCACGGAGAAGGAGAATGATGAGACTCTGGCTGAGGAGAAGGATGAAAAGCCAGTTGTGAAGAGAAGGGCTGCCACGGCAGGAGCTTCTGGGTTGCCTGTTCCGTCTGGGAGGGTTACGCGAAGTAGGAAGTAACGTCGAAGGTCCCGAATCGGTTTCGGTTATATATGTGTGTAATTGTAAGATAAGTCAAGGATGTTAGTCTTTATTGAAACGTTATCGTCATGCGTGAGTCATATGCACATGGGCGTAAGACATGTGTGCCGACTCGGACAGACATGGTCACTGACCTGGGCTTTTCCGCACATGTTGCATCTTCTCACCCCTCTCGGCTGTCGCTGCTACGCAGTCTATTATAAAGGTGACGAAAGCTGCATACATATGGACTTGTAGAGATATATTTACAATATATACCGCCGCAGGACTTTCGGCCTCGTCATACCGATCTATAGCCAAACAGCTACCGCGGCTTTGTCTGTGGCGCCTCATAAGCATCGTACCGTAATTTCTTTGGGGTCTCAAAGGTGACCGTCCAAGGCGACGTCGAAGAGCTTCCTGAAAGCATATCCGTGGACAATTCCTTATTGAACTTGCTATACACTTCTTTGATGGCAGTAAGGATGTCCGGTAGCTATAATCGATCGTATGTCAGCTATGAAAGAGATGTGTCTGCGGTCGAACGTACCTTGTTTGATCGAGCTTGTTGCTGCACGTCCTGGTATAGACTGTTTTCAATTACACCAACCACTTCGACACACCGCTGGATAAAATCAGTACTCTTGGCTCCTAGCATGCAACAGAAGATAGCTCACTTTTTGCAGATAACGCGGTGCCGTCTCTTCGACCTCCCTCACAGCACTGACAACTTCTTGATCCTCCGCTTTGTCATGTTCACCCATCATATAAGTCGTGAGTGCCCCCAAGACGAGCTCTTGAATTGACGGCGGTACTTGTGGGAGAACTCTGAGGAGATAAGAGAATGCCGTGGGTCTGGCGTTTGACGGAAGATGAGAGCATGCGAGGGTGGATGCTATAGTGACTGTCGTGGGGCCGGAATTCTCAGGTTTTGCGGCCGATAGTTTGGATAGGAATGAGAAGGAGAATGGGTGTATGAGCTTTCCGTCGTCTTCTGCTAGGGTGGTCAGCTTTCGGACTAGTATATATATGACACATTTGACTCACTGCTAACGATAAATTCCATGACACCCCTCAAAAGCTCTTCCCATATAGTGCCTTCGTTCTGACCACCTTCAAAGATTAGCAGCAAATTCGCCACGTTCTCTCCGTATACTTCTCCATCTTCTGCGGATGTGACCTCAAGCACTTCAAGCGCTCTCCTCGCGGTTTCTCGTCTGGCCAGATCCACCTTTGAGGCAAGAGGATGATCCGCAGGGATGTTCATCGGTAGAGACAGGTCGCTGTTTGACTTGAGGGACTCTAGATAGCGCTGAAAGATTGACCGGGGAAGATCAGGCGAAAGAGATTCGAGTAGCCGGATAGTCTATGTCCAGTCAGGGTCTATGTCTGACAGATAGCAGAGAACGTACTGATCGCCTTACACTAGTGTCCACACTATTGACACCTTCCATGATGACACCCATCTCTCCTTCCCCTAACTTGCCATCCCAGCTTTCTCTGGGCAGTAGCATCAGGCATCTCAAAGCCAAGATATGGTCATTGGGCGAAGGGGTCTGCGGTGTGAGGTGGCCATGGGACGATGGTGAGGGTTGATACAGGAGCTGGGTGGCGCTGTGGACGCATGCGGGGGCTATCTTGGGAAGGTGAGAGGCGAGGCGACATGATTCAATCAAGAAAGCTGCAGTGTATTGATAAGTGTCAAGCCAGCAGTGGGTCAGGAGAGGTGACGTACCGCCCTGCCATCCGTTAGAAATTGGCTGTATGATATTCGATAGCCAGGTCGAGAGTTCGTCAGTGACTTCGTTTCTAGAGTGAATTTGATTAGCATCAGGTAACATAGTAGACATCCCAACTCACTCTGAGACCAACGGTCGTTTCTTGAAGAGAGTGAGGAACAATGACAAAGCTTGGAGAGACATCTGTCCCTCCAGTAAAACCTGTCTTTCGGCTATCCGATCTAGCACAAGCTGGATGATATATTGTTGCTCAGCATCAGTGGTCACCGTCTGTATGTTCCTCTACGTCGAGCATCAGGGGCTGCAAAACTTGTGTCAAGCTGCATACGCACCTGAACCAAGCCACCAAGGAGTCTCAGGATGGCAGTATAGACGCCAGAATCGGTTTCTTGCCCTAGTGCTTTGACGAGCTTGCTCATGGTAAGAGGAAATGGTTCCGGCTCGTGGGCTGCGTTAGGGGAGAGTAGATACAGTGATCTGAGAGATTCGTAGACGCGCTGCCGGATAGAGGGTCTAGATAGTCGTCAGATATTGGGGTATACGTCAAAGATGGCACGCACAGATGATGCCGGATGAGCGCTCTCGATATGAGGATAGGCGTGACTGCCGGGCCCAGGTCTCTAGAAGACAGCTTGACAATGGCCTGCAGAGCCAGCAGAACGTGCGCTTCTTTTGTCGAAGAGAGGTCCTATAGTAGGTCATGAACGCGTCAGCGCTGGGATCAGGTATCTCGTCGCCCGCTCACCTTGCGTATCGTGTTGATCAAAAGCAGATGGAGCTCGTGATCTCGCGGTAGATTCTCCGTCAAGTAAAGATAACCTGGAATCAGGATCAGCAAAAGAATTTTGTGCAGATGAAGACCAACCTATACGTTTCTCCTGCACACTCTTCCCACCTTCGGCCAATTTGAGCGCAGGGATCAGCACAAACTCCAGATCATCGCTACAGTCATGGCGAAGTGCGGTGCAATGTAGCACCGTGATGAGCGTTTCGGCTACTCTTGACTGTCTCTTTTTAGCAAAGCATCTAGGTGTTGAGGTGACTGGGTGCCTCACTGCGTTCTGATCCTGGGAGCGAAAGAGAGTTTTTGCATGAGATAGGTGCTCAGAGATGATGGCATCCTCTTCGTGGGGCGATGCAGCTTGGTTGAGCCGGGCGAGGAGGGCATGGTGTGTCCTGGAGGATGCGCCCGATGTGAGATACGGGGGAAGGGAGGGGGTGGACATGGCGGGATGGAGAAGAGGAGGATGAATGCAATTGCAACTTGGCCACAACAGCTCAAGGCAACAACAAGGCAAGCTCAAGGCGATCCGAGACGGGCGAGGCCGGCCGCCGATCAGCTTGCTGGATGGGGGTCCAGATAAAATAGACAGGGGATCTGTTCCTTGTCTCGTCATGCATGCGAACCAACTCAAAGAGGATCTCCTTCTCTTCATCTTCTCGTACAGGCTCGGACGTACTACTGAATGTTTATGCACAGAAGAAGCTGACTCGGTGGTCCTCGGCACTCGAGACAGAGCACTCTGGGCCGGGCCAGCATGAGTGCTCGGCGGCGACGCGTCGCACTGGTCTCTCAATTTCAATGTCGCAATGGTAAAGCGGCCCTCACGACATGATGAGTCGGATGCTTGATGAAGATGCTTCGTGTAGCAATCTCATATTACGAATGCATACACAATGCTGAACCGTCATCTTTGCTGCTCACTCTCGACGTCTTTCAAAACTTGTCTGCAAATCTCTTCTGCAAACTCTCCGCCATCTCCACAACGGTATCCTCGAATGTCTTGTATGCAACACCCAGAACCTTTGTGGCCTTTGCTCCATTGAACACGTTGGAGTCCTTGACAATCTCGTCGTGAGTTCCAGGCTTGCCCACTGGAATATCCGGCAGGTCAGGGAAGCGTTTGTGCAAGACATCCACGTAGTCTTGTCCGGCAAATGGACCAGCGCTAACGATGAATCTGTTGCCTCCGGCTTCAGAGACGGTAAGGGCTCGAACGTGGGCGAGGGCGACTGTTTAATGTGTCAGCATTGAACACAAGTACTGAATCAATGAGCGCACCGTCTTTCACATCAACCCAATTGGCGCCGGGAGCTGGGAGGTCAGACTCGGACTTTTTGCCGGTGAGCCATTCCCAAAAGAAATCTGCAAAGCGTCAGAGCAGTTTTCTTGACGGGGTGGCGCAGAGTCACTCACGGACAGAGGTGTTCAGCTTCTCAGGGTCATCGCATTGGTGGATGACTTCACCAATCACCAGAGGGGGGTTAATGGCAGCAGCATCCCAGGTAGGCTTCTCATCCTCGATGAACTCTGTTCGCACTATTAATACTGTTTCCACTCCTGACCCGTAGATGACTCACTCCAAAGTGCCTTTTCCGCCAGAGTCTTGCTTGCGCGATAAGAATCACCTCCGTCAGAGTTGACGCCGTTCTCCTCAACATGTTTAATGGAATCGACGTTCCAGTCTTCCTCAGTGTAGATCACAGGAGTCTTCCTGGATCGCGCAGACATGACAGATGCCACTGAGGAGGTGATAACCACGCGCTTGATTCCTGGGCTTGATCCCGCTGTCAGCATATCATCACGGCGGGCCGAGACGAGGCGAGACTGACTTGTTCTTCTGAATACTTTTGAGGATACCGGTAGTCCCTTTGACGGCAGGACCGATAAGCTCTTGCGGATCCTTGACATTGGCCGTGTAGAAAGGAGAAGCGAGATGGGCCACAGCGTCGACACTCTTGACGGCCTCGTCAAACACTCCGTCCTGTAATGTCGCTCGTCAGCTTCCGGTTCGTCGTCGAGTGATCTCTGTGCCGCCTCACCTTGGCAATGTCCTCGACGATAGCATACTCGAACTGGCCAAGCCCCTCGAAGAGGTTTCTGAGATACTCGCCCTTCTCCTGAGACCGGACGGTCCCGCGGACTTTGTATCCCTGCTTCAGGAACTCTTTGGCGGTGTGGCTGGAGATGTATCCGCTTGCACCTGTGACGAGGATGAGGTCTCCTTTGGTAATGGGGGCCATTTTGCTGTCAGTGGAATGTAATGCAGAAGAAGAAGAGGCGCAACATCTAATGACCTATTAGTAAGCACAGCACAAACGAAACGCAGCAGAAACGCAGCAGAAACGCAGCAACCTGGCCTGCGCCGCGACACCGCAGCCGGGCCGCGCCTCGCGGCATCAAATCTAAACGCGCAAGATAAACAGCTCGCGATTTTGCGAGCGGCCATAGCCGACTCCAGTTTTTGTGGTCTATTTGCTTGTCTTGCAATTGTCTTGTTTCGTTGTTGTTGCTCTCAAAATCGTCCTCCAATATCCTCTCCAACCTAAAATGGTCCACTCTAGCCCCCCCTTCCGTGCCGAACACCTTGGCTCCCTCCTCAGGCCCGCTACCCTCCTCGAAGCCCGCGCCAACCAAGAGGCTGGCAAAATCACTGCTGCCGAGTTGAGCCAGGTGGAGGATGAAGCCGTGAAGGCTACCGTCGACATGCAGAAGGAGCTCGGGTTCAGCCCCGTCACTGACGGAGAGTACAGGTGAGCTTCCCTTGCCGCCGTATACCAACGGGCCCTGGTCATGGGACAACATTAGCTGACGTTGCTCAGGCGAGGTGTCTTCTGGGGATCCTTCTTCCAGGAGCTCGAGGGCATGACTGAGGTCCAGAACCCTCCTCTCGACATCTTTAGGACCTATGTTCCCGACATTGCCGGTTTCCTCGAGAAGGGCGACAGGCCCGGACAGAGCTGTCTCTGTACTGGCAAGATCAAGCACACCGGCAAGAGCACACTCATCGACGAGTTTTCTTTCACCAAAAGTCAGGTGCCTGCTGAGCGGGCAGGCGATGTCAAGGTAGGTTTCGGGATTTCTTTGTCTTCTGTCCGTTACATGCTGTGCTAACACGCTGAAACAGCTCACAATGATCAGCCCGGTCTGGTACCACCTTCGGTACAGAGAAGGAAAGGCCTACCCTGCCGACGTCTACGCCAATGACGAGGAGTACTTTGCCGACATCGCCAAGGCTTATCGAGCTGAGCTCGACATCTTGTACGAGGCTGGTGTCAGGAACGTGCAGATCGACGACCCCAACTTTGCTTGTATGTACTGCAGCAACTTGTCGTCGTACCTTGCTGACAAGTACAGACTTTTGCTCCGAGAAGATGATTGAAGGCTGGAACGCGGACAAGACCAACAAGCGCACCCTTGATGAGCTCCTTGATGTGTACATCAAGTGCTACAACGACGCCATCGGACAGCACAAGGACAAGATCCACTTTGGCCTTCACATCTGCCGAGGTACGTCTCTACTCTCTCGCTTGATCGTTGCTCTATCAGCTGACAATAATGTTCAATAGGCAACTTCCGTGGTTCCAGACATTTCTCCGAAGGTGGTTACGACCTCATCGCCACCAAGCTCTTCAAGGAGCTCGACGTCTCCACCTACTACCTCGAGTACGACACCCCCCGTGCCGGCTCTTTCGCTCCCCTCGCCCACCTCCCCGCCGACAAGAATGTCATTCTCGGTGTCATCACTTCGAAATTCCCCGAGCTCGAGGACAAGGAGGAGATGAAGAACAGGGTGTTTGAGGCTGCGGATGTGATGGCGAAGGGTGTGGGACAGACGAGGGAGCAGGCATTGGAGAGGGTCGGCGTGAGCCCGCAGTGTGGATTTGCGAGCCACGAGGAGGGTAATGCCATTAAGTGGCAGGATATGAAGAACAAGTTGCAGCTTGTTAGGGAAGTCGCCGACTCCATCTGGCCCGGTCAGGCTTAGAGAGGTTGAGTGGTGCTGAGCGTGTCTCGTGATGTTGAATCTAATTTCCCTCACATTGTCCTATATATATCTTGGGTATTCTTTCTTTTATTGCATTCATAATGCCGATATTCGTTACGATATGTATGTCTGCTTCTCCCGCTCCGATCAACGTGTATACGCCGCCACCGCCTCTCAGCTTTTATCAGCCCTGGCAAGGTCAACAAAAGGACCATGATGGCATGTGCTCTCTCCTCGTCTCTGCTGTGATACGGAGAGTCTTCAGACGCAATGAAATGATGGATTGCATGCTTGACATCTGGCGACATGACCCTATCTGGCTCAGTCGTACGAATACAAATTACACACTTCTTCGTTTCTTAAATACTCTTGCCCTTCTCACCACTACTTCAAAGGCTCAATATCGACGTTGGGGCCGAAAGGAACGATCCTGTTAGGGTTGATGTTGATATGCGAGTAGTAGTAGTGTTCTTTGATGTCTATCGGCGATTGTCAGTCTGTTTTCACTTTCGCGCAAGAGCAGACAAAGAAAGAAGGCTCACGGTCAAAGTCGGTGGTGTCCTTGAAAGCGGGGCTGTTCCAGTACAGCTTCTGAAGCCACTTGTGCAAGTAAGGATAGTCGTGTCGGACTGAGCCAGCGCGTCAGCTCTAAGGGTTGGGGACGGATGATGGGCACTTACTGGAACCAAAGTTGCACTTGAAGTGGACATAGTAGACAGGGTCGTATCGGATGATCGTAGTGAAGAGTCTACAGAGAGACAGTCAGTCAGTCCAAGAGCTAAACGGCTCAAAGAGAAGAACGTACCTGATATCGGCTTCAGTCAACTTACCGCCGATCAAGAATTCTCGTCCGTCGCTCAAGATCTTCTCGACCCTATCAAGAGAGCTGGCCAAAGGCTTGACCGCCTTCTCATAGGCTTCCTGTGTAGTAGCGAAACTGTACGAGGCGTCAGACATCACACCATGAAGGGCATTGCGAAACTCACCCGCTCTTGTAGACACCGTTGTTGATGTCATTGTACACCCACTCATTGAGCTCGTCAATCTCCTTCTTCAGCTCCTCAGGATAGATATCAATCTCCGCCTTGTCCTTGGGCAATGCCGCGTTGAAGGCCGTATTGAGGAACCTGATGATCTCGCTCGACTCGTTGCTGACAATCGTCTTTTCTCGCTTGTCCCAAATGATGGGTACCGTGAATCGCGCAGAGTACTCGGGGTCGGCCTTGAAGTAGAGATCCCGGATGTGGGAAGAGCCGTAGAGGTGGTCGACGGTTGCGTTGGGGAAGGTTTCGTTGTTGTGCTCGGAGGCGGGGGCAGGTTTGGCGTCGGCAAGGTCCTTGGGGACAAATTGCCAGCCTTTCTCGAGCATGTGGGGGTGGACGACCGACACATCTGCCTCTGTTAATCAGGGAACGACGGCAATGTATGATGAGCTCACCAAAGTAGTCCTCAAGACCCTTCAGCTTCCTGACGATCAATGTACGATGGGCCCAAGGGCATGCCAAGCTGACATAGAGGTGGTAGCGTCCTGATACTTTCGTCAGCACATGTAGATGGACCACAAGTCTCCAGAGCCGCAAGTGAATATCTACCTTTCTCGGGCCCAAACTTTCCTCCCGGTTCAATGACGTCTCGGAAAGAGCTGACTTGTCTGTTAAAGCTGCCAGACTTGTCGGCAAAGCTAGTGATGACCATGGTGCGGGATTGAAGTTTCGTCGGGTTGCGATGAGGGATCTGTCTGGCAATCGATGTATGCTGGGTGGCAAAGGTGTAGAAGTTTCTCGAGTATGCTGTCTTTGTTGGAATGCGTCTTGCGAGCATGTGGCTATTGGGGAAAGACAACTGGCCACTGCGGGTATATATAGGAGAGGTGATGACGGCATGGGATGTGAAGCCTTGCATAAGCAGCTCGGCGCGTGCCTGGACGAACTTGCCGACTGGCGGTGTTGCTTCCCAGATGACCAGTCAACTTTGGATGCGATAGATAGATGAGTGGATGGTATGCATGGTCAACGTCCATGTCCTATTCACCATGCATCCAACATGATGCATCTGCCAACTTGCGATGCAATGTTACATAATATGACGTGTAGATGCCTTTCGGTCCGAGTGGTTACTACTGACTGTGGTTCACTTTCTCTTCTCAAGTACTCTCTTCTGCATTCTACCATCCACCATGACCACCCTCATAGAGATCCCCGCCGTCGCCGCCTTCCACCTCCCCAGTCCTGCCTCTTCCCCCCTCCCCCTCTCCGCCGGCGACCTCTCCCTCATCCTCCTCCCAGCTGCCCCGCCCACCACACCGGCCGAGACACTCACCCTCAACGTCGGCTCCTCCTCCTTCCCACTCACAAAGAGGTATCCCGTCCAGAAAGTGCAGAGCAAGGACGAGCACCCCACCTATGCTTTCGGCGTCCAGGCGCAGGAGGCTGTGGCCTCTGTCGGGCAGGTCAGAATCACCATGAAGCACAGGTATGATCGTTCCCTGCTCCCTAACACTCGGAGCAGCGGCTAATCTCCAATAGCACCAACCCAGGCGAATGGGAAGCTACCGAAGCTTTCTGCACCAAGCTTGAAGCAATCTTGAAAGAGCACGGGCTTTGGAAGGCCGAGATCTTGTTTGTAGACGACGAATACGAGACTGGAGGCTCTCCCGCTGTCAAGAAGGGCTGGGGAGAGTCGCTCGCTGGTAGTCTTGTCTCTGGCGGGCAGTCTCTTGCTACCAAGATCCACGGATATGCAGACAAGTAGGCACGATTCCTGGATGCATCTAGATTTGCCGACTGACGATGACTCCCTTAGACATGTGAAGACCTCCGAACCCGGTACCGCTGTGGAGCCCACCCGAGGCGAAGTCGAATCCGCTAAATCATTCTCTCACACCACTTCTTCCATCGCGGCATCTGCCAGCGACGGTGCCACTTCTGTTGGCAACGCTGTCCACTCTGCCGGCTCATCTGTTGCGTCCGCCCTCCCCAGTCAAGCCAAGATTGACCGCGACTTGCCTGAAGCAGAAAAGTGGCAAATCAGGAAGGCAGCAGAGAGCGGCTGGGAGCAAGTCACATTTGCGGCCAAGGGAGTCGCTGAAGCTGCTACCACCGTGGGTGGGGCTATCAGCAGCGGTGGCCACCAGGCCATCCAGCACAGTTCTGGTAAGGAGGCGGATGATGTTGCCCAAGGTGAGTGCGAGTCGAATCGTTGGGTAGTATCCATCTGATGTTCGGTATAGATATTGGCCAATCTGGCTCCAACTTGGCATCTACGGTCGGCTCTGGCTTGAAGACCACCAGTATCGCTGCCCAAGGCGGCAATGCCACCAGCGGGTTCGCCTCGGGCACTTATGCTACCAAGCCCGCAGCAGGTGCTCTGCCGTAGGCACGCAAAATACTCTCTGTATCACTCTTGTCTAGAATAGAATAGTCCCGGAAGAAGTACTCTGTAGCGCAAAGATCCCCCATGTATCCCTGTTTCCACAATATAGCAGCAACATGGCATCAAGATACCAGCCATCATGATACAACCTCACAACCCAGTTCTGGCTTCATCCCAGCTGCCCTTGTCCGCTCGCCTGATTCTCTCCAGCCAGCACTCCATCCCAAAATTCAGCCGGCAGTTCCCCAAAGTCATCATACACTTCGTCGCCATCCCACACCGCGTCTGCCTCTGATTCCGCCGTCCCTCCGCCCAGTACCTCCACTGACCCCGGCGTCCCTTGCGACGCCGGCTCATCGCCATATCCCCACTTTTTGCGCATATTGGTGACTGGGTCGATCTTCTGGTAGCTTCCGGGTAGAGAATGAACTCCGCTTGGGGTTATGGCGTAGTCTATCGTAGCCGACTGTGAGAAGGGAGAGAACACGACGTGTAACCGTCGGATCAGAGTCGGTTCTGCCTTGTCCACCTCGACACCCGCTCCTGCTTGTCCGTCTTCGTCATCTTCATCATCACCACCTCTCCGCCGCTTTGCAGGCCTCAGATCACTCTGATACAACATCCTCCTCCTCCCTGTCCTTGACAGCATGACCCTCACATTCACGCCGTTTGCCCATACCAGCCCTAAGCTCGCTTCTTTCTGCAGCACCTCCGTTTGGCCAGAGAACCAGCGCGACTGCCGTGCGTAGGTCATGGGCGGTTCAGAGTCTGAGCTGAACGATGCAGTCATCCCCGGGCCAAAAGGCTGGGTCTGGTTCCAGCCGCTCGAAGGAGGTTCGCCAGTGACTGGAGTGCCATGGTATCCAGACGAAGGTGTATTGGAAGGATTGCGGATGAATACGTCAGACACTTGGTTGATCACCACGACGGCGAGGTCGTATTTGACTGCTAGAGCCTTTAGCAGGTCGGTGACGATACACAGGTGCTTTGAGCGCTCTGTCAACGAAAGCGAGGAGGGTGCGGTAGGTTTATCGCTCGGGGCTGTAGAGCCTCCACGCAGAAGAGCAGTCAGGGAATCAAGTACAAGTAGCCGGACTGGTATGGCGGATTTACCCGACGCAGATGGGCGAGAAGAGGCTTTGATTCTGCTTTCGAGCAGAGGCGGTATGACATAGCTCAGAGTGTGTTCCAGCGCGTCCACATCACCGACACGATTCGACAGAACATTGTCTGTGATCTCTTTGACTCTCTTGTTCATCGCCTTGTCTGCTGCAAGCGTATTGGGGTGCGCGCAAGGTTCGTGCGTGGCGATGAGGGAGCGGGAGAGTTCGACCAGGCGATCTGTGGAGAGATCGCGCTCCGAGGTCAGGACCACGGAAGAGCCGGGTGAAGATGAGCAGGATGAGAGTTGAGCAGCGATGGCGAGAGAGAGGATCAAGTGGGATTTCCCAGATGCACTGTAGTCTCCGTCAGCGTCTTGCCGATCCAGCTCAAAGATCAACGATACCTTTCACCAGTAATCTCATACAGGCTTCCCCTCCTGAGTCCTCCCCCAAGACATTCGTCAAACCCTGCGTCACCCGTTGATAGCCACTTTCCTCTCCCATTCCTACCCGAAGGCCCGAGTTTTGAGGCAGGCGTTGGGTTTTCTGTCTTGTAGATCGACGAAGCAGTCTCGCTCTTCGGGGCCACAGCTCGCGCGACGGCCTTGACGAGATCTTGGGCGAAGGGCGGCTTGCATTTGAGAGCGTCCGCAAGACGGGGCAGAGTATACGTCAAGATCTTGAGAGTCGTCAAGTCGGCTGCCAGTGAGAAAAGTATATCAGCGCAATGTCCGCGACGGAAGATGATACGCACCTCTCAAAGCAGCATCGCGCAGGTTGGGGGGGATGGCGAGCGTCTCTATGGGGAAAGATGCGAAGGACATTATAATACGCGCATACTGTGCGGGTGGGAGGGAGATTTGATGACCAGTCGTAGAATAATCGCAGAGACAGAACAAACGACGATGTCAGAAATCGCGTCGAGCGTCGCGGTCGCGTCGGTCCACTCACCTCTTGCTCGAATGAATGCCTTGATGCTTTTGGGTGGATTTGTGCACATATCAAACGTATATGGGTCTGGAGCGACTGGACGTGTCCGATACATGAATCAATGAATAAGATGCCGGTTGAACAGACTGCATTTTCACTTCTTTCTGCGACTACTTCTACAATTGAGAGAACGGTGCACTACCAGAAACTCTCACCCCAAACGCCTCTGAACCCAAGATGTTGTTTGCACCTATAATGACAAAGATTTCCAAAACAGAGAAAAAACCTATGGATATCACACAATGATTGTAAAATGAATTAAAAGGAAAAGGATGGATGCTAAGAGTGTTGAAGCTCATGCTAATGCTAATTGATTACAAGAGAGAAGACGCTTAAGCGTAGTTCTCACGGGCCCACTTGGCAGCGGCGACGACGTTGGCAAGAGACTCCTCAGTCTCCTTCCAGGCTCGGGTCTTGAGACCACAGTCGGGGTTGACAACCATGAGGTCGGCGGGGAGGACCTTGAGCATGTCGGCAATTCGGTCCTTGATCTCCTGCTCAGAGGGGACTCGGGGAGAGTGAATGTCGTAGACACCGGGGCCGATCTCGTTGGAGTAACCGTGGGCCTTGAAGACGTCAAGGAGCTTAAGGTCAGCCTTGGAGGCCTCGATAGAGATGACATCGGCGTCGAGTCGCTGGATGGAGGGGAAGATGTCTCCGAAGTCGGAGTAACAGAAATGGGAGTGGACCTGAATGTCGTCCTCAACACCAGAGGTGGAGAGTCGGAAAGAGTCAACAGCCCAGGTGAGGTAGTTGTCCCAGTCGGCCTTTCGGAGGGGAAGACCCTCTCGGATAGCGGGCTCGTCGACCTGGATGGCCTTGATACCGGCCTTGGCGAGGTCAACGACCTCGTCTCGGAGAGCAAGAGCGAGCTGCTTGGACTGAACCTCCTTGGTGACATCGGCACGGGGGAAAGACCAGTTGAGGATCTAAGGAAATGTTAGACAGGAACACGATGTATGTAACACAAGACTCACGGTAACGGGACCAGTAAGCATACCCTTCATGGGCTTCTCGGTCTGAGACTGAGCGTAGGCGGACCATCGGACAGTCATGGGGGCGGGTCGGGAAACGTCAGAGACAACAATAGGGGGTCGGACGTATCGGGAACCGTAAGACTGAACCCAACCGAGCTGGGTGAAGATGAAACCGGCGAGCTGCTCGCCGAAGTACTGGACCATGTCGTTTCGCTCGGGTTCACCGTGGACGAGGAGGTCGAGTCCGACCTTCTCCTGGAAGTCAACAACGGACTTGATCTCGCTCTCCATAGCCTTCTCGTACTCCTCCTTGGTAAGCTCACCCTTGCCGAACTTGGCACGGGCGACTCGGATCTCCTTGGTCTGGGGGAACGAACCGATGGTGGTGGTGGGGAACTTGGGGAGGTTGAGGTGCTTCTTCTGGGCCTCACGACGGGCAGGGAAGGGAGACTTCCTCTTGAGCTGCTCCTCGTCGACAGCGGCAACTCGGTCTCGGACAGCAGAGTCGGAGGTTCGCTCAAACTCTCGTCGGGCAGCAATGTCCTTGGTGTTCTGCTCGAAAGCGGCACCCTCAGTACCGTTAAGAGCCTGGGCAAGAAGGGCAACCTCCTCACACTTCTCCTCGGCAAAAGACAACCAGCTCAACTGTTCGGCAGTAAGCTTGTTCTCGACCTTGACGGAGATGGGAGTGTGGAGAAGAGAAGAAGAGGTGGAGACGGAGACACGGTCGGCACCGAGCTCAGCAATGGCCTTCTCGGCGAGGGCCTTGGAAGCCTTGAGGTCGTTCTTCCAGATGTTTCGGCCAGAGACGACACCGAGCTCGAGGGAGAGCTTGGTGGACTTGATGGCGGCGAGGACCTCCTCGAGCTGCTTGGGCTCACGGTCGACGTCGAGGTGGAGAGCGTGGACGGGGAGGTCCTTGAGGTACTCGATGGACTTGCCAACTCGGCCGTAGGCAGAGGTGATGGTGATCTTGGGGGAAACGGGGGCAAGAGCCTCATAGACCTTCTTGAAGAGGTCACCGGAGGCCTCAGACTTGTCAAGGACAAGGATGGGCTCGTCGAGCTGGACCTGCTCAACACCGGCCTCCTTGAGCTGAGAGAGGAGCTCCTTGTAGATGGGAATAAGCTTGTCGAGGAGCTGGATGGGCTCGAAGTCGGCAGGGGCGTCTCGGGCCTTTCGGACGAGAGAGAGGTAGGTGATGGGACCGAAAAGGACGGGTCGGGTCACGATGCCCTGCTCCTTGGCCTCGGTGTATTCGGCAAGGGCCTGGTTGTTGTTGAGCTTGAACTCGGTGGAGGGAGAGTGGTCGACTTTGACGATGTGGTAGTTGGAGTCGAAGCTGGAACAGGGTCAGCACTGATGCCTGGTGGGATAAGGCACGTTCGCCGGAAAAAAAAAACTACAACAAAAAAAACTTACAACTTGCCCATCTCGCAGGCAACGACGTCGATACCCTTAGCACGGTCCTGACGACCTCGGCCCATGGCTAGATGAGACAGTCAGCCCAAGTACTAGAACATGCAGATGTAAACTCACCGAAGTAGGTGTCGAGGGGGTCGAGCTTCTGCTGGACGTATCGCTCGGGGATGACACCGAAGTTGAAAGAGTGGTCGAGGAGATGGTCGTAGAGGGTAAATTCACCACTGAAAAGGATGTCAGGCCAAGGGCATCGTTCCAACCAACCAATACAACTTACGAAGGGATGGTGTCAACACCAGCCTTCTTGATGGCGTCCCATCGCTCCTTCCTGACGTTCTTGGCGGTCTGCTGAAGCTCCTCAGCGGAGATCTTGCCAGCCCAGTAAGCCTCAATGGCCTGCAGAGATGTCAGCAGATGTTCAAGAATTCTGGCGGGCCGGGCTTTTTCAGAAGCGTTCAAGGCGACGGGAAGACACGTACCTTCTTGACGGATCGGTTGACACCGACACGGGGGTAACCAAGGACAGCGGACTGAACCATTTTTTGATAGAAGTGGGAGAAAAGGGGGATGGAGAAAGAAGAGATGCAAAAGAGAAAAGAGATTGAAATACCGTGGGCGATGGGACGACTGGCTGGACGGAACCAGAAAAAACCAGATCGCTCAGGGCGGCCCCAATTTAAAATGGCGCCATCTTCTTACGTGGATTACTTTCCATTCCAGATCAACGTGCATCCCGAATGTTGGCTGACCGTGGCTGACGAAAGCCATGCATCTCTGCCCAATCTAGTCCTCCTCCCTCGCCTTCTTGACCCCAGACTTTTCTTCTTCATCTCTAGCCCTCTTTCTCGCCAGGTACCTCTCTTTCGCCTCGGCTCGCTTCCTCTCGGCCTCTCCATTGTCACCCTCTCGTCTTTGCCTTGCCTCTTCCTCTTCCTGTCGCAGCCTATCCTGCTCTTCCCGTTTCTTCTTTTCCTCCTGCTCTCGATACTGCTCGTCCAAGCGCCGTCTCTCCCTCTCCATTCTATCTCTGTAGCTAGCCGCAGACCCTACAGCCTTGGACTGGTATGGTCCATCAACAGTGGCACTTCTTTGCGAAGAAGTGAGGGAGTTGGGCACTTCGGTTTTCGGCTTCTTCATTATATTCAACCCTGCCTTGAGCAGAGAGCGCTTGTCGATGACTTCTCCGTCGTCGTTGATCTCCACCTCCTTCCCTGTGGCATCGTCTATCCTCGTCGATCTGGCTTGCCTCAGACCACCTTGGCCATTCACTGGTGGAGCAGCAGAAGTTGATGAAGAGGCATCCTTGGCTTCTCGGGCTAAGAATGGATCATACTCTTCCTCCTCGTCATACAAAGGCTTTGACGGAGCAGGTGGAGGACGAATGGCCAGAGACGGGCCCATGGTGGGTTTCTCGGACGCAGCAACGGCAGCAGCATGCTTGGATTCTTCGGAATCGAGCATGTTCTTGTAGAAAGCTGTGAGACCCGGACCCTTCTGCCCTTTCCGTAGCGCCTCTACGTTGATAGTCAGCTTCAGACCTCCCACGTAGCCGCTTGATACACACCTTCCCTCGCCTTCTCTTCTTCTTCAGCCTTTCTAACCTCGGCCATCTGCTTCTTATACGCCTCTGTGACGAATTTGTCCTTGTCCGCAAACTCATGTCCCTCCTGCTCCCGTTCCCTCTCCAGCATCTTCTCTTCAGCCCGAAGTTTATCTAGCTTTCTGGTTTGCGCTGACGCCAAGAAGCTCTCGATATACTTGGGCTTTCTTTCGTCGCTTTCCTTCTTCTTCTCCTCCTCTACTGCCCTTTCGGCCTCCTTCATTTGGTCATAGTGTGCGTCATAGTCGAATATGGATTGATCGATGGATTGGGCGGTAGCTTGGGCTTTCCGTTCAGCACGGGATATTTGGGAGGACTGTTGTATAGCGGGTGCTTTGACTGCGGGCTTTTTCGTCGAGGAACTGGAAGCCTTGGCAGACCTGGAGGCCAAAAATGAACCGCCTTCTTCGTCCTCTCCCTCATCTTCGTCCGCGAAGAGGGCAGCAGAAGGGGCTTTGGAAACGGGCGCCTTGGATTGCGTAGAGGTTTTGGAAGCTCCTGGTTTGGCACCGAAGGAGAATGATATCTTGCCGGACATGGTCGGAGCACTGAGGCCAATGATTTGGTTTGGTGAACGAGTGTAGAGAGAGCGTAGTAATGCGTGTCTGAAATGAGATCATGAAATTGTGACCCCCGATGTATGTTGTTATGCAGTTGTTATGACATACTTGCTTTGTATGTTTTACGTAAACATGTAGTTAGCCTCCGTAGTTTAGTTGGTTATAACACCCCACTAGTATTTCTCTCACTAATGGGGAGGTCTGTCGTTCGAATCGGCACGGAGGCATTCTCTTTTTGCTTTTTGTGTCTTGTCCTGTACCTGAGCCCCTTTTTGCTGCCTTTTTGCGTCATATCGTCATCGATAAACCCAGTCTATTATAGATAGAGTCTTGTCTGTCTTTCAATCTCTACAACCTCTTCTTCATCTGCACAACTACCCCCTTCCAACTTCACGCACTACAAAGTACTTTAGAATACATCATGGGTTGGGGCTGTAAATTTCCCACCGTCCCATCGACCTTCCCCTCGCTGACTTACTATCTCAGACAGGAAAAGGATAACCATCATTCCCAAGGTGAGTCACCATACATCCCTGGCCTCTTCGAACAGAAAACTGACAATAATTATCGTAGTTCTTGTACATGAACATCAACGGCAAGTTTGCATGATGCGGCCCTCGTGGCAGTGCGTTCCCAGACTGACTGCTACTTGCAGGGAAGAGAATCAATTTCACCTTTGGCAGCGGACATATCCATTACAACACATGATAAGCTTGTTCAGCTGTCGACGGACGCTTGCTGTCGCTATCGAACCAGATGCTTTGCCGCCACCTTGAGAGGTCACAGGCAACGATGTACTCGTACTCTAGAGATTGTGAGACATAATTTCACCCTATCTTCAGCGACCGCACTGTACTGATTATCCGTCCCGTGGTCTGGATTGTAGCTCTTTCCCCGTATACGAATGTACCTTCAGGATGACTGAGACAGCCCACTCTGCAAAGACCTGCGCGACGCCGCCAGATAACACAGATTCATCATAACGTTCGTAAAGAAACGGCAGCACACATAGTACAACAATCAACTCAATCTCAAGACAGCCCCTTCCCATCGTGATGATGGCTCGGTGCTCTTACTTTGTGTCGGCATTGGATGAAGATGGCAGACTCAGAAATGCCTTCTTCAACGGTGACGAGCGTTTCGCTGAACCGGTGTCAACTTTTCCCTGGGCTTTTGCTGGGAGTGGGGAACTTACGAGCATAAGAAGCCTTAGATCTCTGCTTGGCGTCGGCTGCAGCGGCAGACAAAACTGAAGCAATTATTAGACTGGCACCTGAGCGGAAAGCAGAGCAAACACTCACGAGTCCTCTTCTTCGTGGCCGTGGACAACAGCCCTTTTGACTCTGCCAAGCTCTTTGGCTCCATCGATTTCCTCCTCTACCATCGCTCATCAGACACTTTCCAGTTACAAAACTCATAATTTACTCACCTTATCAAACACAGTCTCATCGCTCAGATCAACCAGGTACTTGTCTTCTTCTACTCTCTTCCCTGCCTTTTTACTGTCCATCACCCATTTGATACCCACCAGTTTGGGACGGTCTTCCTCGTCTTGACGACGGTACCAATTGAGAGTCGCTTCGCGCCCAGAGCGGTAGATGATGTGGGTGCAAGTCGAGCCGGGACGGGTAAGCACCTGCGAGCGATCAGCTGCGTCAACAAAAGGGTACTGAGACGGGCATACCTTGGCGCCAGCACCTCGCAGAATATTGGCAAAGACTTGCGTCGAATCCGAACCATCACTAGTTCTCACGTCTACAAATGCCACCACTCCTTTGAAGCACCTCGCGCCTCCTTCGGCCAACATTCCCGCAATCGACTGATCCCCCAAACTAGTATCGCCGGCACCGGCAGAGACACAAATGTCACTGGGAAGGACAGACGTTCTTGGTTTAGCGACAGCAGACGTCGCAGAGGTGGAAGTGGAAGCGGAGAGGTTACTGGGACGGTCTTGGAAGATGTGCGGTCGGGTAGGGGCGGAAACTGTCACAGATGGCGCAGTTCTCCTAGCAGGCTCAGACGTGGACTCTGACAAGCTACTGTTCGACAACTGCTTCTTTGCCTTCAACTTTTCCAACGCGGAACTCAGTCCTGCCAAAGATTTGGAAGTCTCATCCGACAACCCTTCTCGCCTGCTACTGCTCAAACTCAACCTGGGCCGTGGGCCCGGGTTTGATACGGAGCGGCTTGAAGGAGAGGTGATCGACCTGAGAGAGGATTGAGAGGACTGCGGGATGTCACGGGGAGGAAGCATGGGGTTGGAGACAACCCGCGCCGTGGGGCACGCTAGTGGACCAGAGCCCAAGCTGGAGGGATATGATGGCTTACGTTTCACCTCAGTCAGGGGACTCATCGCTGAAGCGCCGCTGGCCAGGGCGCTCCTCTCTGGACCAACGATGCCAAGATTTGTCGCTGGCTTCTTCGCTCCCGCGCTCGGGGCAAGCGTTTCTCTGATGGGAGGCATAGCTCGGCCGATGGGGATTCGGCTAGGCGCACCTGCCCCTTGGAGACTACGCGAGGAGACTGACTTGGATAGTTGAGATGGTCCTGATGTAGATCTGGCTGGTGGCAATTCGGATAGACGTTTGCTCTCGACATGGAGCGCCAGTTCTTGAGGCATATCTATGGGCGTTGTTTCTTCTGTGACCACAGTCGGTTTTTGTTCTTCCAAGGTCACTGGCTCTTCAGCCAACTCTGATGAAGTTGGGACCAGAGTGTTGGCAAGGACAGTCTCTGCCTTTTTTGAAGGCTTGGCCATCTCTACATCCAAGCTTGCCGTCTCTTTGGCCATCCTCGCCGCCGCTGCGATGCGCCGAGCAGTAAGCGGCGACTTGACGTTTGGTCGAGTCGCAGGTGTTGTAGAAACAGCCATATGTGGGGAAGCCTTGGGGGGCGTAGCTGGAGCGTGGAAAGCAGAGAAGGGGCGGGGTGACATTGGCTTGCTGATAAGCGCCTGCGGCCCTCTGGGGGATCGGAGAGGAGTATGGGAAGTGAGCTGGCCAGGAGACGTAAGGGGTGTCGTGCTGCCATTCATGCGATTGGGCGAAGCATAAAGCGCTTGTCCATCTGGACAAGGAGATAGCAACACGGACGTCGGTCGTTCTCGCATACGCGGAGGGGTAGGGGGTCTTGCCACAAAGCTGGAGACTTCCTCCATGCTAGAGTCTTCATCCCCCGACCGAGATTCAGATTGGAGGGGCTGATGCTTCCTGGGCGGGGTCGGGGGTCGGACAATGACAAGAGAGGCAGACTTGTCCTCTTCTGCCAAGCTTTCCTGGCTAGCTTTGCTCTTCAGGAGGCCCTGTCTCAATATCTCTCTCGCTGGAGTAGGAGGCGCAGACACTTGAACCTTGGGTTGTGGTCTTCTGGGAGAAGAGAGTGGGGCTAGCAGTGTTTGCCGGACCTCAATGTTGCCATTGGACGGTACTGCCTTGAGTGGTGGACCCATCCTCCTGATTGGCTGCTCCCCAAGTTTCATGACCTTTCCTTTCCTATCTCCCTCGTCCACTTCTCCAGCTTTCCGTTTGCCAGCCATCTTCTTATCCTCATAAACACCCATCTTCAGGTTCTCCCTGCTATTGTTTTCTTTGTCCTTGATAGGCCCGCGGCTTCTTAGACTCTTCGAGAACCCAGGGACAGATGCAGCTGCAGGTTTAATGTTTTCGTTTCGGGAGGGGGCGGCAGAGATGAAGCGGGACCGAGAACGAGTGATGGGGACGTGGGTGTTTGCGTCGAGTTGGCGCGGCGTGAGGGGTGGGGCGTGCGAGCGGATGGAGATGGATTGGAGCGTCGTGGAGGATTGAATTCGACGACGAGGAGGAGACATTGTTGTTTCTCAGACTGTTCATGCAAAGGGTCAGCGAGATGGAGATCGGGCTTGAAGTAAGGTCAGACGAACCAGGGGACGAGAAATCAGGCGCGTTGTTTGTGGGTCGCATCAAGGGACATCCCAAGGCGGCCAGGTGAATATTGTAGGGCGTGGGCAAGGAGGGAATAGGAGGGCGGCTCACGGCACGCAAGGGGGCAGGTGTGTGAAGGTATAAGGGAATAGAGGATTTGAGGGAGAAAAGCAACAACAAGAGGCAAGAAAGAAAGTCGCGCGAGTTGTTTGCATCACATCAGAAAGCCCCCCGCGGCTCAAATCAATGTTGTCCTAAAGACTCCTAAATGTCCCTCCTTAAGACTTTCAGATGGCAGTATGCATCCTTGGGCTGCCCTATCAGACAGACGATGATGTGACTTTGGGCACCGAGTCCCAAAAGCATATGCATAGCAGGGGCCGCTTGGGTCTGCGTTGGCTGATTAGACCAAGTGAGAAAGATCTCCCAACGTCCCATGACACATTATAGTCGTCAATGTATTATATTATGGCGTTACTTTGTCGTTATCTAGTATCTACATGCTGTGTCCATGTCAGCAAAGCATGCAAGGTCAGTCAAAGAGGACGACTCACAATTGAGTCCTACTTGGACTCCTCATCAGCACTCAGAATGGCCTGCAAGGTGCCCTCCGCGTTCGGCCTGTCCGCCACAGCATGGACTTCGACCCCCATGTCTTCTATGAGAGACCGCCTTGTCGTGTCCCCGATTGCAAACACTCTCCATCCCTGCCACCTCTTGCTTTCCTCGCCCTTCAGAAGGGGCACCACGATGGCCGCAGATGAAGGGGAGAAGAAGCCTAGCCATCCTTTCGAGCCTAGCTCTGGAGAAGATTGAGATACAGAAGAAAGAGTCTCCGCGATGCCTAGTCGGGGGGAGGTGGTGTATACCAAGATATCTTTGACAGTCCGCCCCGCGGCTCGTAGGGTTGCTGGCATTTCTTCAAGCGATTTATCGCCGCACAAGAACAGGTATGGCCTGTGTCCCTTTCTGTCTCCGTTACCATTCTTCGTCTCTTTCCATTTGCCCCGAGGCGGGGTATTGAGTATCAGATCCGACAAGGATCCTGCAGATTTGGGTGGAGTCCCGAGCATCTCTGGAACGCAAGTGGGCTTGAACTCGGGAGGGATGTCGGCAGCAGCTAGATGCTCTGTTGATGCTTGGCCGACCGAGAACAGGGGTATATCACTCCAATTCTCCTGGCTGTCCACAGCCCTCCCTTTGCCTTTGTGCCCACTTTGCTGCGCAAGATGAGCCTGCACGGCGCGGACCCAGCCTTCCATCCCACGGCGACTGGTTACAATTATGCCCTCCCACTGGATGGGGCCGTCTTCCAGAAAGGGAACTAGCTCGTCTATAGAGTAGGTCTCCTGGAGGACCGGAACCCAGTGCGGTTGATATTGTGAGGATAGACAAGGCCGAGAGAGGGCGGCATGGTAGGGATCATCGGCGAGAGAGGAATTTGGAGTCTTGAAGAGGATTACGGGGTTGGGCGTACGGCCTGACATGCTTGGCAGGGTGGGATAGTAGCCAATATGTGCGCTGCCGTGCTGAAAGGGGGCGATGTGATGAGATGGACGAACAAATGGAATTTTGAGAAATGGATCAAACTTCATTCGCTGATTCCTCGGCCTTCCCCGGCTCGCCGAATCCATCGCCGCGTTGCTTTTATCTTATCTTGCTTCGTCCATCAGACACATTGCGGTATATGTAACGATGAATATAGCATAGATAAAGTACTACTATTGCCTGTGTGCCCTGTACATGCTGATGACCAATCGAAAATGACCTAAGGCTAGCTATGTAAATGACCAATGATAAACGTTGATCCGATCAATCACTCCATTCCTCCGCCGTCGCTCCACGGCTACCAGCGCCCATGCGCCCCTTGGCAGCCCAGAAAGCCTGCTTGTCCATCCTCGCTTTCTGCTGTTGCTGAAGCTGCTCTTGCTGCCTGACTTTTTTGTGCCTGGGTTTTTTTCTCTTCTTCCCTTCCGGCTTTTTGCTCACTTCGTCTCCGGAAGAGACTTCTATAGCCCCCATCAGATCCTTCCCACCAGCTACCTCATCCTCCGAGCCAAAGTCGATGTCGGAATCGTTGCCCTCCATGATCTTACGGAGGGCTTCCGCATCAGAATCTTCTTCCTCCTCGTCTACTTCACCCTCGCCCCTCTGAGCAGGCAAGGGATGTGAGAACGCATCGATTTTCTTGCCCCTAGACCCATTACTCTTATCCTTGGTCTTGGACAGGGCATAGCGAGACTCTTCAGGAGGATCAATGATGACCTCAAAATCGTCCTCTGATGGCTCGTCGCTCCCGAGCGTACGCCGGATCTGAGGTATCTCAATAATCTCGCCCTCTTCCGCCCCTGGGAGATGACGGCGCTGATTGGAAGGTCGCGGTGGCGATATAGCGATAGGAGCATCAGAATCAGAGTTGTCTGATCCAGAGTCGTCCGAATCGTCACTGCCTGAGGATCCCGAGTCACTCCCTTCACTGACTTCATCATCCTCCACCATGATCGCTCCGACATCTTTGCTCTTCCCCTTGCCTTTGCTCGACGCACCGCCCACAGATACCCGTGGTGGACTGGCTTTGCGCGCGTAGACGGAGGGAACAGAGATGACGGGCGGGGGTCGATAGTGTTTCACGTAGAGGGATGGGTCTGCAGCGGGTGGGATGTTGAGTTTGCGATGAAGTATCGATTGAGAGTGGATCCTAAGCATTTCCGCTCTTTGTTTGAGTGTCTACAAGACATTGTCAGCGTGTCTCGGTTTGAGTATGCTATCGCGTACCTCTTTAGTGATTCCCATGACTCCACCCAGAATACTCCAGTCATCACCGTCCATATCCTGCCAAGGTGCCCTCACCCTACCCTTCCCACCATGTACCCGACGCACTTGAGCCATATCCTCGGCCCGCTGGAACAGTCTCATGCAAAGTAGCTCGTATGCTCCTGCAAGGGTGTTTCGTACTTGGCGGATACCGAATGATCCTCCAGAGATATCATTGTCTGAAAAGGGTCAGTCGAGAATGAGATACGTAGACTCTTGAGCTCACCTTTGTCCTGGGGATCCTCAATACTCAACAGGAAACTCTGATTCCTCATCCATCCTCTGTCCGACTTTGAAAAGTAGAATCCTCCCCGACGAATTGATAGGCCGACATCGTTGTAGTTGAAGTTACGACCATAGAGTTCGAAGAATTCAATGAGCAGGGTTCCAAGGTTGAGTTCGGGGTTCAGCTCGCCTCTCCGCAGCTTTGGATGAACCTGCAGATACAGTCAGCTGGATGTCATGTATGACCACCAACGCAAGCTTACCTGAAGGAAAGAGATGACCAAGCAGATGACAGAGTAACTCCCCAGACCTCCAGTATACACCTCGTTCATCGACCTTTGGCTCAAGAACGACTTTGCCACCAGGATCAGCTGTCGAGATCCAGGTAAAGCGTCAAGATACTGGTTGATAATTTTACCAGCAGTGACACCATTGGCCTGATTCAGAGAGATGTCGACATTGATTTTGCCGTCAAGGGTGACAAATTTGATGATGGGTACTCGGGCTTTGGCAATGATAGCCACCGTGTCTGTGATGCCGGTCTGTCGCATAGCTTTGCCTAGTTCTGCCAGTAAGCGAGCTTTGTTGGCGTCCGACATTTCTTTGTGTGTGACCACTAGATCGATATCGCTGTCTTGAATCAGCACTTGCACTTTATCATTGCGACCACGACTTACCCTTGAGGAAGATACAGCTGTGTCTGCCATGATCCAAAAGGAGTGACCTCAGCCTCTGGCCATAATCTTGCAATCGCTCGAGTGATGAGCTCAATGATGAACAGTCGGACTTCAAACTCTTCTTTGGTAGGCGACACGTATTTGTAAAAGGCGTTGATCTCTTCGGTCAACCTGAGAATGAGGCTTGCGTTAATGGTGGACACCGCTCATTCGACAGCATACGTACAGGTCGGTAGGATCCTGACATCTGTCGACATCTACCAGCTCTGTCCAAGGCGCATGTCTCTCTGCGGCCTTCTGCTCCTCCTTCTTATTCCGAGGCCCGCGTTCAATGCCAATGCCGGCATTGCCTTTCGCTGCAGCCTGGTGTCGCTCTTTCGCCTCCTTGTTCTTCTTTTGCTTGTTGGCAAGCTCTTTCTGATCCTTCATGGACTTTTCCGGTTCGGCTTGCTTGGGTCCCTTCTTGCTCTTGCTCTTGTTGTTCTTGGCCTTCTTCTTTTTGGCCTTCTCGCCGGGGATGGGGGTGTCTGAGGCCTTGCGTTTGGCTGCGCTGGAGCTTTCGGCGTGCGGGGGAAGGGGGGAGGGGGAGCGTTTGAAGGAGATGTACTGCTCCCCCGGCTTGAGGGCGTTGGTGGCCATGCTGAGGTTGGATGAAGATGTAGAAGCAAACGAATGTAACCCGCCCGTCGCGAAAACAGCGAAATCTTGAAAGAGTGCCCAGGAACGCGGATGAGCCGTTCTGGGTGGCAGCATTTCTCTCTTTCTTTCTTCCATGCATGCAGTTCGACAACATAACACCCATACTCTCCCCTTAGAGCCCCTTCGCAGCTGTGCTATGGCCTGAGATCTGCAGCTCCCATTGGCCGCATATCCCGCATCTCCACTTCCCCGCGTCAACACTCCATCGCCCTCACCATTCCACCCAGACAGCCCCCAGAGATGATCGCGCTCCCTCAGAGGGCAAAGCGACCGCGATCTCCCTCTCCTACTTTCGAGCCAGACATCGCATCCCCACTGGACGTGCTGCTTAAGCGGCGGCGAAGAGACACACATCAACAACAGCCTTTTGGCTTTCCAGAAACACCACATTCGACACAGTCGCCTGTACATGGCTATGAGCCTGACTACTTTCAGCAGGGAGGCAACGGTGTGCCGCATACGCCTGGCAGTGGCGAAAGTCCGCATGGCGTCTACGGGCAACAACACGCGTTCAACAACGCGCACGCGGAAAGCAGCTCCGCTGCCCAACTGCGAGCGGCAGGGTTGAACCAGGCCGGGGTGGGCATAGGCGTTGAGCGGAGACGAACCAAGCAATGGAATCGTATCAACGCACCTATGCCCCTTCAGCAACATCAGGCGACCCAGCAACCTGTGAATGCTCTGACCACACCTACCACACATGCCGGTGTCTATCAGACACAACCTACATCAGCTTTCCCGTTCCCTACCCCTCCTCCGCCTCCGAGGGTAGTCTCAACGCGGGCAGCTCCTCTTATGTCTTCGTCACCTATCCGGAATCAACCGCCGTCATCTTCGCCGTTTAGGGACAGGCCCAGTAATGATGATCTGGTTGCACCAGAAGAAATGTGTGAACCTATGGACGAGGAGGAGATGGTACGGAACTGGGGAGAAGCATATGCCGAGCAGAATTCAATCCTGCATTCTCTAGTGCGTTATGCTTCCATGGCCGGTCAGAATATGGACTGACAACTGGCAGCACATGACGAGAATGAAGTTTCCACCCCATGCCTCTCCGCAATCACATCCCTCATACTCTTCACACTCTTCTTCCAACCCTTGGCGTACCCCTATGGCGTCTTCATCCACCCTCTTCTCTCCTGGCCCCTCCCGTTTTGCCCAGGAAGCCGCGGGGCAAGTCAGCCCTCACCCCTATCGCACACCCTACCAATCCTCACCATTCACTCCTGCTCGGCCGTCGGGGAATCACGTCTCCTACATGTACCCCACCTCGTCGAATCAACCTCCTTCTGATATACCCTCCTCCAGTGAGAGGCATCGATTCAGGGGTGAAGATGATGATATGGGTGAAATGGAGGCTGAAGCCGAGATAGTGGTTGAGAGCGACGCGGAAAGGGAGGTGGCGAATCGATACGAAGAAGCAAACAAGTTGCTGGGGGAGCTGGCGATGGTAAGAAGGCAAAGATGGGGACAAGAAGAATAATGAGAGAAGAATGTTTCGGGAGAGTTGTCACGATCATGTTGTCCGCTCTAATCTACGCCTGTATAGAAGATACTACTTACATGTACTCATGTCACGTCGACGCCAACAACAATACGACTTTCTATAGCGTGTTTGCCTCTTCTTCCGCCTTTCGCATCGCGTAAGCCATCTCTACGGCCATCGCGCTCTCTCCGACGCCACCACCTGCTTCTGTCTCACGAGCAGTCCAGCCCGTGATCCCGGTCCATGGAACCGCCGTCATTCCCGCCTTCTCTTCCATCCTCTCCCGCCTCTCCATGGCTTCCGCCTCTTCCTGTCTTTGTCTACAGAAAGGACATTTGGATATGTGAGCGTAGCAGTCTGACGGGAGGCTGGTCCACCAGAACGTTTGCTGAAGAGTGGCAGCCATCACTTCAGCGCCATTGTGCGCCACTCCTCCGACAGCGTCATTCTCCTCGCCGAAAGGAGAAGGATCCAGATGAGAGTCTTCCACAAGCTCCTGTCTGATCGCACCCTTCGGCGGCACCAACAAAGCCTGACCTTCCTCGCCCTCGACCAGAGGGCGAAGGTAAAGCAAGCCGACTTCGGAAAGTAGGAAATCATCGTTCAACTTGCCCATTCTCAAATCCGATATAAGGGGTACGAGCTCTTCGTCTGATGGATAAGCTGCCAGCCATCTCACCGTCTCTGGATCCAGCTCTTCGGTCATGGGAGTCTGTGCGGTCACAGGAAGAGGTGGGGCGTTGGGGTCGTAAAACATACTCTTGGTTCCATTGCCATCGCCGATATTGGCAGTGTCGGCCACGGCATGAGTGGATCGAGGAGCGAAGAAGGAGGCGCCGTTGTGGTCACGGACGTGGTGCATACGTCTTGCTTCGGATGGTGGGAGGAGAAGGGCTGTTGGGGACGGGTCTGGGGGCTCGAAGAATGTGGAGAGGTTGGATCTCTGAGAGGTCATCAATAAGAATGCGCCACAACGTCCGTAGAGGATACTCACAATACTGATGAGGTACCACATGGAGAGAATGAACGTATCCAGTGTCACCATGAGGGTTATGAGGGGAACATAGGTGCCCGCGCTGCACGGGTCAACATCTCGCTTCCCACTTGTCATGAACTCACCCATAATGCACATCGTCAGAGTTCGTGCCGTTTCTCACCGCTTTCTTGAACAAGAAGGTCAGAGCGAGCTGCTCTATTCAGTCCAATCCTCAGTAGGTTCCACAAGCGACTACTCACAGTGCTCATGCTCAAAGCCCCTACCAGAAATCCGAAAAAGCATCCCAGAGGACTTCTTCTATGCGCCCACCAAGCCCACCATACCCATCCACCACGCTCATTACCACTTTCTCCCATTTCCCGCAGCTCCTCTCCCCAGGGATCATTCTGCCTGTCCAGCTTGACCCTTAGATCCACTTCTGCTTTCGCCACCTCGTCTTTCGGAATGGTGACGAGATGCGAGAATGGAATCGACAGCGAGAAGAAGAGATAGAAATGAAGAAAGGCGGTGATGATCTGGTAGGCGGCAAGGAGCCACGTGAGGGCCGTCAGGGATGTCAATAGGGACGACAGGTTGTCGAGGGATGTGCTGCTCATCGTCAGGTATAGCAATGAAAGGAATGCGGGTCTGACCTACTCGCCAGGGATAGTGAAGGAGCCAGATTCGTTCTTGAAATCTCCTCGAGAATATGACTCACACTGAGGGCTGAGGTGATGTCAGCCTCCGACTAGATCCCAGAACTGTTGTTGTAAAGCTCACTCGCTCACGCCGCTCTGGCACCAACCCCATGCTCCCAAGTTGATGCCATTGCCCGCCCCTGTCCCTCCGCCTTGAGACCCTTTAAATACTCCTAGTCCAATTTTCAGAAAGTGACTGATGGAGGATGTTGATGTAGAATTCGTGATTGTCAGCATCAAAGCACACGTGAGAGCGAGCAAAGGAGCAATGAAGGGTCGGTAAGAAAGATACACTACGCCGATTTTTGAGCGAGCCATGAAGGGGACAGAAGTCGATGCTTTTCGGATACTATGAGGGACGAACTCTGATCCACCGTGTCTTTGTGGTGGTAACGTGTATCGCGCGGTAGCCATAGACATCCTGCCAAGTCTCTGTTGAGCTTCGGGAGACATCAGCTTGGGAGATTCGCCTGAGACTCGGTTCGTTTTCCAAGTGTTGCTGGCATCGGGGGTTGTCTCATGGGTATACGGACCTCTGCAAGTAAGAGCAGGCTTCTGGGCTTGCTGCATTTGCTGAATTGGAGGATCACTGCCGGCCGAGCCAGGGCTGACAATACTTTGACTAGAATTGGAGCTGACTTTTGGCCTAGCCAGGTCTTGAAGGTCCACAATAGAAGGAAGAGTCGAGTCCCTTTGCCTCTCTATCGCTCTACGGTCTTGTTCAATGAATTGTGAAACTCTTTGAGGCGAAGACCGATAATGTGGTGAGCTGCCACTGTATCTGCCGACATCGTGTGGAGTCATCATCCCCGGGCTCTCCATGATCCCGTTTTGCTCGTACGCATATACGACTTGTTCCTGTGAACGTTTGCCAGGGAGGGCGGGTGCAGACGCTCTGCTTGGCACAGGCGGTATCCACTCTTGACCTTCCTGCACCCGCCCCCGAGTAGTACCTCCTCCCCATCTTGATATCCCGGTCCCTCCAGTCGTGGGTCCTGCCCACGATGATCGCGACCAAGGCGTGGCAGTCGTTTTCGGGTTATCGTGATCTTCCCAGTCGCTCCTGTGATAAAGCTCATCATCTTCACCTTCTTCTTCTATACCTCCGAAGGGGCTGTCGTGATAGGCAATTGGGGTTCTTTGAGCACTGGGTAGCGACTGCCCGGGAGACAATTGTACCCTGGTAGGCTGAGACCATGCTGTCTCTAGCTCGGAATATACTGTGGGGGGTCCAGCGGTCGAATACTGGAAAGGACGTTCGTGAAGATCGTCCGAAATATCCGACTGTCGATAGTGAGGAGGAGGGGAGGTGGGCGGAGCAGTGGTTGGTTCGTAGGTAGATTGGGAGTCACGAAGAGGGGCCATTATACCAAACAGTGCCTATCAGATCCCATGAAGTCAGAAAAATGCGATGAGATGTTTGTACAACGCGTCGGCTTAGCCAAAGAAGTGGCACAAAGGATGATGAAAAGACAAAGGTCCGCCAACATGAACAACGCTCATCAAAGAAAAGGGAGACAATCTGCCGCAACTGGTACCTTGTTCCGTTACGGTTCTTGATCGTACTGTTATTTTGAACTCTCGCTGGAATTTCAGGCATGCTAGCTGCTAGCGAACGATTCAACAGCGGGAAAGCCACGCCGGACGAAGTGATGACGCGAACATCGAGTTGCATGATCGTTGTCTTGTAAATTATCCTTTGGCGTTCTCGAATGCGAGGGTCAGCAACAGATACATGTTCGATCAGCAGATTTGAGCAAGATGCGTCGTTTGGTTTGGAAGGTGAAGATGCCGAGCCCTTGCTGTTGCGCAAGTGAGTGAACGCACATAGATCAGGACACCATGGCTGCCATGGTCACAAAAGCCTGTTCGACACTACTTGTCTGCGACTGTGGTGTTTATTATTGATTGTGACTGCCCGCCGTGTAGGAGAGATCTCCCTTGCATCAGGCTCACCGTTATGTCGATCAAATTTGCCTCGAAACATGTCTGACCATCGCTTGCATGGTCCTAGCCACTTCCTGCATATCGAGGAAAGGTTACTCAACATGATACCAACAGAACAAGTATTACATTACGGATTACGCACCCCGACCCTCACTTCTATACAACTTGAGGTACACCAAAGGTGTAGGACTCTTCCTGGTGGAGTAGACTATAATAGGGGTAGCTGCGCTTGTCAGCACATGATATAACATAATGACAGGAAACGTACTCGCTGTAGCCGACAGGACCCTGTGTGTAGAAGGTGTCTCGCTCGTAGGGTGTCAAAGGCCAGCCATGCTCAATTCTGGTGGGAAGGTCAGGGTCTGCTTCTGTTACTTCATCGCTGTCGGCAGACGAAAGCTTACTGATAAACTATCGCCCAAAAGCAACCAGGTCGCCAGTCTCGTCGGCGCGTCTCTTTGCATCTTCAGCATTGTACCCTCCCGCCACGATAAAATTCGTTCCCTTTCCCTTTTGCTTGACAATGTCTCTGATGGGATCCAAAGAGTCTGTTGCCTTTGCGAGCTCTACGCTGCCGGCACCTTCCGTCCGAGGCTCGACAGCATGAATGAAAGCAAGATCCGGATGAGCTTCAAGAAGCTTCTCAACCAACGGGATGAAGGTGCCCAAGGGATCGGCCTCCCGGACCTCTTGGAAGCGGGAGAAGGGAGAGATGCGATAGCCCACTTTGTCCGCACCGATAGCGTCGACGATGACTTGTGTGAATCGGAGAGGGAAGAGGAAGGTGGAGGTGGCATAGGCGTCGGTACGTTTGTTGCTGATGGGTTGGGTCTGTCAGATAGATCAGCGTACAGGTCTCAAGGGGCGATCGAGGCGGAGGAGATCATGAGTTTGGGTTGGGAGTCGGCTTACAAACTGGTCAATGAGATACCTATGCTCTATGGTCGGCTATCACATTCATGCCCTCAGAGAAGTGTCCTTACCCATTTGCACGGTGTATCTCTTCACCATCAAAACCAGCACCCATAGCATTTCGTGCGGCCTGCTCATAATGCTTCAAGAATCGCTCAATGTCCTCTTCAGTCGTCACGACGAGGTCAGGGTGGTCGCCCTGTAGAGGTAGGTCGCTAGGAGCATAGTCGACGGGAGTAACTCCAGGCATGGTGGCTCGGCTGGTCAAGGACAGGCCAGGTGCCGTTATATCTGACAAGCTTGGAAACGTACCCAGATGCGAAAAGCTGGCAGACAATCTTTCCGCCTATGTCATGAACAGCGGCAGTGATCTTCTTCCAGACTTCCACCTGCTCGGGAGAGTAGATACCAGGAACAGACGGGTAGCATCCGGCTTCTTTGGCAACGTCGACAGCTTCGGAGATGAGAAGACCACCGTCTTTGGAGCATCGGGCCGTTAGCACAAGCGAAGGGTCGATGACTTTTGAGCTCACCAGAAGATCTTTGCTTGTAGTACTTGATAGACAGCTCGGAAGGGACACCAGTCCGCTGAAGCTCGCCTTCGGGTCAGGGGTGCGAGTACAACTCGGTGCTTCAAATTCAATGGGCCAACAGTAATCGGCTCAAAGAGCTTGGATGTTTGAATAGTCATACCGAGTGCTGGTGGAAGATGAGTGATGATAAGCTAAAAAGAGTGGCCAAAGTTCTTGTTGGTTTGGACCAATTGGTGGATCGAGGGATCATGGGGTCGATTTGACACCACCGCCGTCCTGTTATATAGGTTGGCTGGCTAAGGTGTGCACCGTACGGATGGCTTGCGAAAACTGATGAAAGGATAAACTGATACCATTAGGCACGCTGAGAGGTGCGCTGGTGGATATGTCTGGGTAGACAAGATAAGGCAAGACGACATGGGATGACAAAGATCACCGACAACAGTCGGACAACAGCAACCTCCACTTTCTTCGTGTTTACAAGCGGCCATTCCCGCCTCCGGTCCGACACCGGACATTTGTGGTGTTGCCTGGAATGGGATTCAATGGAGACAATTGATATTGCTGCAGTTGCTGAACGGTCAAGAACAAATACACGCTCGACGCCGACCTCGACCTCCTCCCGCCCGCATGTCTGCCAACTACAAGCAAGAGGAGAGCACGGCCAGGCAGCCCCATGCCAAGGAGAACGAGGAGCAAACCGCAAACAAGAAGAAGCTCAGCTGTGCAGGTGCGTCATGCTCATCGCCCAGCCTATGCTGCGAAATCTGACAGAAAGTCAGAGTGTCGGAGGCTCAAGTTGAAGTGCGACAGGGAGGTGCCCTGCTCGAATTGCGTCAGGCGAGGTTGTCGCGAGCTATGTCCCGATGGAACCAAAGAGACTCGCCGAGGGTGAGTCTACATTTCTGAACCGATAAATGTCACTGACACTGGACAGAGGACTGGATGCCAAGAGCTCAGAAGCGCTTCAGAAGCGCCTAACGACACTCGAAGGGCTACTATCAGAGCACGGATTCGAAGTAGGGGAAGACAGCTCGATACAACGGCGGCCATCCCGCCGTGACTCGGATGTCGCCTCAGTACATCGAAGCTCAATATTGGGGGAGGATTGGAAACCAAATCGGGGAACCTCAGAGTCCCCGTACTACTCTACATCCAACAGACGGAGTCGGTCGCCCTCTCGTGGACGCAACGAAATGCAGGCGTCTCGGTATCCGATCTCGAACTCGCCGGGGACAAATCCGTTTTCGTATCCATCGCCAAACGGAGGACCGTCGTCCTCACAGCCATCCAGCATTGTAGCTCCTCATCCACAGCTCCCGCCCATATCATCTTTCAACACTCGCGGTAGCGCTCCCGTGGGGTCGCCGGTCGAGCATAGTCATGGAACGTTGGTGATTGGCAAATCGGGAAGGTCGAGATATCTAGGGCCCACAGCAGGTACTGAATGGTTGAAAAACGTGAGTCGAATAATCGCTTGGTTCTGTGGGATTCTGATATCACATGTAGCAAGAGATGGGCGGTATGGAGACTCCCGGCCATTCACGGTCTCCAGTCGCTGGTACATCCGCTCTAGCCAACCCTCAGATCCCATCGAAATCGTATTCCGATCCACTCTACTCATTCCCCTTCAACGAACCTGTCGCTGCTGCAGACGTTGAGACCCTGTTCTCCAGATTGCCAGCTCGAGGGGATGCGGAAGTGCTAGTAGACTCGTACTATCGGTATTTCGCTTGGAAGTGAGTCATTCTTCAGTCCGTTGACTTGAGATGCTGACATTCCTCAGCCATGACCCAGCACCTCGGAAAACCTTTCAGCCTATATTTGAAAAGGTTTACGATGCCTCACAACGTCCACAACCTGAAGCAAGCGTCCATCTCCAGCAATTAGCATTGGTCTACATCATCCTTGCTATGGGGACGGTGCATAATATTGAGCTACCGCCGCATGACGAAAGCGCCGAAGAGTACTTGGCTCTGGCAAAAGGGAGTCTGACGAAAGGCAATTTCTTGAACCATGGAACGATAGCTGGTGTTCAGACTTTGGTACGTGTACCGGCAAATGCTCCGGGCTTCTACTGATAGTTGCTCAGGTAACGATGGCACATTACTACCTGGAAACGGAGAGTGGCAGGAATGGAGATGCCGCTTGGCCGTTATGGGGCTTGGCTATGAGTCTTGTGGTGGCTGTGAGTAGATATCGATGCCACGCATCGACCACGCTGACCTCGCTAGATGGGCCTGCACCGTGATGGAGCCAAGTGGGACCTGCCTGAAGATGTGGTCCATGAACGACGGTACGTTTTCGTAATTCGAGAAGAGTGTTTCTGACTCTTCCACAGCCATGTCTTTTGGGAATGCCACACTATTGAAGTCTTCCAAGCCAACTGTTTCTCTCGACCAAACTCACTAGCAAACAAATTTATCGACACTGCTTTTCCGAGCCCCAATCCCTCAGAGATCGCGATGGGTGGTAAAGGGTGGCCAACGCTGAAGTTTGAGCTGTGTCAGATATCATCCCGGTATTGCTCTCTTGTTTCCTAAAAGCCTCCAGCTGACATGCAAATTCCAGGATACTCGAAGTCGGCCTCACAGTCAACTTTCAGGCATATGATACGATCCAAAAGCTCTACGCCGAGCTATGTGACTTTGAGCTCAATGTGCCGTACGACATACGGTGTCGGTGTGCTCTTTTGGCCCTTCCTTCTGTCTATCCAGATGCCAACATGGCCCGGCGGAACAGCCCTGAAGTCAGCCGGCATAATCTGCACCGGGTACGTATGTTCTCCCACGTGTGTGTATAACACTTACAATCGGGCTATAGACGCTACAGACGTATACTCTGGCACTCAATATCGCAGAGGCGATATTGTTTCTGCAAAGGCCCTACTTTGTGATGGCCATGCACGATGCGCCCAATGACCCTACACGGTCGCTATACGGGCACTCATATCTCGCAGTGGTGGAACGGTGTAATGTGAGTAATCGCCTACCTCTCTCATTTCAGACTGACAAGCCGCAGGTCATCATTCAAGTCGTCTCAGATCTCTATCGTCTCCACCCGACCATCATCTCTCGCCAATGGTTTTTCTGGTACCACCTCTTCACCGCCGCCGTCTGCCTCGGCACCCTCATCCTCAAGAATCCTCAGTCTGCGCTCGCCGCCTTTGCTCTCTCCCAGATCGAACAAGCCATTCAGGTCTACTCCACCCTCATAAAACAGAACAATTCGCCCTCAATGGTGCAGAACCACGATTGGCTCGTGAGGCTGCACCAGCGGAGCGCAAAGAAAATTGCACAGACCTCTGCCACTGCTGGGAATGGGACTGGACCGCATACTTGGAAAGACGACGAGCAAGGGCAAGAGGAAGAGGATAGAGAACTTTTGGGGTGGAAGACTAGGCTCATTGAGCGTGCTGCCTCTGGTGCGCACAAAGCGATCAACATTCCCTCGAAACCTATTATCGACCAGCGCACACCATCACCGATGGTGAATAACGCAGCCATGACGCCCGCAATGCACTTGCTACAGCAGCACTTTGTGCCCCCGCTTGATCGTCCGCCTGTTAGTGGTATGCTGGGCACGAGCGCGCACACGCTGGGCATGGACAATTCAACAGATCTCTTGGTGAGCACCTATGGTGTTGGGCGGGGCCTCGTGCTGACGTTGAGACAGTTGCATCAATTCTGGGATCCCATGATGATGCCTGATGGAGGCAATATGACGGTAGGTTCTACTTGCTGGTTATCAGAAGCTTTCTGATTACTTGTAGAGCGCCAATTGGTGGTCATGGGATCTGGGAATGCCCGAGAACGGGGCGCCCCCGCCTTCCAATCCGCAAAGCGCATCGCAGCATACTCCACAGAGTGTGCAGAATACTACCTCTCAGACCCCTGCTATGTCAGGCACTGTACCAGAATATCGCCCCCCACCATCAATGATGTAGAGGCTTTTGCCATATAGGAAAGATGTAGAAGGGTACAATAGGCATGCATAATGTCGAGGCTATCACAGCATGTTTATCTCCGAGCGGGATACGGGTGCGAGACCAACTGGACTGCCACATAGGCACACTAGGCAATCACTGCGCTCGCGGTGTCTCGTTCAACGGCCGACCGTTCCGGACGTCGTCTGGGCGAAAGCTGACCTATATCTTGCTAACCTGCGATGCGCTACCACTTTAGATGATTTCTACATGCTCCGTCGAGGCCGGCATCCGATGCGCTCGCTGTGACTGAGATAAGAGGAGGACAAGCACAGCCAACCTGCAGCCAGCCCGAGGAGTACGGACGAGGGGGCAGCGTGCAGGAGGCGATAAGCGAGCGGAGGTGGCCGCCGCGATAGTCGACAGTATTTTTTCTGGATAATGTTTATATTCTGCCCCGTTGTCGACTCTTTCTTCCCACTTAGCTCCCACAATGGCCACCGAAGAAATCCACTCCCTCTACGACACCATCCTCATCCTCGACTTTGGATCCCAGTACTCCCATCTCATCACCAGGAGATGTCGTGAGCTCAACGTGCGTCCAGACCGCCCCAACGAGTCCACCGCTGATCATCCCATAGGTCTACTGTGAGATGCTCCCATGCACTCAGAAGATCTCTGAGCTCTCCTGGAAGCCCAAGGGTGAGATATAACAGATCGGGCCTTGAAGCATGCTGACTGAATCAACAGGTGTCATCCTTTCCGGTTCTCCCTACTCTGTCTATGCCGACGATGCCCCTCACGTCGACCCCGCCGTGTTCGAGCTTGGTGTCCCCATCCTCGGTATCTGTTACGGTCTTCAGGAGATTGCCCGAGTCCACGGTGGCTCTGTCGGTGCCCACTCTCACCGAGAATACGGACACGCCAGGATTTCCATCAACAAGACTGGCAACAAGCAGCACGACGCGCTGTTCGAGGGTATCCAGGAGGACGCCGAGGGCGGTTTGCAGGTGTGGATGTCCCACGGCGACCAGCTCACCGACCTTCCCCCCAACTTTATCACCATCGCCTCCACCCCCACCTCCCCCTGGACTTCTATCGCCCACGAGTCCAAGCCTATCTACGGTGTCCAGTTCCACCCCGAAGTCTCCCACTCCCCCAAGGGTAAGGAGGTCATCGGTGCGTTCGTCAAGAACGTCTGTGGTGTCCGAGACGGATGGAGCATGGAGAGCTTTATCCCCAAGGAGATTGCTAGGATCAGGCAAATCTGTGGAGACAAGGGTCAGGTCATTGGTGCCGTCTCCGGTGGTGTCGACTCTACTGTCGCTGCCAAGTTGATGCACGAGGCTATCGGTGACCGGTGAGTTCAATACGTCTCTTTCAAGGGTTTTGCTTATGTGAGTAGATTCCACGCCATCATGGTCGACAACGGTGTCCTCCGAATGGACGAGGCCAAGAAGGTCCACAAGATGCTTACCGTCGACCTCGGTGTCAACCTCACCGTTGTCGACGCTTCCGACCTCTTCCTCGCCCGTCTTGCTGGCGTAGAGGACCCTGAGAAGAAGCGAAAGATCATCGGTAACACCTTTATCGAGGTCTTTGAGGAGGAGGCTGCCAAGCTCGAGGCTGCGGCTGAGAAGGAGGTCATCGAGAAGGGCGGTGAGGCCAAGGGCAAGATTGAGTGGTTGCTCCAGGGTACCTTGTACCCCGATGTGATTGAGTCCATCTCCTTCAAGGGTCCCAGTGCTACCATCAAAACCCACCACAACGTCGGTGGTCTTTTGGAGGACATGAAGTTGAAGTTGATTGAGCCTCTTCGTGAATTGTTCAAGGGTGAGTCTTGTCTTTGATGGTTCAAGGGCTGCGCTGATCCCTATTTAGACGAAGTTCGAGCCCTTGGTCGACTCCTCAACATCCCCGAACACCTCGTGGGCCGTCACCCCTTCCCCGGGCCCGGTCTCGCTATCCGTATCCTCGGTGAAGTCACCCGTGACCAGATCGCCATCCTTCAGCACGCCGACGACATCTACATTGAGGAGATCCGTGCTGCCGGTCTCTATGACCAGATCTCTCAGGCTTTCGTCGCGCTTTTGCCCGTCAAGGCTGTCGGTGTTGCCGGTGACATGAGGACGTACGACCAGGTGGTGGCTGTGAGGGCGGTGTCGACAGAGGACTTTATGACGGCCGACTGGTTTGTTTTCCCTCCTCAGGTCTTGAAGAAGATCTCTTCGAGGATCACCAACGAGGTCAAGGGCGTCAACCGTGTCGTTTACGACATTACCTCCAAGCCTCCCGGAACGTAAGTCAGATTTTATTTTCGACTATGTGACATCGCTAACAGAGCTTCAGCGTCGAGTGGCTCTAAACGTTGTAAATTAATCATTTCCTTCAGTCTTGGGATGCATAGATACAGAATCCAATCCTTTTTCGCACATTTCTAGTCCACCAACGCATCCATGATCATCTTGACCAAGACCGTCTCGTTTTTAGCATCCAAAGGCGTGGTCTTGTAGTCTACGCCATGGACGACTGCCTCGTAGATCAAGCCGAGCTCGAGGGTGTAGGGATCCTCGTAAGTGGGACGGATGACCTGCTCTGAGAAATCGCCGTTGGGGAGCTGTTTCTGGATGGTAAGTTTGATGGGGAGGCCCTTGACGTATGGCCTGTCAAGTGTCAGTTAGATCGAGTAAAGGAGTCGAGAGTACTCACGTGTCGTATTGGATCTTGACGCGAGAGTCGTTGGTGTACACTTCGATATGAGCGTCAAAGATGGCCACTTCGTCGATAGCCATCTACCCTCTGTCAGCTCTGGTTCATCGTCCTCTCAAGGGCTCACCTCATAGTACGCCCTGAATCCCTTATACTGGAACAAGGCAGTCCACCACCACGCATTCCCACCCTCATCGTCGCTTCGCGTAGCCACCACACACCTCTCTGGCATACCAATGACATCCCTCATAGCCGACAGGTCGTGGCTGCCAAGACTGTGCAGCAGGCCCCAGGAGGCAGCGTTGCGGGGGTCTTTCTCGGCATCGGCGCCGAGGTTCTCAAGAAGGTTGGCAGAGCGACGGGAGGCGAGGTCGGAAGAGGCAGAGGGAGGAAAATCCTTAAAGTAGTGCTGGTGCATACCAGACTGTTTGGTAAAGTAGCTGTTCTGCAAAGGCGTCAGCGAGACGCAGCTTCAACCTATGCAAAGACTCACATTGCCGATAATGTCCCTCACCCTGACATATTTGATCTGCTTTCCCTCAATCTCCTTCTTGAGCCTCTCGAGCGCGGGGGCATACCTCCGCATATACCCCACAAAGATGACTACGTTGTTTCTAACCCGGGCTTCTTCGACGGCATCGTATTCGGCAAGCGTCTGGGCCATGGGTTTCTCAATCATCACGTGTTTGCCAGCGTTGGCACATTGGATAAGGTGCTCGGCGTGGTACTGGTCGGCGGTCAGTACAAATACGAGGTCGATGGGGACGGAAGAGGCCAGCATCTCGGTGCTGTCAAGTATCAGCTCTGATCAAGTGCAGATGCTATGGAAGGGTGTTTACAGAGAAGTGAAGGTGTTTTCGATGCTGAAGCGAGAGCTACAGAGCTCTATAGACTGTTGGGAGACATCGCAGAGAGCTGTAACCTTGTACTTGTCTGATGCGACGACGAGGTTGGGGATCTACAGTGGGATGAGCTCAAGAAGGAGATGGAAGGGGATGGAAACGGACGTGTGCGATCTGTGCGACTTCACCACAGCCGAGGACGGCGACGTTGAGGATCCTGCTGGACATGTCGAGCGGAGGGGGACTGATGGCCTGGGACGGCTTTTATATGGCGAGGACAATAATGCAAGGTGCATCTACTGCGTCTACCGGCGGCCGGCCCGGGCTCACAAATCACCGCCAATATCCCATGCGTGCATGCATGTCCATGTGATATATGCAACAGATCTCGATCACCTCCATCACTTTCTTCTATCTACTGCCTCTCTTTCGTTATCTACAAGGCAGCAGCGCTCAGCCAGTCGTTCACCATCGTCAGCGCCTCCACAGGCTTGTCGTATGGTACCATGTGGCCGGCACCCCTGATCTTCAGCATCTGCACGTTCATGTCAGCTTCAGTCCTTTCCAGCTACACCAGTGAAACGCACAGTGAGGTTGCCATAAGTCTTGAACTCGCCCGCCTTCTTTCCCTCAACTGTCCAGTCCCCAAAGTCGGCGGCATTGTAGCCTTCTTTGCCCGTCCACTCGAGGCGTTCCATCCAGAGCTCGTTGGCGATGTGGTTGCAGATAAAGTCGAGCATACCGACGTACTGAACGGTTGTTATTCAGCCGCCCAATAAACATGGCAGACGACTTACATTGAGTACCCTCACGCCCCTCTCGAGTAAAGCAGACACGTAGAGCCAAGTCTGGCCAGTGTTGTCCAAGTTTGTATTGAAGGCAGTAAACACCGGCCCATCACAGCTCTCCCATTTACCCTTCTTCTCCTCCACACCCAGTACTCGTCTAACATCTGGAAGGTTCAAATAATCTCCAATCCTTTTGGTCACAGGGTAACAGAGCGAGTCGCTGAGCTCTTCCCCGGTACAAGGCATAGAGACGTCGTAGGGGTTGACCCCGGCAGAGAGGAATGTTTCGCCGAGTACTTCGTCGCAGTAGTTGACGGCCATGGCGCAGGTAGTGTAGTCGTGAGACTCGATGCAACCCCTCTTGGCCAGCTTGTGGCACTTGGGCACCTACAGAGATAGTGAGCCGACGTATGTATTGGGATGGCGAAAGACGTACAGCTTCAGCCATGGCCACACAAGCACCGATGGACTGGACAGGTTCAGTGAGATCGCCATGCAAGGTACATTGCTACCGTACCGTCTGGTTAGCTCTATGACTTTGGCGGGGATGACAGTTCGCGTACGAAGGGATAGTATGACTCGGTAGTGGTGACTGCAATATGTCAGCGCCCGACATCACCACAATCTTACAAAACTTACACCAATCAGTGACACCGTTGCCGATCAGGACACTCTCCAGATTGATCGGCTTCTTGCCGTCTTTGACGAGTTGTTTGTTGCCATCCACAACAGCGCTGGCAAACAACGGGAGGTATCGTCCGCCATAAGACTCGCCTGCCATGTGGAAAGCACGACCTTCGAATTCTTTAAAGGTTTCAAAGAACTGAACAATATCAGCTTCGACTCGTAAGAGGAGTCTAGCGGAGGGACATACGATAGTTACGAAAGCTTGTACATCGATGGCCGCCTCTTCGGTTGTTCCGACAGTTTGCCCATTCTCGGCGTGGCTGAATCCAACTCCAATAGGCTCGTCCAAGAAGAACACGTTCGCCTTTTGGTTCCACGCATGGGGGTTGTAGATGGTGTCGTTGGCAGACTTGGGATCTTTGGCGATAGAGCAAGGGCCGAGCTCCATTAGCATGCCGAGAGACCCCGAACAACCAGGCCCGCCTTTGGTACCTAGTCAGCTACAGAATAGAGTAGAAGAAGAGCTTACCGTTGATCCACATGACAACAGGGCCTTCAGAAGGCTTTGATCGGGACTCGAAAAAGGTGAAGAAGAGCTCCTTGCCGTAGCCGACGTCGAGATAACCAGAGTACGACCTGACATTGGGGTCACACCAGCCATCGGTACTCTTGATCTTTACCTGGTGCTTCTACATCCCAGGCTTTCATCAGCTCATGTCGCTCACGAACGAGGACTACGATCAGAGGCCACCTTCCGTCAAAGGAAGACGCCCTGGACCAGTCCATCCCAGCTATCATAGAGCACTCACAGGAAACTTGGCATGGTGAAGCACCACAAACTCATCGCCCACGCTCTGCAACATCATATCGTCCGCATAGCCTAGATTGGCCTCGGCGTTGTCGAGGCTGTTGTGGACGTACGAGTCGGCAAAGGAGAGGGCTTCTTGCGGGGTGGCGGGGATGTGGGGGAGCTGGAGGGATAGAGCCAGGGGGAGGAGGGAGAGGGAGAGGGCTGCTAGGGGAAGCATTGTGGATACGGAGAGACGGAAGAACAGATAGATACAACAAGCCACGATATGGATGGAGGTCGGACATGTCCGACCGGCGCACCGAGGGGGTCCTCTTTCTCCGATCAAAGGCGACCTGGGTTCCCAGGGTGTGTACGTGAACATTGTCTTGCAAGTGTTCGTGCATGTATGTGGCACAGTGGTACGGCCACTGCACATGTATGACTTCGAGAGGCCACTTGAATCTTGTACTCGTACGCTGTAACTGGACTGGGTGTGCAACCCCTGCTCTTATCCTCGCGCCTCCTTTCTCATGCTGCAGTGATTCACAACCAACGACACCAAAGACAGACTGCAAGCAAACCAGTCCCCTCGGCACTCGAAAGCAGATTTGGGCTCCGAGTAACCGAAGAAATCTCACCTCAACATACGCTACTGAACTCAATACAGGTCAACGACAGCACCACTCAATCCAAACGGCAGAACATGCATGATGACTACCGCGAATATACAATCGGCCACATCCCGGCCCGTCGTCCCTTGCTTCTACCACTCCCAAGCAACCCCACCAGGACCTCATCTGCCCATTTAAGCAGAGTCGGACTTGATCTTGAGCTGACCGAGGAAGGCGTTCTTCTCGGCAGCGTCCTGGAATCGACCGTGACCGAAGTTAGAGGAGGTGTCGATGAACTTGAGAGAGACCTTCTCGGTGTGGGCTCGGGAAGTGTGGGTTCGGAGGGCCTTTCGGAGGGTGACGATTCGCTTGACGGGACCGACGACGGAACCCTTGACCATGACGAAGTCGTTCTTGACGACACCGTATCGGACGAAACCACCCATGGGGGTGATGTCCTTCTTGGTGAGGTCAAAGTCGGTGGAACCAGAGTTACCGGCGGCACCGTTGGCGATTCGGTAAATCCTGCAAGCGGTCAGCATAGGCTAGGGGGATATGGACAATCTGACTCACTTGTGGTTGATGGAAGTACGAGAGAAGTAACCTCGCTGACCCGCACGGGCCACGGAGAACATGACCATAGCAGGGTGCCAAGCACCAATACAAGCGACCTTTCGGAGACCTCGGTGGCTAAACGATATCAGCACAATTCAATACTACATGTTCACTTTACTCACGTCTTCCTGGGAAGCTTGGTAACACCCCAACGGGCGGTAACACCCTCGTAACCGTGACCCTTGGTGACACCGATGATGTCGATGCACTCGTCCTGCTCGAAGATAGATCCAACGTCGACAGTCTTCTCGAAGTGAGACTTGGCAAAGTCGACCTTGTCGGCAACGGAACCACCGTTAACCTGGATCTCCATGAGGTGGGCCTTCTTCTGTTGGAGGCCGGTCTTGGAGATCTGGGTGTGGGCGAGGACTCGGACGACGGTACAGTACTTCTTGATACGCTCGAGCTCTCGGGCGACGGAGGCGCCGTTGTTCTCGGTGTACTTGGAAGCGTACCTGGTGAAGGCCTTCTTCTTGGATCGGTACCAGTTCTTGTAGAATCGCCTCTTGAGCTCGTCACTGAGGTGCTCGGCCCAGACGGTGGTCAAAGACCTGAGACCACGAGGAGTCTCGACGTAACCGACGGCACCGACGACGACGAGTGGGGGAGTCTCGATAACGGAGACGGCCTCAACAACCTCCCTCTTGTGCATCTCTGTAAACAAGTCAGCCACGCCTTGCGAGATAATTTGATGCGACTTACTGGATCCAGGTCGGTCGAGGTCACGGACAATGTGAGTCATACCGGCCTTGTAACCCATGGTGGCGGTGAGGTGAACGGGCTTCTTGGGGTCGTCCTACAGCAGCAAGTCAACATTCGTCCCTCTCTTTCGTCTCGTCCATCCCTCTCTCCTCCGTCCCGTCTCCGTCTTCCCCCATCTCTCCTTGCTCAAATCTTCTACTGACCTTGGGGAAAGCCTTGCATCGTCCCCTGTGGCGGGCGGCACGCTTCCTGGGGAGGTAGGCCAAGGATCCGGATCGGGGCTCTTCGTACTTTCGGTGAGACATGGCGTCTTTTTGGGGTTACTTGAAGGTTGAGAGCAAACTTCAAACCGCCCAAGAAGATGTTTCCAGGGAGAGAGTGTTACGTAACCCAAATCCTCCCGCGGCAATAATCCTTCGGGTGAGTGTGGCGGTGCACCACATAAATTTAACACCGATGCAACCGAGCGGCAAGCACCGATCTCTTTCTTTGTCGGGAAAAACAACAGCGTGCAACAAGGCGATCAACCAGCATGTTTTTCTGGGCGCTGTCCCACTAACTGTACATGGCACAGAAGCGCACAGAAGCTGGTATTGCGTGCACTCCCCCACTATCGCCGGTATCCCGGCGTTATTGCCGCACGAGCGCTCTATGAGATTCACCGCTAGATAGCAAAGATGTAATTTCCGATGAGGGAAATTCGGGCTCGCGCAAAGTGCATGTAGAAGAGAAGCATCTCACTCCGCAAGCCCCAGCTCGGTCATCCTCTTCTCTTTTCTCAAGCCTTGTCCTCGCTTCACATTTCTTATCTCTAGGGCGGCATGGCTTCTCTCGTCAGCCAGCTCCTCGGCGTCTTCCGCCACTTCGTGGGTGCAGTCGGGACGATCGCCAACCGCGTATGCGTGCATGCCACGAATATTGGGAATATTCTACAGCAGTTCTACAGAACAATCGGCTATGCAGCTCCACGATATGGTCACTCTCAGATCGCCCCAGACGATCCCAATACATCATCCCACTTCGCTCCCTATCTCGCCATCAGCGGCCCATCTGACGAGCCAGCGAAACAACACCAGATCCGAGACTTGCCCTCCACCCACACTGCCACACACACGACGACGCTGCTCCGTGGCAGTGGAAAATCTGTATGAGACCTGTCCAACCCTCGAAACGATTCATCGCGACGAGGTACAGCCATCTTGCATATGGCAAAAAGTTCATCGGGGCTTGCGAGGTAGTCTGTTATGCCAAATTGAGTTGGATTGCAAAGAGAGGTGTTGTGAAACACGCCCCGCTTGACTAGTATTTCCGCGTTCGACACGTATGCATGTGGCAGGTTTGGCGAGTCGCCTTGCAGCATACAAGTCAGTAGTGTCGGACGCGCAGCCACCGAGCAAGCCGCGTCAAAGAACCCACGGCATCTTTCGAAAATGTAGATGAGAAGGTCACATACCGTTCACCGGCCAACACGGCGTGCATGTAGTCATACGCTCAGTGTCTCCCCACTCTGGGTATCTGGAGCTTCTCCTTCCCATCGCAAGCTAGCTTCATCGAACCCTGCGAATGCAAGACACCTCATCGCATCTCATCTTGCCAACAACCAACAAACAGGCGCATGCCGCAGAGCGTGATCATGGTACCGGGCCACCAAACATTCCGTGCCTTGGCGCAGATCGACGAGCATAAACTTCCTATCAGGACCCGCCCCGCTCGGCGTCGTGCAGGTGGTGCTTCTGGAGGGTGACTCTGTTGTGGCGTGTTGGGTATTCTTTGTATAACGACAACCAGCATCGCTCGAGCCTCGCGCCGGAACAGCGGGTATGTATGGATACGCGCCTCCACCCTGTGCGATGCGAGATGGAGGGTGGGCAGGAGGAAAGGACGGCTGGAAGGTACAGATTTTGCATCGACTATCCTTTCCGTGAAGGGCCACAAGAAAGATCGAGTCTCTTCTCTAGCCATCTCCGGCTCGCAATCAGCGCTGCCTCAGGCGATCACCACAGGGGCACCACAGCTTGAGGGCAGACACCCGTGCAGCTGCCACAATGCGAGGCTTTTGACGTATCCACGCCGTGGCACTCATCCCCACGTCGTGTTTGTATCTCCATCTCACCGTTATATACCCCCCATCGCCACCTCGGTGCCTTCTCTCTCCACCACCAGCACATTATCAGTCTACCATTCGCACTCACTCAACCACAATCTCCCCCCGACATGCCCCATACTCGACGACGCACCCCCGCACTGCGAGCCTCTCCCTACGACAGGCAGGAAGAGAAACCTCCCAAGCAGCCTCGCAAGACTCGGAAAGACGTCTGCAAAATATGCAAGACCGTAAGTCGTTCGCCTTGAGCCCTCGTCGAGCTTGTACAGTAGCAGCCGATCTGGTCATCGGCGCTCATCGTGCAAAGAAAAGGCGCGTTGACACTGTACCACCAGACCAAGACCGTTCTCTGGCGCTCCAACCCCGACGATGATCTCAAGGGACCAAAAACTCATCTTTGCAATGCCTGTGGTCTCTGGGTAAGCCGTCTGCTGTTCGTCTCCCGGCTGTCTACCATGCCGAGTCACCTGCACATCGACACGTTGTCTCCAGGCTGACTCGATCCGGTAGAGGGCTGAGCGTGGTAGGCACAAGACAGACGCCGAACTGGCTCGTAGTAAGGCCAAAAAGAAGAACACCCAGACTCCCGCTGTGGCCACTGCTTCACCAGACCCTTCTTTCAGCAGCGACGAGAAATATCCAGTACGGGTCGTCGCCACTCCAAAGGCACCCGTGCGCGACGGCGTCAAAGAGACTTCTCTCGCTGCCTCTTCTTCCCCAGTCCTCCAGCCTATCCAGAAGCCAGAGTCTTCTCCCATTCCGTACACCTTGGAGATCAACAGCCGTGTGGTGTCCTCTACCAGTCCCGCCTTATCTGCCGCGAGTGACCTGAGCGTTGAAGGACCGGACACTGGCGGTGATGATGAGGATGGGCCGGTGGAGCCCGATGTCATCCAAGGTGCTCTCAGCCTGCTCAACCTCGGCCGAGTAAGTCATTTATATGACACAACGAATCGTCCTAACACAACACCAGCGCATGAACCCGAAGGACCTCCTGATGATTGTCAACAGCACTCTCGGAAGCCGATCTCAGCTTGCTTCAACCACCAGGTCCATCTTTCTCCACATTCTCAAATCCGACCCCAACCCCCAGCTGCCTCAGCTCCCCATCCGTTCCCAATCCTCGTCCATCTTTGCGCTCCGCGCAAATGACAGTTCAATGGCCTACCCCGATCCTTTCTTCAAACCCCAGTACTCTCCCGCCGCTTCTTTCCCTCCTTCTGTCTCGGCGCCGAGGAAGGACCGTGACTCGAGAGACTCGCGCTTGTCCGTGTTCGGTAGGGTACGAGGGCAGGATCGAGTACCGAGAAGTCTTTCCCACATGCCTTTCCATCGATCTGCCGCTTCTGCTCGGCCCGGGTCCAGCGACATGGGGATTGCACCTGTTTCTTCTGCTTCTTGGGGTCCCGTGCTGGGGAGAGGCAAGAGGCTGATGTGGTGAGCGGTGGCGAGTACCAATATTCAATGTGTTCGGGGGGTGCAGAGGGGTCAGGGGGTGATTAGCGGACTATTTGACTGGCGTTGTATCTTTTTGGTATGGTGCTGAATAATGACAAAATGAGGGTATCTAGCTGGGAGGGTCTCAAAGTATAGTGCTCGGGCCTGGTTCTTGCCTTCACAGTAGCTCTTGCTGCTCAATTGATTGTATAATCCCTTCTTCTTTTGTAGCTTTGTTAGTATAAGTATACCTTTTTCATGCTGCTTCGAGATGTTTGTATATAGCTACTTTTTTTCTGTATCGGGATGAAAATGAACAATCAGTAACTACTTTGACAATGGAACTGGAGTAGAGTGCCATTAGAGTCTTATTGTCGGCTTTCGCAACGACAACGGCCTGACCAGTGGCAGGTCGTCGACTGCCTTTGGTCATCGGACTTGTTCTTCCTATCAGCATGCCTGCGATAAGCATCCTTCTGTTGCAGCAGCGAGGCTCCTTGACCGGCGACAGAAGCTTCTAGAACCCAGTAGTATTCTCCACGAGCGATGTCCAATCGGTACTCCTACCGACCGCATCAACCTACAGTGACCCGGATAATCTCGATCATGGAACCTCTTCCCCTGCCTTATCCCTGCAGTACACCCAGCCAATGGAGAGCAGAGAGATGGACGATCGCCCCCGTGATCTTGCTGCAGACCTGCAGGCTGACGTGCTACTTGACCTGCTGCTGTTAATCTGTTGTGAATACCCCACCTCATGTCCATCCTGCCATGCCGTCTCTTGAAGTCATTGATCCTTTTTCTTACATCTTTGCGCTCCTTTATCACGTGCTGCTGGACACATTAGCCATCTCCTCATCGGACCCTTTTCCGACCACCACCGACGCTCTACCATATCAGCGGACTAGCTCTCACCCGGTGACCGGGGAAAAGTGGACTGTGCGATGCGTCAATGTGGCTGCTCTGATGATCTCCTCTCGATTCTCGACGACGGGCAGCGGACGGAAGATGGGCGATCTGGAAGTTCCTGTGCTCTGCCCCGTTTAGGCGCGCGGTAGCGGCAGAAGCTCCAGATAGAGGAGCAGCTCCCAAGGGGAGCGAGTACTGCTACCCAAAACGCCGAAAGGAAGTTTGAGTTGGGTCTTCTGATCAGAACTTGGGTCGTTTCTACTATGAAGTTCATAGCGTGTGCATAGCCCGTCGCCGACATTACCTGCCACCCCCAGTTGCGCAACAGAGGAGCTTCAGATTAGTGTTAGGACTTCTGTATCCGGGAAAAGAAAGAGGACGGACGCGCTTAGCCAGTAGTCGATGCTGAGTGGAGTGTTTCGAGGGCCTGAGGCTCGGCGCGTTGGCGCAGGGCGTTGAACAAAAGAGGAAAGTCCCCTTTGAGTATTTTGCATGATACATATACTCCTCCCCACCTTGAATTAGCAGACTGCACGGTGAGCCTAGCTACCGTTCACCCTCTGACCTTTGATCCGGTGGTCAATGAACGGTTGATAGAGCACGCACGCCGCCAGAAGCGGACTACAACTGAAGCTGAGCGACACAATTTGCGCGGATTTTCGCGGGCAAATCGACACCCTATGTATGTCCATCGCCCATACATACCCCGAATGGGTGGTCTTTGAACCGACGTATGCCTTACGTAGAGGCCAGCGCTCTATCATATCCCTTTGCAGGGCTTACAACATGTTGATTGAATCAGATTACCCCGATGGTTAGCGGAAGCAAATCTACTTTCTAATCTCGGTCTTACTTTGAGTGGCGATGTCCCTGTTCGATCTTGTTTGTACCCTTTTCTTCCAACCACCCGATAAAAAAACCACCCGATAAAAAACCATATCGCGAGGATGGCGTTCTCCTTTTTCGGGGACGAATCCAAACTCCCAGCAGCCCCCAGATCGGTCAGCATCTCCGTCAAAAAGACACCCTCCGGTCGGCAATTAAATGGGGCATCGAATACCTCACCGGGGCCTTCTCGCGCGTCTTCAGATCGGGAGAGGTCCACCGTCACACCACGGACGTCAAGCAACAGTCTCCCTCGATTTACGTCAGGTCAGAAGAGCTTGAATGGGGCAGGAGGTGCCAAGAAGGTGGCGTCTAGTAGCTTGTTGAAAGGTTCATCAACCTCTCGGCCAACGTCTGGGTCTGGGACGCCAAAAACAAAACAAGAAGAGAGGGTGCGGTCAACAGCAACTCCCCGTACACCTTCGCATTCATCCAGCCCAAGCAGGCTGAAACGAAAGACACCCCAAGCTACCCAAATAGTCGAATCTGAATCTTCCTCTGGATCTGAATCTGAATCGAGTGACGATGCTCTTGATCCAAAGCCACGCAACCCCAAAAAGCGTTCTCGGACGTTCAAGAATGGCTCTGGGTCATCTACCCCTCTGTTAGGAGAGAAGAAAGTGGGGCGTCGAGTGTTCTGTTGGGACAAGGTCGATATGAGGGGTGAATGGGGGAGGGGATGGGTGGGCTTTGTAGGGTCCGAGGAGGTAGTAGGGGGTCAGGTCGAAGGATGGGCGGGGGGAGGAGGTGGGGAGGCCACTAGCAAGACCGTCAAGTATACTCCTTGTACGTCCATTGTGCTGAGACGAGAATGGGTGCTAATTGAAAATAGTCTTTCCTCAAACTGGCTTCGATACGGAGGATGGTGTGTGGCCGTCTGTGGAGATTCTTTACCCTGCAAAGGGGTGCAAAGAAACGTGAGTTCCCAACTCAAGGAACGACTGAGGGGATTGCTGATGCTCTACAGATTCCAACTCATACATCCAGTGTCCAACAGCGAGTTTGCTCCCATGGCAGAGCTCAAAAGGACGCTGAGCTTCATCCTCGAACGCAAGTCCTCTGCCCCGTCGTGTCGAATCCAGGCTGACGATGAGCAGACTACATCCCACCCTCCCATCGCCACATATTTGGCACACTCAAAGACTCCCTCGACCTTTCCGTTCGCCTGTCTGCTGTACCATCACGTGTGTCATCGCCTCTCCTTCCATCACTTGTCACTCCGCCACCCGATGTACCCTCCCCCTCTGGTATCGCACTGACCCCAGAATCCCTCGCCCCTCCCCTGGCAGAAAGGATAGAGAATATCGGCGACCTGCTGCGTATCTCGCTCGCGCCCAATCGTTTGGATGGACCTCTATTCCGACTCGCCATCAGCCGGTACAACGCTGCCATGCAGGCTATCCAATCTGACGGTACTCTTCAGCAATGGCTCTCTTCTGGTCTTCGGGGTGGAAGGGAGCTGAAGTTGGATGACTGGAAGGAGCTCGTAGCTCATGTACATGACACGGCTTATCAACGGGTGGTCGGACCGTATACACACGAGTTGGCGCATCCGGGAAGACATCCAGAGGATGTAGCAAAGGCCCTGAGGGAGAAGGAGGATTCGTATGGCGAATTGAAATCTGCCTTCATGAGCCGGATCCTGGAGCAAACCAAGCTTGGGCCGGACTCTGTCTTGTAAGCGCGCCAAACTCTGTCTGCGATATCTACTAATGATGATCAGTGTCGATTTGGGAAGTGGAGTCGGAAACTGTGTGCTTCAAGCGTCCCTCCAAGCCGGTTGCAGATCCTACGGCTTTGAGCTCCTCCCCACGCCCGCCCACTGTGCGCGCTTGCAGCTCAAGGAAGTGCAGAGGCGATGGGCTATGTGGGCACTGGAAGGTAACCTGGGGGTTGAGGTTGGGGAAGGCGATTTCACCGATATGGGTGAGGTAGGCAAGTGTTTGAGAGACGCCGACGTTGTGGTGAGTCATGCGATCATGCATGAGGACATGGCTGATAAATTGGTAGCTGGTGAATAACGAAGTCTTCCCGTCCAGTCTTAACCAGACACTTTGCGACATGTTCTTAGACCTCAAAGATGGTGCTATAATCGTCAGTTTGAAACCGTTTGTCGAAAAGGGTTTCCGAATCAACTCGAGCAACGTAAGTTGGCCTACAGGGAACGCAATATTTGAGCTAACACTTTGCAGTGCGATCGGTTTGCAGCCTGTCTCCGCTCGACGCAACACGAGTACTGGGGTGATTGGGTATCGTGGAAGGGCGATGGAGGGTACTACTATATCGCTGTCAAGGACCCTTCCGAAAGGGCCAAGTTTGTCGAGAGTATGAGCAAGGGAAGGCGAGGTTGATCCATACTTTCCATTATATTTTTAGCGTTGTCATCAGTATATCAGCTTTATTGTCCTGGGTAGCCCATGGATATTGTAGCATGTTTCACCAACGAGTGTCGTGCAATTGAGGAGTGATGCATGAATGCTAGAAGCTGAACTGATGATTAGAAATCCTAGTCTACATTCCCATTAGAGTCTACTCTTGATATTATACACCTGTTTTCCGTCCCGACCATTACTCGGGGGCAACAACACCGACCTGGGCAGGCCTCAAAACCCTCTGCCCAATCGTCCAGCCCTCCTTGCTGACGTCAAAGATCTCATTCGGCCCATGCGAGTCGCCGTTCGCCTTCTTGGGTGCCACCGCCTGCGGAACAGTGAACAACGCCTCGTGCTGATTCGGGTCAAACTGTTCCCCCCTCAGCTCGCCGAGCTGCTTGACTCCGTGCTGCTCAAAGGTCTGTAACAGCGCCTTGTGAGTCAGCTGGACACCCTGGTGCAGAGATGCAAGGTCTTTGTTGACGGAGAGCTGGTCTTGGGGGACGTGCTTGAGAGCGGTAGTGAGGACATCGGCGGTATCGAGGAGGGCACGGGCGAAGGAGGTGATGGCGAATTCAGATGCCTTGGCCTTTTCTTCGGCCGTTCGGCGGTTGGCGGTCTGGAGGTCTGCTCGAAGGTATTGCATGTCCCTCTGTGATCCGTATCAGCAACCATTCCAACACACTGTCAGACACATACCTTCATCTCCTTGACACTCTCTTCGAGCTCCTTGTTGGCAGTCTCGAGCTCCGTCAGTCGTGCCGACTCGGGCGTTGGCTCAGCAGGAGCGGCATCGCTGTAGGCCCGGAGCTGGGCTGGGAATAATCTGGCGCCGGAA